CGTCCATTTCTGGGGTTCCCGGGGCTCATACTCCGTATAAATTGAAATTACTTTATCTTTCAACCCAAGAGCAGACGGGCTCACAAGCTTGCATAAAATATGACGGGTAGCTATCTCTTTGAAATGTACGTGCATGGGTTCGAACTGAAGGAACTGAAGTACTCCGTACAACGGACGTCCCAATTGCATCTTACCCTAGCTGCTGTCCAGTTTACGAGAAGATCTCCCCTCCTTTCTGAGATGGCGGTGGACGAATTTAAATAATTAGGTGGCTGGACTGGGGGTTGTACCTCCAATGCAACTCTCTGCTGCCGCGTTGTCACCGGAAAGATAGCCCATGCAAGATATGATATCCATATGCAGTCCGGGAGTCCTGGAAGGATGGAAAGGCGCAGAGGAATGACGGGGGCGCACGCCGCCCCAGAACCACGTATCAACAGTCTTCCCATGTGTACTGTCAATAAGCTAGCTCCTTTTTTCTTCGTCTAATGGGGAACACCCGATAGCTAATCGCCATCCAAGGGGTTGACGGGAGCTAATATGAGTCCCTCTCTGGCTTCCGAGGAGATGTCTCTCTCAAATCTTATCTCATTATACTTAGTGGACGGAGATGGAGATCTAGGTTCTCCCTTTTGTTCTCGACCCGTTAGCTAACTGCCGTCGAACGTCATTTCACTTTCTCTATCCACCTTAGTTATCGGCTATCGAGATGTATAACTAGGGATGAAACGAACGAACTAGCGAGACCTGCATCTATGGAGCATTTTATGCTGAACTAGGGAGGAGGGAGACCCTCTTCAAGATCCGTGTCGACCTGCCCTCGTCAAATGAAAGGTGGCTGGGAGACTAGGCAATGCACGAATTCCACGTCTTCTCACCCATGCTTCTTACTGGGATCTCTTTCACATATGACCAAAAGCATATAATGACGAACTGCATGAGGATAACCGGATGTTTGAAGACCGAGTTGTTTTATGAAATGCTTAAAAATATAGCTGTTGGGAACCGTCGTATCAGTATCCAAAAGACCTCGGATAAAAGTCCCAGGCGTCGAGACATTCGGGTTCTTTAAGGAAGATAGGAATATAGGTGGTCGCCCATTCGCCATTTATTTCGGCCGTGTAGTCCGCTTTGCAATACTCCCAATAATCAGGATACCACCCTGATTGCCGCCAGTCAATAACCGCGATTATTTTATTTGATACTTCGGAGACCATGATATTGCTTGGATGGAGGTCGCCGTGTGTAAAGACAACCTTCGCATCGTCTGACAGCCTGCTTCGATAAGGGTCTGGGATTTCAGACAGTTCTTTGCCTTGCCAGTGATAAGGGTGAACTTTCATCTTGAGTACTGTTGATATCCAGTCGTGAAGCTCAGTGACGGAGTAGAATGGTCCAGCGGGAGGAAGATTACCACTGGTGAAAATAATATCACCAAGGGGTTCACGGCTAACATGTCCTATTTTTCATTCTCCGGTAAGCAACAGCTCGCGGTCTTCACACTAATTTGGTTATCATACTCCTTACCCAGAAAGAAATCACCCGGTGCATGCTGTAGCCTGCGGTAGTCAAGAATAATCTCCCGAAGCTGCTCACATATCGCTACTCGCTCAGCCGGACCTAGAAACCCCCACCGTTGTTCAAGCGTAACTCCCTTTAGCAGCTCCATATAGATGAAGACTTGACCGCCATCGTGAGTCCATCCGTACACTTCAGGGACAGGCACCGTTGGCAGGACCCGGCGCAACGCCCAGAGTAACTGGCCCTCGGCAACGGTCACCTCTGGAGCACGTCCGTACTTGACAATTAAGCCCAGATTCTCGTAGCGAACCGGCTTGAGACCATAATCTCTTCCGGCCTGTGATGCGGGGCCTTGTATCGCACTCTGCTCACGCACATTGGCGGGTGACGGCAACGCAGCCTCTGCACCATTGCGGGAGAAGAATGAGGACTCAGGGAAGGTTGCTGACTCCGCAGATGGAAGTGCCCGCGAGGATATCGTAGGAGGACTGTTGGTTTCCATTAGGTGAGACCAGCATTCTGAGCAGCCGGGTTGCGTAGACTGTGGTCGCTGTTTGGTGATGCCTAGTTCGTTAACTATGGAGTGGTTAGCCGCCTCTCATTGACTGTCTAACTAGCTGCAACCTGGAAGAAACTGTAAGAAGGCTCAAGACAGCCTCGCTAGTGCCGATGGACAGCCATCATTCAGCGTTCCACGGCCATTGATCAAGGCGTGCATCCCAGAAGATTTGAGGCCTTCTTTGCGTTGAGATTGAGTATAGTTGAACGATACGTGGATGTAGCTAGCTAGCTAACGCTTAAGAGGGGACCTTGGAGGCACCGGCTCGTCCTGCAAACTACTCCATAGTTAACTACCTGGGCGACTTACGCAAAACATCCGGAAGACAACTAAATAGTACCTGATAGAGTGTGGAGCGCATATACAATATAGCCTGGCTCTTCTAATCCTGGTGAGAGATTTCAGGGGTAAAGAGGCTTTCATCGGCTTTCATTGTTGCATCCAGGCCCGGCTCAGTTTTGCACAATCAATAGATCAAAGCCATACGAAGTCCACTCGGCAATTTACAATTCCAGCTATCTCCATGCCCAAGAGCGACGTTAAGCCGCTTGTGGAGATCCAATGTGCCGGCATGCTCGAACTCTGTATGCGAGTGCGGGAGATATAGCGGGGGACGAGGCTGTCAAGAGTAATAAGTACCTGCTATTTTACTAAAAAAAAAGTCGGGGATAAATAAGATGTTCAAGGGTATGATGGGAATAGGTGATATTTTTTATGGCCGGACCAAAGGCGAGACAAATAAAGTAATTACAAAAAAGAGGGAAAAAAGAAAGAAAGAAAAAGCACTTGGAGGACCAGGGTATGCGCGGAGGAGGGATACAGGCCGAAATCTCGTATTTCCGCACTGTCGTCCCTCATTTTCCTCTCGTTCTCTCCCAAGATGCCGCAGTGCCTGTCCTCTTGATTATTTTTTTCCCCTATGCACTCCCAAGCACACCGGTTGCTCAATTGATACCGTTCATGACCTTCTTTTTTTGGTCTTGACTCTCCCCAGCTCGCTCACCCTAGAGGTAGTTACGTACCAACGAGATTACCATGCAGGCGAGGCCGAGAAGAATGGTGCGACCGTTTTCCAAACCGACTGCATTTCGACTATCGATCATGCCGAAACTTCAACGCCGTTTTCTGCAAGCTCCTTTTCCTTCGCAGCAAACTCTGCCGTCTGTTCTTCGGTCAACTCTAGAAGCGGCTTGTTCTCGCCAAGTTTGATGTTTCTGTGGTATGCACGGATGATGCTGTCTGCATCGTCAACGGCAATGGGCCGGATGTCGGCAAGAGCCTTGATCTTGGCTGTACACTCCTTGTACTGTGCATCAGTCATGTCAAGGTTGAGCTGCTGAGCTCGAGATTTGATGGCGTTCCAGCCTGTGAGGCGAGAGGCAAAGTGCACATAACGTGTCATGCCAAAGTCGGCTGGGTTGATAATCTCATAGGTGCTGGGGTTGTTAAGAATGGCCTTGGCGTGGATGCCAGCTTTGTGAGTGAAGGCACAGAAACCGGTGATGGGGTTGTTGAAAGGAATGTTGACCTGGACGGCTTCAGCGACAAGGTCTTCGATATCCTTGATCTTTTCAAGCTTGTATTTGCTGAGAACATAGTCACGGTCCGCGGCGATCATACGGGCCATCAAACCACCAAGCGGGGTGATACCATTTCGCTCACCGATACCTAGAACGGAGGTATCAATGTGCGTGGCGCCTCCCTCGAGGGCACAGTATGCGTTGGCAATCGCACATCCTGTGTCGTTATGCAGATGAATCTCAATGTCACACTTGACAACACCACGCAGCACACGGACGAGCTCGTACACCTGGCGTGGGGAGGCACAGCCAACTGTGTCGGCGATACCAACACGGTTGACACCTACCTGATCGACGGCAGAGTAAATTGAGAGAAGATCAACAAGGTCTGATCTGAAGGAGTCTTCACTGGAGAAGCGGACTTCAATGCCCTTGGATTTGACGAAGTTGATGACCTCGATGGCGGTGTTCTTGATATAGGTCATGTCTTTGCCGTGAGAGTGCTCACGGAGGTAGGAAGAAGTACCGATAACAACGTCGCTAATGAGAGTTAGCCTGAGTTAACAGGATAATGACAGAGTGATCGCCCAGGAAAGGATTATCTTACACTCCATCGACACCAGTTTCGACCGCTATCCGGGCATCGTCCATATGACATCTGATATGTGTGAGGATCTATGTCTCGGTGTCAGTTGATATGAAGTGAAACAATATTGTCGAAGCAAAGAGAGCCACAATACCTTTGCCTTCAATCCAAGTTTGCAGATGGCTTCACAGTCCTTTCTCGACTGCTCAGAGGCGCATGGTGAGGTGAGTTCGATCTATTGACGTCCAACTTTGGTCAGTTAAACAACGTCTATGTCTGGGTGAACTCCAGAAAGTCATGACTCACATAATCTACACCAAAATCGTCCAGGGCCTTTGCAATTTCAATTTTCTTCTCAGTATCGAAGAAGGCATTGGCAAACTGCTCTCCCTCTCTTAAAGTACTCTCAATGATCTTGAATCTGGAGACATTGCTGAGGAAATCTGTCACACCGGCATTGTGGCCGTACGGATTTCTTGAGATGTGTGGGTGAGGGTTCTGGCGGGTCTGAACTGCGGTGAAGCCTTCATGATTGCCTGCAACGAGAAGATTTATCAGTAAATGGTTGTGAAATTATCCAGCGTGAATTGTGAAATGTTCATACCATTTGGTGCAATTGTGACTCCGTTAGTATTATTGTCATCGCTTGTGTGGCTGCTACAGCAAGGACGAGAGCCGGTATCGGTGGCCATCTTGACGTGGGGGTTCTAAGCTAATGCTAAGAACAAGATAGAGGAGCTGGGTGATATTGAATCAATGCTGCTATCAGGGGGCAGCTCCTTATGAAATAAATGATCGAAATATGACCGCAAGAGAAGGGGGAAAAAAGAGAGCCAAAAGTCTGGTTGACAAAAAGTCAAGAAATTAAGATAAAAAGATCAGTCGATGACTCGATTCTTGCTCTGATAAGCAACCCTGGTTCCCATGGTGTAATAAAAATATACTCGCAGGAAAGAATTTTCTGTACTGGCCGTACTAGTGTATGCTGGCTACCAGTAAGACTGCGCTCTTTGCCAAACGACCGCGGCTGTTGGGTGGATAAATTACACGTCAATACCGACCGCACAAGCCGCGAGCACTTTGACATCATTTTTTAGCACACGGAAACAGGCCGAATCCACTCCGTCAAGCTGCACTTTCGTCGTCTCTTCTCTGCCAATTCGTTAGCAATTTATGAGATGTCGTTAAAATAAAAATGGACGATGAGAAGAAGACTTCCCAAAGTGGAAATAAGCTCGCATGTGACATGACTAATATATTACGTAAATGTATGACTGATAACTGACTAATAGAGTTTATGAATGTCTTATTAACATATTACTAAGCCCCCTTATGTTTTCATTCTGCTGTCATCGCGATTGTCTTTTTTTTCATCATCAACAACAACAAAAAAAAATATATTCAGACAAAGGGACGAGCGAGAAGGAAAAACGAAACGTCAACTCGGGTTCAAATATTCTCCCGCGCAATCAGTCACAGCTTGCTACGTTGATATCCACACATTTCCAATTCATCGACACCTCTTTGCCTCTTGCTCTGCCCCCTCCGCCCCAGTGGACCTCGCTCTAGTCTGGGGATACCGAGTTCTGGACACCTTAGCAAGATCTATACCATAAACAACATAAACACAATGCATCTTTCTACGCTTATTCTACTGCCGGCTCTGGCTGCGGCACAAGAGCAGGTTCCGTTTGCGGAACGCCTCCAGGGCTGGTTCAACCAAGCCAAGGAGCTGCTGCCTACTCCAAAGGTTCCCCAGGCTGTCGCACCCGTCACTACTCCTGCTCCTCCAAAGGCTGCCGTCGTAAAGCCAAAGACAGTTTCCCAATTCAACCCAGACAACTGGAGGGATATTCTTACACCTCAATCAAAGCCACAGGAATGGTTGATCTTTGTCACTGGTGGTAACAAGACCTGCTTTGGACAATGCGGACAAGCAAACCGCGCCTGGAAGGTTAGTCGCATTGCACAAGCGCAAATTCCCTTGCTCACTACACAGTTGTACTAATAGAGGTACTCTTTTGCGCATTTTTTAGGAAGCACAAAACCAGTTCGCCCTCGACGCCCAGTCTCCTAACCTTGGACGTGTTAACTGCGAAGCCCAAGGTCTTCTCTGCGCCATCTGGTCCGTTAGCCCACCAATGCTATGGCACATCCAGGTCCCCAGTACGCCATCCATTGGCGAAGAGAAGCCATTGACTCCCATTCACCCCTTCCGTCTGAATGCTACCACTGTCACCGCCGACGATATCTACAAAGTACACTCCGAGAAGCTCTGGGAAAAAGAGCCTGAGCTTCAGACCATGTTCCACCCATTCAATGGCTTAGCTGCCGAGTACCGCATCAACGAGGTCGTTGGTTATATCATCTACTGCCTGGGTATGATCCCCAGCTGGGCCATGATGGTCGGTATCAGCTTTATCAGCAGAACCATGATGTAAGATCTCCCCCCCTTTTCTTTTACACCGCAAAGCATGTGTGAAATAACGCTAACCCTACCAAAAATAGGAGCCGTAGAATGGGCCGCCCAGGTCAAGGTCCAGGTGCCCCAGGTGGTGCCGCCCCTGCTCCCGCTCAATAAATAATAAGCCTAATGTCCCTACGCCTTTGTTCTATTTGTTCTAAGCAGGTTATTCCGAGGTCAGGCTGCCAACGGTACTGCCACTTTCTACTTGTTTCCTCTTTCTCGTCCTTGGGAAAAATTCTGGTCGGATTAATGTCTTTTGGGGGTAGATAATGGATGGAGATCATTTTGTTTTCTTGTTATCTACTTGTGGTGTAAGGTTTGCGCGTAGCCAACCCGACAGCCTCTATTAAAAAGGTTGAGATGTATTTTACTTATATTATCTTTCATAATCTATCATGAATATCTCGCTATATAATGTAAATAATTACTGCTCTGTCTGTCTTGTTATAATTTAACATTATTTTGTTGCTCTGCAGCGTTGTGCCTAGGTAGTTACTCCGTACCTAGCTTAGCTTATTTTGGAACGTCTCTTCGTTTGCAGGTAATCTTCCGACTATACCACCATTCAGTCGCATAGCCAAAGTATTTGAACTACCTCACCATGGCACTTCCGGTCGATCGTCCTACGTCTACGGCAGCACTTGTGATCGCTACTTCAGTCCTTACTGGCGTGATTGGTTATTATCTCGGCCAAGGCGCATCGATCGGAATATTCTCATCCTCACCCAGCCATGCTCATAAGGGAAAGTCGATAGCAGATGGGGATGACGAGGAGGAGGAGGAAGAAGAAGAAGAAGAAGACGAAGACGATATCGAGGGTGAGCTTGCGACATTCGAGGGGAATACAGATGAAGTGAAACTCGTTCTGGTCGTGAGGACGGACTTGGGGATGGGCAAAGGTATGCCTTTTACCAACTACGTTGAGCTTCAAATTTTCTTTTCAACCGCAATATCAACTTCCCCGCGCAGGATTTACACAGGTAGTTGGCTAACTTCTGATTTGCATTTTTGCTACAGGCAAGATAGCGGCGCAATGCTCCCACGCGACTCTCGCATGCTACAAATACTACTTCAGCAAATCTCCGAATTCACCTATTCTAAAGCGGTGGGAAAGACAGGGCCAGGCGAAGGTTGCGTTACAGACAAAGTCAGAGGATGATCTACTAGTGCTTCAGGCGCAGGCTATCAGTCTCGGGCTATGTGCTCGTGTGATCCAGGACGCAGGACGAACACAGATCGCGAGCGGCAGTCGGACAGTGCTGGGAATATTAGGTCCAAAGAGCGTAGTAGACTCGGTTACGGGACACTTGAAGCTGTTGTAAATGATAACGATTTATTAGCCACAAAGAAAACTATTTACGAGAAGAGAAAACTTTGGATTGCGGACTATATGTTGGCTGTCATGGTTTTTCCCTAACCTCACCAACCGACGGCCATCGGCAAAGAGAGATGGAATATGACGCCCACAGCAGGCCCGGGCCATCTCACCGAGCTCAACCGAAGGAAGCTCAAGGCAGAGTGTTATAATCCCAGCGCTGAATCTTCATCTGAGATCTGTCGACCGGAAATTGACATCATGAGAAAAACGGCTATACACCAGATGGATGGCTCCATGGGTCGTCGAACTGTCAAGCAATACGACCGAAACACATTCAGACTAGACGCGAACGAATAGCTTCATGGAACGGGATCGCAGGACACAGATCTGTTGTTTGGTAAAAAGAAGAAGAAGAAAGCAGAAAAATATTTCGAGAATTTTTAGGTTTTTTATATTTTGATATTCGGAGGGGAGAATAGTTATCTCCGTGATGACATAAGCGCCTAGGCATCGACCGATGGAAGCTTCAAAAGTTGAAAGTTGAAGAAAGTGACGGATTGATAGATTGGAGGAATTTGATAGTTGACGCTGTTGGCTATATCTACGGTCGTTACCATGGCGGACGCACTCTCTATCGAGCAGAACAACAAGATCCGAGTTGCTCTTGGTCTTGCGCCGCTTCCTGTCCCCGGCGCAGCTAACGATGGCCCGGCGTTCAAGTCCGCAGCTGGCGATGAATCTGCGTCGTCTGACGGCGAGGAGCCGGCCAGCACACTAGAGACCCGAGAAGCACAAGGCTACGATAACTGGAAGGCTATACAGGAGGAGCGTGAGGCACAGCAGAAACGAGAGGCCCGAAAAGATGCTATTCGACGAGCTCGAGAGAACGCGCAGCGGATGGCGAAGCTGGAGGGCAAGGGACTCGGCGAAGGTGGTGACGATGCCGAGCTGGATACACGATCATGGCTGATGCAGCATAAGAAGAAACAAAAGAAGATTGAAAAGGAGCGCGCCAAAAGACTTGCTGAAGAGCTCGCGGAACGAGAACAGCAGATGGCGGAATATACCTCGAAAGACCTGGCTGGAGTACGAGTTGCGCATGAAATTGGCGACTTTGACGACTTTGATGAGAGTGGGGAGAAGGTTCTTACGCTCAAGGATACGACTATTGACGAAGATGAGGAAGAAGGGGCCGAGCTGGAGAATATACATATGCGAGAAGGCGAGAAGACGAAGGAGAGGCTGGCGCTGAAGAAGAAACGGGTGGCATATGACCCTAACGATATGGATGGGAGTGGTACTATTCTATCACAGTATGATGAAGAGATTGATGGGAAGAAGAGGAAACATTTCACGCTTGCATCGGGGGAGCTTACACCACAGGCTAGGGAAGCCAAGCGGCAGGATGTGTCGTCGAAGCTAAAGATGGAGCCCGTTCACCTGGACGGACTGCTGGAGAAAGAAGTTGCTGCATCGGACTACATGGATGCCTCGGAGATAAAAGTGAAGAAACCCAAGAAAAAGAAAGCCAAGAGTACCAGGAAGAGACATGTTGAGGAGGATGAGGAGACATCTACACCCGCCGCTCCATCCGATACCAATGGTGACCAGATGGAGATGGACGGGGGAGGGCCGGAGAAGATGACCGCTGGGTCCACTGTCCCGGCTAAACGGCCGCAGGAAGATATATCATTTGTCGATGATGACGATCTACAAGCTTCTTTGGCTGCTCAGCGGAGAGCAGCATTCAAGAAGAGAAAGAAAGTTCGCCCTGAAGACCTTGCTCGACAGCTCAGAGAAGAATCAGAGCAAGCACAAAACGCAATGGATGTTGATGGAGCTGATGGAGATGAAGGTGGCCTGATCTTGAATGAAACCTCAGAGTTTGTCGCCAATCTTCAGAAGCCGGCGCTACTTGAACGGGCACGCTCAGCGTCGCGTGAACCTACAGCTGCTACTGCTGAAACTCCAGCCAATCCGCCGCATGCACTACAACCCACAGTAGAAGAGGAAGCTTCTGATGTGGAGATGGAGCCAGCGTACACCGTGGTCGAACAGGAGCAGACGGAGAGGCAGTCGGCAGAACCACAGGCAGACATCACGGCCACCGGCCTAGAGGAAGAATCAACACTTGACCAAGGCCTGGGCGCGACTCTAGCCATGCTCAAACAGCGCGGGCTTGTGACTGCAAATGAACAGGACGGCCGGTCTATCAACGCGTTGCACCGCGATCGCCAACGCTTCCTGGCTGAAAAACGCCGCCGTGAAGCCGAAGCAGAACGCCTTGCCAGAGCCCAGCGAGAACGAGACAGAGCCTCGGGTAAGCTCGACCGCATGTCTGCCCGGGACCGTGAAGAGTATGCTCGCTGGGAGAACAAGCAGCGTGACCAGCTTGAGTCACGGGCGATGGCGGACGTGTTCAACCGCGAGTACAAGCCTGATGTTCAGCTGAAGTATGTTGATGAATTTGGCCGCCGGATGAACCAGAAGGAGGCGTTCAAGCATCTCAGTCACCAGTTCCATGGCAAGGGAAGTGGGAAGATGAAGACTGAGAAGCACCTTAAGAAGATTGAGGATGAGAAGAAGAGGGAGGCAATGAGTACGTTGGATAGTAGCCAGAACACAGGCATGAATAACGCTATGGGGGCCACGGCGAAGAAGAACCGCCAGGCTGGCGTGAGACTTGCGTAGATTAGTCTTGTCTATAACAGTAATATACCATTTTGTACTTTTTTATCCTTCCTTTATCCTTACTATTAAGATGTTTTTCCTTGTAGATGGTTAGTATGGTTTGTACCCCTTTTCCTTGCGCTGTTTGGTAGGCCGTATAGATGAAAGCTCGGCGGATGGAGCAGACTCCTCCTTCCACAGCCTTACATGGCCGTCTTCACCACATGTATAGACCGTCCGTGACTGTAGCAGTTAGTATATAAGAAATAGAAGAAATAGAGCTAGTAAACAGGGATGCTAACCTCGCTGTCAAACAGTACTGAACGAACTACTTCCTCCCCATGAGCGCCCGGCAGCATCCACGAATTCGACTGCTCAAAATGAAACTCCGGCGTATGCCCCAGCGGCGTCAATGATAGGCTCCGATCACTGCATTTACCATTCATTAGCATGGTCTTGAAAGTACAGAAGTAGTAGGAGAGGGGAACCCACCTTGTCCTGCCCGACGCAACATAGCTCCCAGCTGCATCAACCAGAACCTGCACCACATACTCTGCCTTTAGCACTGGCCGCAAATCCCCAAACTCAACGGCCTTGACCTCATTAGCGGGGGTATCGTCTTCATCAGCAGAGGTTACTGGATGGATGGAGAACATCTCATCATGAGAGAGGGCGTAGACTGCCTTATCTTGCATGAACCCTGCATGGTGTATAGAAGAATGTTTGACTACTTGTACCAAAGCATCCTCTTCCTCGGGGACTGTGGTATCATATATGTTTACCAGGCCATCCGTGCTGCCTGATAGAAGTACTGAAGGACGAGAAGGGTGAAATTGTATCTGTGGTTATGGGCGTTAGCACAGCATTGATATGAGAGCTCTATAGGGCTTTTTACCTCTGTGACATCGTCGTTGTGGCTTTCAACGTACTGACGGCATGTCTTTCCTGGTGATCGCGTGTCCCTATTTCATGTTAGTTGTCCGTACAGCAGTCCCTTTAAATATCTGGTGTATATGGGTAGATATATACCAAAATAGGACAAAGGCGTCTGGCTTTACCAGCTCCGTGCCAGCAACAATTGAATGAGAAGACGCATTACAGGCCAACGAGAGCAACGGCATGCCTTTATCTACTCCAATTAGCATCCATCCATCCATCCCATACAGCTAATACTCAAGTCAATAAAGGGGTATATGGGTGTACCGGCTTGGAAGACAGCTACGGCACCAGCCCGGCGAGCGTCCCAGAGCTTGACCGTCCCGTCCTTCCCGCAGGTGGCCAGCAGCCCATCGCCAGCAGCACAAAGCGAGCTGACGCCCGCCGCATGCGTCTCCTTGACCAGTCCGTCCGGCAGAAGCGCCAGGGAGTTGCGGTCGAAGCGGCGTAGCGAGTTATCTGACGAGATGGCTGCAAGGGACGCCGGGCCTGCCGCACAGAGCTGGTAGATGTAGCTCTCGGCGGGCAGCGAGAGGGAGGAAGACGAGCAGCAGCGGAGGTTCGGCATGATCTGGATCCTTCAGCTGGAGGATTCTTGTTTAATTATGGGTATTATGGGTATTGTTTGAGGCTGCTGCTGCTACCGCTAACTAATAGTGGTGATGATGATGATGATGGTTATCTCTCCGTCCAGCGAGATTTGTTCCTTTTCTGTGCGGGAAGAAAAAGCTGCAACGTCTCCGCCGCGACTACGACAACTACGCAGCTACGACTACGGCCAGCTACAGAATAACTACGAGCTCGACGATGGAGGTCGAGATGGAGGTCGAAATGGTCGACTACGAGGGTTGAAGTAAGTGAAGATGATGTGCAGGTTCTGCAGCTGACTGCAGCCTCAGTTACAGCGTCAGCCACAGCCATCTGGCGGCCCTACCAGCAGCCAGCAGCAGCAAACTGCAGCTTTGCCACTGCGAAGAAGAAGAAAAGACACCGCAGATGCAGGAGAAGAAGCAAAAAACCCAAGAGGCAGAAGAAGAAAGGAAAAGAAGAAAAAAAAAAAGAAGGAGCGGAAAGCCACCCCGTCTGCTGGTACAATCCCTCTGCACGACTCGCTTGCCATGGAACAGACCCCGGCTGGCTGAAGGAGGAGGAAGAACGAAGCCCGCCCAACCTGCTCTGGCTCGAGCTGTTTGTCCGGTTCAGCTGGAAAGCGGAGTGATTGACATGGACAACTGCACTGCAACGCAGCGAGTGACTTGCCTGAGTGACTTTGTGACTGCTTATTGTCCTCGTTCGAAGTAGCGAATTAGTCCCAGACTGCGCTGGCTGGCATGCCACGGGTGTCCAGCGGGTTGGTCCAGTGGCAGCTCGTCTCATCCGCACTTCGCCCTCGGTTTCAGCATCGGCCCTGTCTGTCTGGTTTGTCTGGTCGACAAGTGCCGGATCAGCAGCTAACTAGGCCAAAGGAGAAAAAGGCAAAACAGGCAGGGCACAAAAGGCAAAGCACAGCAAGGTGCAGAGTGGAGGCGGGCCGGTCCAGCCAGAGAACGATAGGGAAAAAAAAGAAGGGCGAAAAAAACGAGAGCGAAGAAAGGGAGAAGAAGAAAAAAAGGAAAAAGGGACGAAGAATAAGAATAATGATTACGATCATTGCAGGCGAAGAAGAGAGTATCTATCATATCTCCTCTCTCCAAGCCCCCCATGTCCGGCCGGGTTGACTGATCCATGTCATGCTGATGATGGACAGACAGGCTGGGTTCTTCACGGCGTAAGGGCCCAACACGCGACAGACGGACGGACAGGGAGGCTAAGAAGAATGGACAAGAAGCACCAGCAACAAGCGGCATTCAAGGTCAGTCTGACCCGACGAGGGCGAACTGGGCACAGAAAACGAGGGAGGGATGACTTGGTCGGTGGATATCTAATAACTACTGGATGGCTCGAGATGAAACGCAGCTGGCGGTCAGTGGAGCAGAAGGACGGTGCTCATAAGGAGCAGAGTGAATATTATAATGGACGAACACCACTCCATACATACTCCATATATGCGCTGTCTGTTATTGCCCTGCCTGCCCGGCTCTCCTCTCCTCTCCTCTCAGAAGGGAAGATGCATGCATGAGGGAGAAGTGCTACCGTTCGGCTGGCCGGTGGCACCAGGACAAAGCGGTTCTACTTATTATTATATTAATTGCCATTATAGAGCAGACGGACAAGAAGAATAGGGATCCTTTATTATTATTTACTTTACTTTAGTTAGCCAGCTCCGCCATCCTCCTCGACGGCTTTATCTTGTTTGTCTTTGTAAAGCAGAAGAAGAAGAAGAAAAATACGGGGCGTTGGCTTTTTAGCGCGAGCGTTGCTTCTTCCGCCCGCCGACTAACTAGACAGGGAGCCTTGCCTCTCCTCTGCATTCACTCTCTCGCTCTCTCGCTCACTCACTACGCTTTCTCTCACTCACTCTCTCTCTCTAACACTCTCTCGCTACCCTTACACTCGTTCAAGATAAACACAGACGGTGCACTCGAACTCGCTCGCACTCAGACTAGACCGCTTGACCTGCTGCTGGCCCCGTCCTAGGATGTCGAGCTGCCTCTATCCCCCCTAGACCGACCTTCGCAGCAGACGGCGGACCAGCAAGCACCCAGAACGCCCACGACAGACCGACCAGCCAGAAGACCAGAAGAACAACAGCCGGCCGAGGAGACGAGGAGTCGAGGAGACGAGGATGGCTCTGGCAGTGCCGGACGGCGGCCTGACGCTGCACCGCGACGCTGCGTCCTCCCAGTTCCTCCGGCTCAACCTCCCCCAGTCGACCCTCGCAGACCTGCTCCAGGTGCTCAACGACCCGTCTCTGCCAGCCGCCGCTGCTCCTCGTCTGCGGCTGGGGAAACACCCGTCGCTGCTCATAAACTCCAAGTCGACGCCCTTCCACGCCTATCCCCAGACCTCTCGCTCGGAGATATACCAGCACGGCGGCAGCCAGAGCCAGAGCCAGGATGCTGCTGCCGGCGCAGACGGAGGCCTCTATTTCTCGGGCGTGCTCAGCCATAGCCTGGAGGTGCAGAAGGCCAAAGAGGCCACTGCGGCCACCGACGAGGCCCTCACAAACCTCGAGCGCAGCCTCAACGCCTTCGAGAAGGGCAAGGAGTCTCGCCGCACTCCCCTGATCGCTACCATTGACCAGATGCGAGCTCTGGGCGCCGGAGACAGCAGGTCGGCCACGGGCAGAGAGGCCGCCAGTCTGGCCAGAAAGTCGACCAGCAGAGCAGACCAGGAGAAAGAGCGCTTCTTCAAGAACGCCAATGCCTCTCGGTCGACGCCTGCAAGCCCGGCACTCGTTCCTCTCTCGCCTCTGCCGCCGGCCGCCGCTGCTGGTGCTGGTGCTGGTGCTGCTGCCACTACTACTACGGACAAGGAGAACCAGCGCCTCGAGGCCATTCGGACACCACTCATACACCTGCTCGCCATACGGCCCGTCTCGGCCAAGTTTCTCGCTTCTCGAACGCGCTGCAATAATGCGGATGTGCTCGCCCTGACCAACAAGCTGTGCACTCCCAACCGGCTGGACGGGTCCAAGTTCGATCTCAAGGATAAAGTGTACAAGGATCTTGACGTCTGGTCGTTTCCTTACCCGTCGGACGAGGAGAGGACGGAGGCGATCGAGAATGCCATCTCTGCCTTTGACCGGATGCGGATTTCCAAGGCAGACCGGCTCTGGCAGACTTTGCTGCCCAAGCATGAGCGAGGCAAAGGGAAAGTGCTCTCTCGGCTCAATCTACGCACCCAGCCCCAGGGCCAGGCCCAGACACAGCAGCAACAGTCTAGACTACAGGTTCCAGAAGAAGGCGGGTACGGCACCGGCAATGAGTCCGAAGGCCCAACGGCCCTAGACCAGTCCATGGCCACAACAACGACCCCAACAATCCCACACCACGCTCCAACTGCCAAACCGGCGGCCAAGAAGAGAGGAGGCCTGGAAAAGGCACTCTCTTCCAAGCGCGGGCCCAAACCAAAGTCTACGCCTGCTGCCACGCTCACGGGCAAAGTAACCAAGAAGACAGAGAAGAAGACGCCAGCGGCCGGTTCTGCGGCGTCGCTCAAGTCGAGGGATGCTGACCGATTCAAGTCCTCCGAGTTCATCCTCGACTCGGACGAGGAAGAAGCGGCGGCTAACGGCATCGTCGCCAGCAGCAAGCCTACCCTCGCAGCCACAACAACAAAAACAACTACCACCACTACCACTACCTCGACTGCCCAGCGCGGCCGGCCGCCAAAGACAAAGAAAGTGCCCGCCAGACGACAGCCCCCCGCAGCCATATCCGCTCCGACTACATCAACGACCACACGACCGGCCAATGTGACTTCACCACTGAAGCCGTCTCCTCTAGGCTCGTCACCGCCTACCAATGCCTCCGACGTTGACGTCCCCAGCGGCCGCCCACCCAACACAAAATCTCGCCCACACTCCAATTCACACTCGTCCAGCTCTTCCTCGCCCCTGATACACCATCTCCCCCGAAGGATTCCACCGGCACAACCGGGAAAATCTCGACCAACACCCCCGTCCACGGCAACCTCCACCTCCACATCAGCATCCACCTCCGCATTACAATCCGCGTCGACAGTACCCGCCAAGCCAGGCGCGCTCAAGCGAAAAACCCGCCCGGCTGAAGATACCCGACCTCCACCGGCATCTTCGACATCCACCACTGCCGCCATCGGCCTTGGAATCCATGCATCCGAACCTAAACGCCGCCGCCCATCCTCCATCTCCTCAACAACGACCTCTTCCCTCTCCCAGCCTGAATCAATGCCCTCGGTCTCAGGCTCAGGCTCAGGTTCCGGCTCTGCGTCTCCCCCCATCTCACAGACCATCCTGCGTGCCCGACTACGCACCAAATCAGCCCAGTTCAAACAGTACTATGCCAAATACCGGCTTTTGCACGAGGAGATGATGTCCCGCTTACGAAACGGAATGGACTATGACATTGATATCGAGCAGATTCGCAAACTGGAGAGACAGCATGCTCATCTGCAGAAAATGAAGCAGGAGATCTGGGACGAGGATCGGAGGTTACGCATGTCTTCGTAGTTGGCCTTTTTTCTTTTTTTTTTTTCTCTCTCTTCTAAAAACCCCTTCCTTTTTCTTCACCATTTTCCTTATCTCATGTTTGACCATATTTCACTTTCCTTGCCATTACCATTCAGCATGATCTGCCTGCGTGTCCATATGCTTGTTCACTTTCCCTTCTGTTTCTTTTCATGTATCGCCTATCTACCTGTCTGGGAGTAAATTCATCCATCCATCCATCCATCCGCTCATCGTTGCTCTACTTTTTCTTTACGCAGCTAGTTTTAAGAGCCAGGAACAAAGACTAAAACCTACCATCACACAACCACATCACCATGCACGACCCCAACTAAGTTACATCTCAACTAACTTCCGTTCGCTCGTTCGTTCCTCGCTTCGGCCCATCGTACAGACCATACTTCGTGCCTATACTTAGTTCACCATATGCCGTCCACCGTCCACCGTTCAACAGCCCATCGTACATCGTGCCACGCCGACGCAACCCTTTCCCTCTCCTTTCCCCCCTTTCCCCCCTTCCCCTCTCGCTGTACCGCCCAGCCAGGCCCTCGATGTAACTCTGCCTGACTCGCCTTTTATCCCCCGATCCCATATTAATAGCACAGGTGATAATGTCTGATCTTAGCTAGTCGCAACTTAATTCAGCATTGCCGAGCTGCGCCGATGAAGCATCGCCTTGTTCCCTCCGTACACACATACATACATACATACGTACATACCTAACTTTACCCGCCCCTCCCGCTTTCTCATCTACCACATGCCGTCGCCTGTTCCACGCCTGATATCATCCTGTCGTTCTGGCTGGCGGTCCTGTCTGTCGCTGTCGCTGCTTGTGTTATTCGTCGAGGGCGAAAAGCAGGGAATAAGGTTACCCCACGTGCCACGAGGCGGGACCGGGCGGCCGGGACCCGCGTTCCGGTCTTTTTCGTCACGCCGATACGCACGATACGCGGAGATGGGTATTGTGCCTGGATCGGGGCCGTTCTCGAGGTAGCGGAAGATTGTGTACGAGGTGCGGTTTACGAAAAAGGATGACGACGAGATGGGTGACGAGGAGAGCGGCTGGAGTAAGCAGAGACTTGGTCGATGAGGGCTGAAGGGCGTGAAGGGTGAAAGGAAGACGGAGTTGGAAGACGCGGGTGATGTGCTGCTTATGTAAGATTAGTGAAGGAAGTCACATGATGGATAATCTACACGTGATATACTCTAGTTGTGTCATGTGATTATTAGTAAGCAGAACTTAAATTTGACTTCCGCCGATAAAAGTTGAATAATAATAATGAACACTTGGATCCATTATTGTTATTGACGTGAATGCAGAGATAGATACCGATGTTGATGTTGACGCTGGTGCTGAAGACATGCGGTGGAAGAATAACCATGGCATTGCTCTACTCAGGACCACTCCTTCAGCTCGTCAGCGAGGAATGAGATTCCTCTCTCTCTCCTCTCAACCTCATCCTCAGCTGTTCCTGGAGAAGCCGGATGGTACCGGTATGTCATCATACATGTGCATGTCTCAAGGATAGACATGCCGAGTCCCAGCATCATCCCACCCGCGTCTCGCAGCTCTTCTGATTTCCTTGGTAGAAGTTCCAGCCACAGAACACGACATGTTCGCATATCGCCGACATCGATGGCTGTACGTCCGTCTATCTTCCTCTGTCCGGAAGCTGGGCTGGCATCTGACCAGGTCTCGATTTCGACCTTTTTCTAGATTCAATGAAGACAAGGAACTCGCGTTGAGATACCGGCAATTTGATGTCCAGAATCTAATTAAAGTTGCTGTCCATGCTGTCGGCGATCATGCACGCTGCTGTATGTAGCAATTATACCCTTGCTTACATGCATCTGAGCGGAACAGCGTGTAAGCTGACATGTTATTTCCCCTGGCTTACCCTGGCCTACCCGAACCAGGCACAAAGATACTCAAGTGCGCTGAAGGCCTTCATAATAAAGCCTTCCTCTTAACTCTTGATACCGGGGACGAAGTATTTGCCAAGCTGCCAAATCCCAATGCTGGGCCCTCGCGATATCTCACGGCCTCAGAAGTGGCCACGAGGGAGTTTGTTGGTTTTCTTGTTTTCTCATTAGTTTCATATCAGATTTTGCTGGTCTTGTGAATCTGATTGTGTCTTTTCATAGCTGCGTGATATAGCCAACTTTCCTGTTCCACGGGTTCTTGCATGGTCAGCGGATCCAGCCAACCCCGTTGGGGCGGAATATATCATTGAGCAAAAGGCCAGTGGGATCAGGTTAGGTAGAGTATGGCATGAGTGGCTGCGGAAGTCGAAGTTACATATAATAGAACAGATTGTCAAGTTGGAAAATACCCTGACTTCTTTCAAGTTCTCGAAGCATGGCTGTCTATATTTCAGGGCTGACCTGCCGGATCCATTCCGTGGAGAGGATGGAGGCTTGCTGCTTGGCTCCGACTCTACTGTGGGCCCGGGGGTTCTAGATCGATATGTTATCGGCCCACTTACGGGGGCGGAGCTTTGGCGTGCTGAGCGTGAGAAGATGGAGCTGAATAGAGGTCCTTGTGGGTTATCGTTTCACTCCTACGATCAAGCGCTCGTTAACAACTTGACACAGGGCAACGGGCAGAAGACTATGCAAGAGCTATGGGGGAGAATGAAATTGCTTGGATAAACCGGCATGCTTCTCCACGAATAAACGCGTATATATCTCTAAAAGACCCAGAGTTACCTGATCATGCTCTTAACCTTCTGACTAAATACTTGGATGCCATACTTTACCTTATACCTCACGACCCGGCCCCATGTGCAAACATCCTCTGGCATCCAGACCTGCATCTGGATAACGTCTTCGTTGATCCAACGACTTGTGAAATCACAGGCATAGTCGACTGGCAGGGCGCGAGAATAGCACCTCTCTTCTACCAATCCTGCATACCTCGCATGTTCAGGCATAACGGCCCCGTCCGTGAGGGATGGATCGTCCCATCACGTCCAGAAAACTTTGACACTTTAACGCCGGAGGAACAAAGTCAGCTTGACCGAAACCTTGAAAAGGAAACTGTCCACAAATACTACGAGGCAATGGTATGCAAGCATTCCCCCCGCCACTGGGAGGTTTTGAAAGACATGAGATATATACAGCGCAAACGGAGCCCTACCAGTCTCGTCACCGGGGTCTGGGAGAATCGTGACCTATTCTTCCTGCGTCAAAGCTTGATTGCCATCGAAGCTCTATGGGATAAGCTACGACCAGACGAGACAGTTGAGGCTCCAATCTCTTTCACAAGAGGGGAGTTAGACCTTCATATGAAGGAAGATGAAAATATCTCTGGTGTTGGGAGTATGCTAAAACTCTTTCGTGACCAAGGGGTTCTTCCTGACGATGGGATGGTAGACCCAGAGGACTATGACACTGCAAAAACCAATTGTCAGAAATTCAAAGATATATTCATCGGACTTGCGAAGGATGAACAGGAAAGGGAGCTCTTCTCTAAGTTATGGCCATATCAGGACAAGGAATAGCGTCATACATCTGGGTAGAATAATATCTCTAGCAACTTCACTCCTAGATTGATGTACGATATATGTAACATTATAAAGAGCGTCAACTGTGTTCGAACAAAGAGAAAAGCCTCACAGATATAACAGTAAATGCCTCAATCTATCAATCTATCGAAATAGTCGGCTCTGGGGCTTCCAATTTGCATTATGTAAGCGACAATAAAGCCAGAGCACGTGACACTTACTAAGCGCTATCTGTACTATAAACTTGCTGTCTCTCCCTTGCATGTTTTGTATACGCCGTTTGCGTCATACACTTCGGTTTCACGGCGACGAAGATCAGACAGATACCAGGTTAGCGACCGGTTCGGAGGAGGAGGGCATATCCAATTAGCTATAAACACCCTAACGATGGCGCCCAAGGGCCCAGGGACAAGCAAACGAAATCCCACCGTCTTAGTATGCTACCCAGCAAGCACCTTTCCTCAAGGATCAGCAAACTGACACCTGCTCCAGGTAACCGACTCTAGAGACCGTCAAACAAGGTACTACCCGGCCTCACGGACGCCGAATAGTAGTAGCGCAAACGATATCCCTATTGCGGGCCCGCCCAGTTCTCGCCTCATAACCGTCGATAATGTCCTCCAGTACGCCTCAGATTTGCCCGCGATGCAGCAACGTGGACAACTCGGCCAGCGAGGCCCAACTGTTGGAACAAGCTCTGCCGTGCGCTCACGGTCTGGCTCAGGATCTGAGAGCAGGTTAAGATCCGGTCTGAACGCCGCTAGCAACGCTCTTAGCTCGAGTATGGATAGCAGACACCGAAGCGGAGGCCGTTTGGCCTCTTTACCACAAATACCGCCTCGTTCATCTAAAGTCAGTGAGAAACTAGTTCTTCTTCCAGAGACGGTGGAGGAAGAAGAAGAGGAGGAGGAGCAAGAAGCAGAAGAGGAGGAAGAGGATGAGGATGATGAAGTTGCGGATGACGAAGGCACGCCTTCGAAGATAAATGAGAGATATGAACGGTTACGACGCTTGACTGCTGCCCGCGCGAAGCAGCCGGATTTTACACAGGATAATATGGCTGCGCCGCTCCTTGATAATGAAGAAGCTATTCGAAAACGCAGATTCGCCGCGAGCCCTGAGAAAGGGAAGAGTTATGCTGAGCGTCTACCCAAGGCTCGAAGAGGGAAGAAGTTGCCTCGTGTAACGGCATATTGCACTGCTCAGGCGTATAAGATGGGTGCTGCGGCAAGCTTTGTCAAAGAACTCCACGATGCGCGCACAAAGTTATATGATGACTGCTTATACGCCGCATACCATCTACCCTTATTGCCTGGTCGAGACGGGTATAGGGTGAGAAGTAGCCCTATCTTCCGAAGTGCAGAGGGCAAAGTAGTCCTAGACGAAGAGATTGCAAGGAATGAGAGAAGGGATTACCACGATGAATACTTTACAGAGACAGAGGAGCATTCTGTTCGAAATTCAGAGGAGCAGGAGAGACGTGAGCGCCGTCGTGAGCAAGAACGGGACCGGGAGGAGGAGGATGGCCATGAGCGTGACCATACACACGATCACGAAGTTGGAGCAGAGCGAAGTAATGGACGACGCCAGGAAGAAAGAGATACACCAGTCCGTGGCCATTCATTCCATGTTGAACATCACGACGATCAACCCTCAACTCAAAAAGGTGACATCCGACAGCCTACCTCTCCGGTCTCGACCAGACAATCCCGACCCTCAATACCTCCCAACGCCCTTTCCTTTGCAGAAATGTTCATATTCAGTTACGGGGTTGTCGTCTTTTGGAACTTCACAGAGCGTCAGGAGAAGGAAATCCTCGCAGATCTCGCATTTTGCCCTGCACCAAATGACCTACCGCTTAACCCTCTGGCAGAAGAAGATTTCGAAACAGAAGAGTTCCACTTTGAATACTCTTCCGCTATCTCTAGACCCCGAGTGTATAATGATATGATTACATTACGATCAGGGGATCATATGATTAAACTGGCTATCAGTCATGGCATAGCACAAAGCACAAAGCTCAGTTTCTTTGAGGAGGGCATGGCGCGGCAAATGGCAGACGCAAAGGATGTGCCGAGACGGTTAGCTTTAACCGGTCATCTAGGCATGGGCAGAGAAGAAGTCTTCCGTATCATGGGCAGGTTATTCAAATCGCGTGTTGAAGTCAATCTCTGTAAGCATGCCCTTATCACTCTCTCCATGTACGGATTTATACTAATGAAACTCCTCCAGCTTCGAACATGCTCGACGTGCCCAATTTCTTCTGGGATAGCGAGCCGATGCTTCACCCCCTGTACATCGCTGTTCGTGAATACCTAGAGATAAAACCTCGCATTCAAGTTCTGAATGAACGATGCCGAGTCTTCCTCGACCTTATTGAAATCCTCTCTGATTCTATCGCCGACAATAAAGTGTCTAGCCAGACATGGATTATCATCATTCTGATTTTCATTTCCATCATCGTTACCCTATCTGAGGTGGTGTTAAGATTTGGCATTCTATCGACCAAGAAGGGAACTCAGAGTAAGATGTTGCTAGACCAGGGAAAAGCCAATGGTATGAGTATTGGTATCTAGCCCCATGAACGTATTTTCCTAATATTTGTTGCTGGTTTCTTTCTTTTTCTTATGCGGCATGTTTGTCAGATGGATGGTTGTTTGCTTGGTTTAATTGTAAACTGCAGCTGTGGTTTGTTTTTTTTCCTGCAAGCGTTGACGTTTAATACCACATTTGTCTTTACTTTTTCCTTAATTTGATATCACTGTGAGGCTTAAGTTTTACACTATTGCAAATTTACCTACAGAGCAATATAATTTGGTTTTCAATTTCCCTTCAAAAACTAAAAAAAAAAATTATCCAGAGCATCATGAGCTGACAGGGAAGATAAATCCTGCTTGGGATTGCTCTACTTCTTTGTGATGTGGACAGACTGAGCATTGCAGTATCCCATCATGCCACCTAATCCTCCTTCATACCCAATACCACTCTCCTTGTGTCCACCAAACGAAGTGTTGTTGCTCAGTTCGGCGTGGTTGTTGACCCACACACAGCCGGCTTCGAGCTGGTCGGCAATACGCTGGGCACGTTCTATATCCCTTGACCAGACAGAAGCACCAAGACCCATCTTAGTGTTGTTAGCTTCCTTGATGACGCTTGCCTCGTCATTCCAGGTTACAATTGGGACGATTGGTCCTGAAAAAGTAGTGAGTTAGTTGGCCAACGGAGTGGGACATTATGGTATAGTATACTCACCAAATGGCTCCTCGGTAACGATACGTGAGTCAATTGGGGGCCTATCGATGATGGTAGGCTCGACGAAGTAGCCCGGTCGGCCAAGATCACTTCGGCCACCAGTGGCAACGGTCCATTTCTCCTTTTCAATATCGGCAAATAGGTTCTTTACCTTGTTGAACTGCATCATGTTTTGAATAGGGCCATGAGTAACGCCTTCTTCGTCGCCGGGCCCGACCTTAAACTGCTTAACGGCTTCCACGAGAGCATCGCGGAATTTCTCGTGAATAGATTCGTGTACAAAGATACGCTTGATGGCGGCACATACTTGGCCGGAATGGATAAATGCAGTGAATGCGATCTGCCTTTGTCAGTCCATATACCTAATTAAAGACTCTTGACATTTATACATACCTTTGGAATAGCTTTCTCAAAGTCCACATCTTCGCAGATGATGGCTGGGTCGTTTCCACCACTTTTTGAAACATTAACATCCATAGACAGATATTATACGGGATGAAATAGCTTACAGCTCTAGAGTGACTCTCTTCAAAGTCTTGCTAGCACTTGCCATCACTTTCTTTCCTGTGAAGGATGATCCGGTGAAACTGATCTTTGCTGGGCCAGGATGCTCCGTTAACATAGGTCCTAGTGTGTCATCACCGCTAAGAACTTGAACGACACCCGGCGGGAAGAATTGCTGGGCAAGCTCAACAACTTTGAGATCTGTGTAAGGGCTGTAAGGTGACGGTTTAATGATAGTGGTGCATCCAGACATGACAGCAGGGCCGATTTTTTGGCAAGCAATCATCAAAGGAAAGTTCCAAGGAACAATTCCAACAGCGACACCCAAAGGTGTGAAGCGCTGGATAACCTTCTTTTCTTCGGTGTCTTCGAGGACTGTTGGCTTCAACTCAAGCTTGGAATTGGCACGAAGATTTGCAACAGCTGCTTGAATCTCGAAACCTGCGATTAGTTTCTATTTTGCTCTTGGTTAGCCTGTATATACAATGTTTGCCATACATAATGCCCGTTCGCTGAAGAAATCAATATACTTACCGGCTTCCCTTGCTCCCGAATAGTAAGGTCCAAGAACTGCTCTGCATGCGCCTCGATGGCATCTGCAAGACCAAGAACAGCCTTTGCCCTCTCTTCGTGGGAGGTCTTGGACCACGACTTGAACGCCTCCTGGGCAGCAGCCACGGCAGCGTCTACATCTTCAGCGGTTGAGATAGGGACCTGAGGATTCGGCTCGCCAGTGGAAGGGTTAAAGCTATGGCGAGTGACTGCCGCGGAGGTCAATTTGCCATTAATGACATTGCGAAAGGTGGTAAAATCAAGCTTGGCCGCCATGTTGGTATTATTCAATGAGCTTTTGGTATGCTACCTGAAGAAACACCAATCTGTCAACTGGGATGACAGCGCCCCTTTTATACGTATGAGCGGCGGGCCAGAGCTTCGTAGCAGCGTTTACACCGTTCCATAACGCGGGGCCTTGTAGTGGGGGTGCTCCCGTCCCGGACTTAAGCAGGCAGCACTGTACTCGCGTCTGATCTACGCATTGCTCCAGGGGGCCTTGAGATGATCGAATAACTGGGACTAACTCCGCCCATAGCGATGCAGAAGAGCGTCACAATGGCCGATGAGACGTTCATTGGATAAATATAGGGAGCCAGAGCGCATCTCCATCTATCAACAGCCTCGAAACGCGGAAGGCCAAGTGTTCGTCCGTAGCGGACGATCCTTCGGCACCATCCTGGTCAGAATAAGTAGGGATCTTCGGAAAAGTGCAGGAGGATAATGGCTCTTGGACAACTTTTCTGCATCTGGACTTGTGCAACACAGGGACTTCTTGTCAATAGATATCCCATGTTCATAGTAATAAAGATATAACATCCAATGTCGAGGTCGCGACAAAAGGAAAAATCCCTTTTGATATTGAGGTCCCCGGGCCCAGACAGCACCACGTGATTTTAAGCCTCGGCTGATTAATAACTATATTCCACCAATCAACAAACACTATCACTTAACAAATCATAATCCATAATTTACTAAAAATAAAAACACGGCCAAATTACACTTTAATCTATCTTGGTTAAGCTTCACACCAACCGTCTTGACACTTGGGATTTGGGAGGACTTGGGAAGAAGTTTGTATATTCTGAACAGAGAAGCTGATTTTGAGCGCAACTGTACGGAATAATCAACAAACTCAGTCAATTAAGCAATTAATACCTACATGCAACCTCTTGGGGTGTAAATTTGTGTTGTTTGAAGCCAGAAGGTGACCCCACTAAAAACTCATTGCCGTTCAAGCTGGCTTTACATGATAACAAAGGACATCGAGCGATATAGGCAACCGGATAACAGTCTAAGGTATAATAACATCTAGAACAGATAATAAAAAGCCTCTAGAGCTAGGAGTCTGCGAATTTAGCTGTAGCTTAGACTTCTTTCCGCACACCTTAGTAGATACTGGGTGTACTAATATCGTTACTTCTTATCGCTCTATAAACAAATGTTCATCAGTATAAGATCATGAGGCCAAGGGAAGAACATCTTACCTCTTTCTGCTCATCCGGCTTCTCAGCAACATGGCGCCGGGTCAAATGTTTGCCGTCCTTGTCTTGGTAGGTGACCCTGGAATGGCTGATTCTATCATTGCCACTCTCGTGGAAGCCGTCCCTGATGGAGGTGAGCACGAAAGCTATGCTGTCTTGTCTCGGATCCTTACTCAATAATAGCCATCCCAATAGAGCTCCCGTATTTCCCTTCGACCTGAGCACTGTGATTCTGGAACTCGTCATCAATACGTTTCCCAACGCCTTCGCTGAAGTACGACTCATCGAAGATGCCGGGGCGACGCCACGCTCCACCTTCATCCTCCATACGAAGATATAAGGGGACCCCCGACTTGAGATTCCGTAGAAAGCGAAGTCCAGCGTCTTTCTTAGCCATTGTGAGAGTTAGGCGAGATTGGTAGCTTCAATAGAGCTTAGATACAGAAAGAGATGATCAAATGGAGAAAGGGGAATGAGCAGTGTCAGTATGGAATGCACTGATTTGATCGAAGGGGAAAATGAGAAGTTAAACTAAAATGGGTATTTCATCAATTATATATAGCTGAGCTCTTTCTTCCCATGGTGCCGACAAGGCTGGGACTGTTTGATACCCTTGGCGCTAAAGAGTCAGAAAGCCTTGAAACCAATCATTCCAGCCATCATAATTTGGGCGGCTACTTGATGCAATGTGATCGAAAGTGATTGGTGGTAGGCATCCCTGTTGAGGGTGTCGAAGCCCGAGTTTTGCTCGGGGTACCGCCTCGCAAGACTATCAAGGACATGTAGTAACTGGCACCCATAGCGCAGTATCTGCTTGCTGGAAGCGCCGACGGGTTTACCTTGAATATTAGATATTGGTCCCAATAGCCCCTGAAGTTTCAGCATGATGTGCTGAGGAACGAAGCCAGGCTAACCACCCAAAGACTGCTGCTTGATGAAGTCGCTGGCTCCAGGAACAAGCCATGGGGCGTGGAACTGAAATGCAGCCAGTCATGTGCCGGCGAGGCGTCCAGGGTGGGTCCATGGGACGCTTAGACGAACTTATCCTTTTTAGGCTAGTTCGGTCTTCAGCTCTCTCAAACTTCAAATTGCTCAGGACCTCCTCAGCAGAGTAGTTACAGCGACTGCTGGCCCAACATAAAGACACAGTGCTTGATAGCTACGACATATTCACGATATTATGCCACCCCCTCTCCGTGCGTTAACTCGAGGCTCGATGTTGGTCGGTAAACGCGGTCAACGCTACGTTTTGCTTGATCCGCTCGTTCAACGCAAAGGGAAACAGTGTAATGTCTGGAGCGCTGCAAAGCAGGATGACCCAATGCACCAGTTTGTCCTCAAGAAACCAGACGATGAAGATGGCCCCGGGTGGCCCGACTTCACTCGGGAGATGGAAATGCAGAAGCTGTTGTATAAATCTGGTTACATCCGTCGGATGGTTGATGTCATCCCGCCTCCTTCTGATACGGAGCCGCCAATCATGGTTCTTGAGGCATTCGAGAAGTCGCTGTGGACCGCACGATTGCGGCGCCCTTTTTCTTTGGGGGAGATTCGATCTGTTATGAGATCTGTCGCGATTGGGCTGAGTACTATACATCACAACAATATTGTGTATACAGGTTTGTCGCCTAGAACAGGTCTTAGCATTAATGGACACTAAGTATATGCCAGACTTGAAGATGGAGAATATCCTTGTCAATGGGTTCGATAATGAGACTCCAGGCTCCGGTGAACATTTGGTGACTAAGATTGCTGATCTTGGGATGAGTATATTATTACTATCTATCTTGCTATTATAAATGGATAACTGACTGAGAACTAGTGCGACCACCTTCCCAGGGCCCTATATCTGCAATTACATATCGTAGTCCCGAGGTATACTTTAAGAAACCCTGGACAACTGCAACAGATATATGGTCTTGGGGTATAGTGGTATGCCCTTTTATACCTATAACTCTTACGGTGGGCTATATTAATATATTTTATAGTATCTACATCTACTTCAAGCCCATGTTAATTTCGAAGAACCTGGGATGTTTGACTCATTAAAGGTTGAAGGGACGTTAATAGATAAGGAGAATACTATTCGGGCAGCTATGGCTCAAGAGTTCGATCTTCATACGATTGAGTATTATAACTCAGACCCAGATACGCGACAACTACTGCCACCTAAGGATGAAACGAGGACTGAGCTTGATCATTGGGTAGTAAAGCTCATTAACAAGGATATCCCGGAAAAGGATATTGAGACAGTCCACGTCGCCCTCAATCCTGTTCCAGAGCTACGCCCCAGTGCACTTGAGCTTCTGGAATATGGCTATATCTAAGGCGCTATAGCTTGGGACGCTGTTGGCTATACCACAAGAGAAATAGTGATTGTAAGCCTCTATTACACGGATATAGAGCATATAACTCCCGATAACGCCTCGGTATGTATATTACCAACCCAACTGCTACCAAATGTAAGCATGGTACAGATTGGTAGCATGTCTTTTGCGATTTAAACACCCGCGGGACTTAGCTCGTTTTCGTTTACGCTGCTCAACAACTATCTAACAACGGCACAACAGCTGGGTGTCCGCGTCGTCGCCGGTGTTCTCCAAGTAACGGGTTGCTGGTATCCGCACCCTCAGTTTACTTCTCTTCTTTACATCAAAACGACCACCCTACTTCGCTACGTCATAACTTCTACACTGCGTCATAACGCTTTTCGTTGCTTCCGCTGTCATCTTTTATCTTCCTTCTTCGCTACAGCCTCATGACCAACGACGACAACTCACGACGTCTGCTGTTGGCAACACAGTTGCGTGCTTTTCGAGCTCTTCAGTACGTTGGTCACGACCAGTTCGACTACGATACACTCTTACCTACATCATCACTACATCAATGAAGGCATATCTACCACAGCCAACCTGTACCATCCTTACACCAACCCACGATTAATTAGATAGATAATGGCAAACAGAAGTATAGCTCGTATATTAAAACACAGCAAGTATAATTAGAATAAGTAGTCTGTAGATATATTAGAATTTATATCTAAAAATTAATTCTAGTTGAAGTATTTTAAAGCCCATATCACGTGTCGTTCCCTGAGCCTTCGAGAAAAGCAATCATGCAGCAATCTTCGTGACGAATGTTATTAGTAAGCGCATGAAGTGACTAGCGTGGTTAATTTTATTGGGGACTGTTGTTCGCGCTATCTGGCCACTTTTGAGGCTATCAAATGCTTTCTTGGATCCCGAGCACTCTGTTTGTTCTTCTACAGTGACCACGCCGGTGAATATAGAATAGCGATTGCAGGCATACAATCGCGATGATTTACAGCCCTTGACCGACCCTTCCTTTAGATACGATGATCTTGTCTTGGAGATGGCACAGTTTGGCCGTCCTCGCGTTAGGTTAGCTTCATACATCGCACCACTCAGGTCTTGCTTAAGATGCTAACGATTTGGCCGTACTCACAGTGCTGTGCTTACAGGCCATAACGGCCGGAGCTCGAAATTTACGGGAGGACCTCACAAACCGAGAATCTAACCCTACGGACCTACCGCTCCCAGGCTCACTCGATGTTGAGAACCCAGTGGCTAGAGCGAGAGGCAACAATGCTCGCGAGTACTCTATCGGTAATTAAGGAACACCTCTGCACTTTTGTTGGAAGAATTACGGGTCTAGAGCTTTAGCTGAGCATTCTCTTGCAGATCAACCAGTTGTCGAAACGGCATTGAACATCCTCCGCAAGATAAAAGTCCCTACCAAGAAATACGAACGTCCGTCTGGCATCTTTGGTCATGCGAGCTACTACGGCCGCGAGTTGTTTTACCTTTTGTTTATGAATGCACCGTCATCGGATCAGTTGTCATCAAGTCGATTTACCAAGAAAAATGGGAAACTGGTGGAAGCAGTCCGGCTACTGGAGGGGGCTGCTCGTAAGAATAATTCAGATGCTACATTTCTCCTTGCCGAAATGAACTTTTACGGAAATTATACCCACCCACGCGACTTTTCAAAAGCCTTCCGATATTACGATGCGTTGGCGACCTTGACTGGAAACAGTACTGCGCAATACATGCTCGGGTTCATGTATGCAACTGGAATCGGCGGGGTTGTGGAACGAGATCAGGGCAAGGCGCTTCTATACCACACGTTTGCTGCCAGGGGTGGCAATACTAGGTCACAGATGACGCTGGCATATCGGAGATACATAGGAATTGGAGCCGCTCCGGATTGCGATCAAGCGGTATATTGGTACAAGAAGGTAGCCGATAAGGCGATTGCATGGTATAGATCCGGGCCACCCGGCGGTATTAATTGGCGTCGAGAGGCCTTCCGTTGGGCTGATGAGGAAGGTGGCGTGTATGGTGAGGGAGCCAGTGTGTCTAGTGCTGGTTACAACGCGATGAGGGATGTCCATTCCAGTGCCGATGCGAGCCTGGATGATGTGCTGGAGTATCTCGATCTTATGGCTAAGAAGGGTGATACTAAAGCTACCTTTGGCCTTGGGAAGCTCTATTATGAAGGATCACGCCAGCTGGAAAGGAGCTACAAGAAGGCCATGATGTATTTCGTGGTAGTTGCAAGGAAATACTGGACCAAGGACGGCTCTATCAACCCAAGCCATCCACCAGGCATTGACAAGATCGCTGCTCAGTCTGCGGCCCATATTGGCCTGATGTTCCTTCGTGGAGAGGGCACAGAGCAGAATTTCCAAAAGGCCAAAGTCTGGTTTACACGAGGAAGAGCAAACGGTGATGCAATGTGCCAGCATTATCTAGGGCTGATGTACTTGCATGGCTATGGCGTCGAACAGGATGTAATGAAGGCCGCTTCATACTTTAAAGCCGCAGCGGAACAGGACAACTACTACTCCAAAACGCGGCTTGGAGCGTTGTTCCTTGACCAAGGAGATGTTGTCACGGCATCGATATATTTTGAAGCAGCCGCTCGGCATGGCGGTATGGAAGCCCTCTATTACCTCGCCGGAATTGCAGACCGGGGCCTTGGCGGACAGCGCCATTGTGGAGTTGCCACAGCGTACTACAAGATAGTCTCCGAAAAGGCCGAAGGCATTCATTCCGCTTTTGCCGAAGCGAATGATGCTTATGAGATTGGAGACAAGGAGCTCGCTCTGATCATCTCTACCATGGCAGCAGAACAAGGGTATGAGAGCGCCCAGGCAAATGTTGCATACCTTCTCGACGAGAAACGATCTGTTTTATCCCTTGATCCTATTCTTCCATGGGTAAGGGGCGGACGCTCGTCCTTATTGCGCAACGCAGCCTTGGGGTTCATATACTGGGCCCGCTCTGCTAAACAAGCCAATATAGACTCAATGGTGAAGCTAGGAGATTACTACTTTGAAGGCTATGGCACAAAGAAAGATGTTTCTAGAGCACTCACCTGCTATCATTCCGCAGCTGAAGGCCACAGTGCCCAAGCATTTTGGAACCTTGGCTGGATGTATGAGAACGGCCTTCATGTTGAGCAGGACTTCCCCATGGCCAAGAGGTATTATGACCTTGCCTTGGAAACGAACCAAGAGGCATATTTCCCGGTCACACTCAGCCTTCTTCGACTGCGTGCTAGGAATTTCTGGAATAAGGTGATACGAGGGAAGGCTAATACTATCAACGCAGAACCAGGTATGATTCTACTTCCATTGCCCAATCACAAGTAGCATGGCTAATGGGTACTAGATGTAAATACTCCACGGACATTTAAGGAGTGGATCTCACACTTTATCAACTATAATGAAGAAGAAGCATACCAGAGAGCACTCCGCCAACAAGCTGCTGCGGACCCTGACGCCATCCTAGATGAGACCGGACATGCGCACGCTCAAGACCAAGATCTCAATTACTATGACGAGGAGGCCCTTGATTTTGACGACGGTATCCTAGAGAGTCTTATCATAATTGGGCTTGTTGCTACCCTGGTGCTTCTATTGCACTTCCGCCAGCAGCGGGCAGCTCGTCGTGCCCAAGAAGCAAACAACGCCAATAATCAGCAACAAAACCAAGGAGCTGATGGTGCCGGCAATGCAGCAGAAGATAGGGGCTTCTTCCCACGACCGGATGACCCCAACTTTGCAGCGTGGGTTGCTGGAGGACTTGGACGGTAGTAGATTGTTGTGCCACATGTTTTACGCATATACCCGTTTTATTTTTTCTGTTATTATTAGCATGCATCACCTGGAGAATTTACACTGTTTGTTACTTTGAACAATAAGTCTTTGATCTTATTTTCCTGCGGGCGCCCAGCTTTGTTTACATTGGATTGGAAGGTCTGTACAGAGCCCCCTACATCGCCTTAGTAATCGCCCAAAGAGGAAATACAGACGTCGACTTCATCTCCTGCATTTTACTCTCGAAATATCCATACACAACAACAACATCACATGTCGCCTACAATAGCACGAAAGGGTTCCAGTCTACACACGGAATCAGACACAATGGAGGTCAAACTGACTCTGCCTAAGAAACGAGGACTCGGCGATGGCTCGCATACCCTGAAGAGGCCTTTCAAGTCACCCCTCCGCAAAGGACCCGATGCAGAACCTGTTGTCTTCTCGCAGTCTGTATCAACCGATTCTTCCAATCAAAGGTTATTCGTCAATAGCACCATAAAATGGAAGCCCTCACCTGGTACCCAAACTCCTCTCGCCGGACAGAATCCTTTTCAGGACGCACATATCTCATCAGCTACGACTCCCAAAGCCCGCATTTCCACCCTCCAAAGAGAGATGAGTAGTTTACAGCTCCGCCTGGCTCGCCAACTCGAAGAAATAGATATCCTCGAACAGGCAATAAACATCCTGGAGAAAGGAAAGCTAGGCGAGCTCGAGATACTTAAACAGAAATGGCGAAGCGTAAGCCGGGACGCAGCCGAGGACCTGTTTGTCAGTGCAAAGGACAAAGTGAACCGTATGGGCGGGGTGAGAGTATACAACGAGAAGATCCGAAAGAGAAAGATGAGACAGCAGGAGTGGGGAGGGTGGGACGACAAGCAGGATGATAATGACGACGAAGACGAAGATCTTGGAAGTGATATTGAGAGAGAGAAGGAGAGGAGGAAGGTAGAGTTGGAGGAGATGATTGATTTTTAGGAGAAGGACGAAGCCGAGCTAGAGGATGAGGAAGAGAGCGAGAATGACGATGAGGTGAGTGGCCCCCTTTTGTGGTTGATTGCTGTTGAAATTGATTCTGACTGGCTGATTATCTAGACTTTTACCATTGACATGATGCTTAAAGGCCTGAATGTCGATCTCAAAGTCATTGGCTTTGATAAGGCTAGCCAGAGATGGATCGATTGAAGATTGTTGCTACGATCTTAGTCCTACTATGACTTCTATATCTGTATTATACCTACGAGCATGGTTACACCGAGTGAAAGATGACTGAGGTGCATACATCCGCCTACTGAACGGGTATTAGTATTCCTACATCCAATCATAAATGTATAATTTTATCAATGTGGTAATAGACAGACGCAGTTTTATACATATCAACTGCTGAGAAACTCCTTTTTTTTAATTTGAACTTGACGGAGAACTGAAATTGCAATAAGAATATACCCCTTGGGGGGACGAAGAAGAGTCGGACGACTTCATGGAATCGTAAGAACTTGTTACGAATACTCTTTACCCTCCATTTTTGTTTTTCCTACGTATTAAATTCCTATATTTTAGAAATCAAAAATTCAAATTCTTCTCTCTGAACTACTTCCTGACCAGTGCTAAAAACGTAGAAGGACTAGTCTCCTTTTCTATATACGACATCTTGTACGGAATTCGTGTAGCCCATTATGGCTACGTTGAATATTTCCTGGCCTCTGTGTGAGATAGCGGCCGCGGTGCTAAGGCTTAACCCCCCACTGATAAAAGGAAGATGCTGCGTCGAAGACAGAGATATATTTACAGTTGGCTAAGTTAGTTACCAATTGAACGATTTCTTTATCTCACGGAACCGTCATATCATCGCGGCTCCTTGTTGCGCTCGTCATAACTGTGACCGTCTTCCATCCAACATTGTAACATGCTCCTACTCTTTGCTATCGCTTTCGTCCGGGTACGCAGGCAAAGGTGATCCTTGAGCAAAAGCTTTCCCAGGGCTCACCGCGCGATGGAAACGCCTATAGTAACCTCGGAAATTTGCACATCTTTCATCTGCAACTGTGCAGGATGAGGCTGGAAGAAAAGGATCGACCTACGGCCTCGCAAGGGCGATACAGGCCTTCGCAACGCTTGCCGACTGCACCTGTTTCGAAGCCGCAGTCAAGATCAAGCACTCGGTCGGGCTCTGGGTTGGTTGCAGCATAGAGATTCCCAAGGCAACGAGCACATGGAAGAGGCATGACGGGGGAACTATAGATACCCCAGGAGGACCCGGGGTTGAGGAAACCAACGGTTAGAATGTTGACCCCTGATATACCTAGTGTACCAGAGGTCCAACATTCAATCCCAAAGTGAATGTTCAGAGAATCTGGAGTACGGGTCCACTAATCACAAAGCGTGGGAATCCGTCTCTAAAGGCCTGGAGCTAGCGTTGAATTTCTATCCAGCACTTGGGGTACTTCTTCATCCCCCCAAATTGCTCCCAGAAGAGCAGCTAATCATCTCACACTATACCACCATAGCCATGTGATTTCGAATTCAATAAGTATAGATATAAATGCGTGTGGGTGTTCGACGAGGAGTTTCCGCCGGGCATTGTCGGGCCATGTGGAATCTATTTTTTTGTAACTAGCCCAATAAGACCTTACGGGCTAGTTACTGGCACGCACAGCTGCCTTTGAATGGCAACACAGCAGTAGTAGATTGGCGCAGGTGGCTGCGGCTGCGCGGTTGGGAGGCGCCGGCGGATGCCCCCAGACACTCATGATCTACCCGCCAGAGCTGCTGTTGCTTCTGCTTCCTCTGCCGTCTTCCAGGCTGTTACTGCTGTTGTTACTGTGGGCCAGTGGGTTGTGGTTGCTGCATGCTTAATTGGCAATGATCTATGGTGTTTATTCAGTTAGATACACGGAGCAAGTGTTGGATGTAGTGATATTGCTGCAAGAACGTCGAATAAGCTGATCGATTAACCAGGTATCGTCTCTTTGTTGTATGGTTCACCATGCATGGTTGCCATCACAGTTATCGGATCCAGGAGGGAAGTCGGATTCAAAAATGGGCTCCAAGAGTAGTTAGAGGAACAATGGCCCCGATCAAAAGCCGATCTAATACATCCGCTGATGTTTCTTCTGCCTCCCCAGGCTCTGCTTCATCTGGCGTCATTTGCTTGCGTTGGAGTAGCAGGCTTAGCAGCCTGGCGCGTGGTTTTGGAACAACTAGTTAACTAGTTATATGATTTCTGGCAACGACTCTTTCGGTCCGGTGTGGTGCATCCCCCTAGGCTGGGGAATAGTAGCCAGGCTGAGCAGTGTATCTAGTTCATGGCCTGCCAGTGAGCGTTTTGATTTGCCGCTCTCCTTTTCGGATGATGATCTTCGTTGTAAAGCACTCTATAACAGGTGCCTGGTATTTAACTAACCAGTGCCCAAAACCAGAGTCAGAGCACAGTTCAACGGCCACTTAGTGTCAATGATATAGCGACTCTTTCTGCAGCCAATTGGGGGCCCCCCTTTTTGGCCCAGCGGTTTGATACATATTCATGGCTCATAGCGCTCTTGCTGGTATGACGTTCTTTAGGTAGTGTCTTGATCACATTATTACCCTAACAAAAATGCTTGCCGATTTCTGGTCAAACGTCAGAGTCATGTCAGGTTATTGTCGGCAGGTTACAACTTACACATAGTATGCGCCGCATGGCCCATGGGCCAAAACAACACAATCCCACCAGCGCGATTATCGCGCCGAACACCACAGCGACCCCATATGGGCCAACCCGCTCCAGGAGGAGGGAAGGGATGGGACGTGGCCAGCGTCGCCGCTGGGCCGGCCTCAGGAGCAGCAGTGGCTGTCCATATCCTCCGTTATTTCTCACTCTCTCTTTTCACGCGAGGCTCTTAATAGCTTCCATGCATGCTCGATGCCGCAGCGGAGGACGCAGTGCCGGCTCCTTCACTTCCACTACTGTCTTGTGCGATTCATCCGACACCTTGGGCACAGCAGGGCAGCAGCCACGATAGCTCATCTTCCTCGCATTGCTGTGCCGCCTGCGGTAGTGGCCGAAGCGTAGTTGCACGCAGATGAAGTCTGGCGCCAATGCTGTTGATTAGCTGGATACCAGGTCCTTTGCAGTTCACTATCTGCCCTATGCTGCTGTATATCTTTAGCTGCTCGTCGCACTTGTGATTCGCGCCACGAACGTCTGCCTGGGTTTCCTGACCAGATGCAGTTCGAGAAAGGCCCATCCCTAGGATCATCAGGTTCAAACGGAACGAAATTCGGCCGCCGTAAAAGGAGCGGCAGCGCCGACGGGTGTCTGAAAGCCAGCGTAGCCTTTTGGTCCATTCGCTGGTCCAACGATTCTATTCTATCATCACATACCGGCCAGGCAGCAGTGTATGGCACTTGTAGCATCGCTTAAATCCTCTTCGATGGAATGATAATATCTCATCACATAGGTTGCAGATATACTCATAGTTGACTGAAATGTGAGAAATGTACGTGGGTTCACGCATCATTGTTCGGCTCGTGATGCCATTCAATCTGGAGTATCTTGTTCACCCCTTCCGCGCGGTATTTTATCTTCCACACCGACCACTAGGTATATTGGTTTTAGTTGAATAATGTCGTCTGTTTCATAGTTATCGTTGCATGTGTAGCGATAAGATCAGGTAGCACCCCATGTATCAAATATGCCAGTCAACCACCAAGACGGTCGGAGCCCAAGCAAACAGGCAGATGCATAGAATGCATGTTTTCGGTGACTTCCACGCCAAAGAAACCATTTGACAGTGGCCCCCGTATACAAGATAGCCTGAGGGTTAGCCATTATTAGGAAGCCACGCGCAATCTTCTGGAACCATGAAAGTAGAGGATTGTTCAATAGTTGGCTATTGAATAATTCTCCGAGTTGATCCAATGGATGTATGTCCGTGGTGGTGCAAACAAAGGAGGAATGGGTACGTCGATTGCAAGGGCGTGTTGGTGTTATTTTGCAGCACAAGAGCTTGGAATCAGTGTATTCCGTATCTGAAGCATATGTGGTCTGGGTGCTGCAAAATACTGTCGCTGACACTTAGTTTGAATGCATAACATTTTGTTATTGTGACTAAACCCAGGAGAAGACTGAAGGTAGTTGTCAATGATATGACGACTCTCTCTGCAGCTCGTCACAAGGATGGCTTATACATGCGCAACGGGAGCAGGACACCCCGGCTTCATAAGCACAGTCGAGATCAAGAACCAAGTCCCTCTCGGGGTTTATTTTGGCATGCAAGTTCCCTAAGCATCGAACGCATGGTAGGGGTAGGGGTCTCCCCTTTTTGGCCCGGCGGTTTGATAGCATCTCACTCAGCTTCTTTGGTGCTGACGTCGTTTTCTTTTCGGTAGTGTCATATATATTCTGGCCGCATCATATTGGTATATTGGATCCGGCGGAGTTCTATCGAAGCAGATCATTGGGTAGAGTCAGACTGTACAAGGTGTTCCATGCCGTGGAGAAGACGATTGGTGTGTCTTCATAGTGGGAAGGACCACGATGCATCTAAGGGATTCAATCAAAAGAAAGAAACCCCCAGGTCCGGTGGTCTGTCCGTCTTGGGTGCAGATAGGTGTCCCCCGTCGCGGACAGCTCTACCTTTGCCTCGTAGTACTTGTGGAAAGTCTCCTTTTCAAGGTCCTGGTCAAGTTGATTTTGTTCCTCCTGCGTTAAAGTGTCAAAGTTGTCCGGACGTGATGGGAATATCCATTCCCCCAACCAGCCATCCTAAACCCTCATTCACAAGGTAATAAGCCGTCCAGCCATTATGCTTGTTATACAGGTCAATAGCTGGGCTGGAGACCAAATTGCTTTGTGTTGAGGGACTACTTGGCACGATCCCTTTTTGTGCAAATCGCATTACCTTCTCCGGGGATATAGGTTATGCCGCATGTAGGAGCATCATGGACAAGGTTAAGGTCGAGTTTGATATGTATCGCTGGCACCAGTGCCCCTGGCTGTGTGAACTTCGCATAGTACGGATAGGATATCAGCTTCCACTCGTGGCCTGGACGTAAGTGGATATAACACAGATAATAGGCGACGTCTTGCCTCATGAGTTGTTGTCCCAAGCTGAAGTATGCGTTGCGCAGCCATCCACAGTTCGGTTTGTTGTTGATGAGGACTCCACTTACTTCAGGCATATCGACATAGTTAAATGTGCCGGAATACATCAGATCAGGCCGAGGCGCCAATATGATTCAAGGCTCCCTCTCACTTGATGATGAGAGCCCAGAGGACAGCATGTAAAATGTAAAATGTCGTTCACAGTCTTGCGGGCCCGGACATATCAGACCGGTCTAGAGGTGTGGATATCAAGCCGAGCAAAGATCAATTCCGCCAGCACAGATCAGCCTTTCTTGTCATCAGACAGATTCATCGGCTTGCAGCGCAAAAAGCGCTCCTCCATGATATCTGATTTTGTCGGGTATCGATCCCTCAATTCGGATTTGCTCGAAAACCCGCTATCAACGGCCACAAGACATTGTCCAAGGCAGTACTGGGGTTTGCAGCCAGATGTCTTACCGTTCTTTTCGTGCAATCGTTCAATCAGCCAATTTATTTCTCTATACTGCGGTTTGTGAGTGGTGAACTTGCAGTCAATTGCCATGTATATATAATATTGGTCTTTGGTATATTTGATCCGCGGTGTTCCCATAAAGTTCCATGCGACGATTTTGTAATTATGGCCTTTCGATATTTGAGTTATTCTGCAACCGCTTAGTAGAGACAATCCTAACAGTCTGCAGACCAAATGGTGTGTCCATCTTAGTTTTAGCTGTATTTTCCCACACTGCGAACTGCTTATTGACACATTCAATAGATTCCATCAGGTGTTTCCGTATAAGTTGTCTCTTTCAAGGAGCCACCTAGCAGCCCCTGAGCAAAAATCGACCGACTCAACACAATCGTAGGTTTTCTGCAGTTTCAGGAGCCCGTGGCAGCGCTGGATATAGCTTGTTCTGACGCGCAGATGCGACAATATAGCGAGTGTTTTCCACCATGTATTTCTCTCTGAGTTCTGGGACAATTTCTGCATTTGCGTGGCACCAATCGGTGCCACACCTTCCGGGGGTATTAGCACAGTAATGGCTGGCTGGAATATCGTGACGAGTGAACCTTGCAAGCCTCTTCATTGGTCCAGAGAGGAGATTCCGTCAAGCTCGATATGTATTCCATTTCCCTGGTGATTCGTCCTGCTTTTCAAACACTGTGTCATTATAGGTGGTCAGAAATAGCTCGGCCTCCGGAGCAGGTTTATTGCATCATACGAGTTCTGAAATTGATCAATCCCAGCTTAGCCCTATGATTTTCGGTGGAGTCCATAATGGATTGCTCAGTATTGGATCTCCCGGGCGTCATATAAGGGGTGAGTTGGGGTGTGTTCCTGGTAAGTCATGACATCATTGACAATTGTCGTTGGTTCGAATGGCTCTTACTGACGGATTAGAACCGATGCAAGGCCCGGTATGTGCGTCTATTTTGGTTGGATTTGATATGGACGTGTGTCTCGTTTGTCATCTTCTCGGGAATTTAAGTATCTCTTTCAGGGTGGCTAGAAGTTGTAGTCTTCGTCTCGGGCCTCATGATGCTCAATATGAAATCCCTTGCGAGATACATTTCCATTTCCATTCCGAGAGTTGGTTCCCAGTGATGTTGGTAACCGCGCTGTCCGCCCCAGGCTGGGGGATAACGATGCCGCTAATATATCTTCCCGTTAGAATCTTAATTTATTTGGATATAGGGGAGGGGGGGTAGATATTTTACTTTATTGCTAGTTGGCGGCGGAGGCACTCCTGGAGTGCGGTCGGGAAGGGGGTTGAAGATCAGGGTGTGGTGGACCCCCAGGCAACAGTAGTAGATGGGAGCGGGTGGTTGCTGCTGCATAGTTAGGAGGCTCGTCGAGACCCCTACCGGCTGGGAAGGTTCACGCTTCAACCAGCTAGATAAGTGTTAGTATAGAGATAAAATATCTTAGAGAGAAGTTAATAGTAAATAATTACCTGATAGGGATCTCGACGAGCCTCGAATATGCCAGTGAAATGGCTAGAATGAGTAGAGTAAACTTGAATAAGCTGACGTTCCTCCCCACTTCCCTACACACGATAACGATGGCTAGTGCCATCGACATTGCTGGGTTGGCTCGGATATGTGACCTTCCACGGGACATTCATCCGACCAGCCTCCAGCCGAGTCCTTAGTAGAGGCGATTGTTGTTTGCAGAGGACCCTGCACAAGTCCTATAGAGCCGCAGCCGTTGGTTGGCTTTTTAGTGCCTTCAAATGCTTGCTTGAAGAAAAGCGTTCAAGTCAGAGTTAACCGACAATCCGGACGCTCTTTGCCTGCCGACAGCCGAAGTGGAAAAGTCGATAATATATGTAAACGTTGTGGTTCGCAAAGCACTCTTTTGGAACCACGATATGGGCAACATTATGAGCGCCGTTGAAGGAGAAATGCTGAAGGTTCGAGAACGCAGACGTATCCCTTGGAAGCAGGGTGTACAAAGTTGGATTGCGCTTGGTGATATATTTCGCAGCAGTGACATCTGGTAGTCTGCCAATCTTTCGGTAGACGGATTGAATCGCCTTGCAAAGACATGCCTTGTCACCTGCAAAAGCCTGGAAAAGGCGAGGGTCGAGGTTTTTGGTGCAGCCAAGTATGTTCTTGTAACCATCCATATCAACCAGGCATTCGCCATCAAGCTGTCCAGACGGCGGTTGACTTGTTCATTTTGAACAGGAGTGGAATCGGCCGAATACTTTTTCGAAGGGGATAATAGAATTAAATGCACACAAAGATTGCGAGTAAGTAGATCTCGATTATCGAACAACTTTGTAGCAAGATTCGCGGTCTGGCTACATACGTTGTTTCCGTTGGATACGATAAGTATCTGAGGGAGTAAATCGGGATTAATATCCTCGGAAGAAATAGTCTGCTTGGTCGAACCGCTTGTTTAGCGGAATTTCGCCATAGTTTCTTGCTGTCGACTGTCGAGTTCGAAGGGAGCAGGTAGTAAGCGGATCCTAAGGTGAAGCCCCCGGCCGGTGGCTTGTCTGATCTACCTTCTCTTCGGGCCTTGAAGTATGAATATCTCCCGTATATGTGCTCTTTAGCCTAGACCATTTGCTTAAATGTCATATTATAGGAGCTAGCTGCAAGCTGTTGCCATACCTTGAGGTGTCGGTGAGCCTCCTTGCTACTAGAGAGTAGGACTGAGAGTTCAGAGGTAACGGCGTGATTGTTCTAATTGACTCTTCCAACCAGCGCATTAGAGATAGGCCCTAGGCCGGTGAGCTAGATGGCGGCAGGGAACGCATATGGAACCTGTGCATATCGGTTGGCAAGGCCACTGGGTGATGTAGGCCCGGGTATTAAATCCCGCTGCTTCTCTCCAGGCTTTTGCGACATAATATTCCGTTTGCTAAGGACGGTGTGTTGGTATTTCGTTCATGGGGATCTTCGGGCTTGGATCCAGCACACAGCACCTTCGTTGAATCGCTTGCACTGTATATAGCTAAGCAGTATTAAGTTAGTTAGTTGCCTTGATGTGGTTTGGATATAAGAACGAGAGAGCTCCGAGGACAGTATCTAAGGGGGTCATTCCCTAAGCTTTGTAATGAAGCGACTTTGAAACGGGGAGCTGATACTATTAATCCATGCTAGTAGAACTGGTCTCCCAGATACTAAAAGAAGTCAGAAATGTACCCAAGGTAGAGAAAGGAGAGGCCAAAAACTAGACTTACAGGATTCAGTAACAGCTGATATAGTCCCCTTGTACTATTCAATTCAAGGGGGCAGTCCTTCTTAATTCCGTGGACGACCAAGCATCGCCTAGAAGATATTGCACTGTGATAGGACTTTTGTTACATTGCTGGTCTGGCAACTGACATCGACTGAAGCTTGTTGTAGCGATCGGGACTTGTGTCCCCGTTGTACTCCAGGTTCGAGGCTTGTGTTGAGTGTCGTCGCTTCAATGAGTAGATCGAATATAATTTGTTAGAAGGCCGTTGCCCTTAACAGAGTGGACCGCGGTTTTCTCGTTGAACCCCCTCGATGATAATATTCATATAAACCGGTAGGGCGGCCAGAGATATCGGGCACAGGCGAGGCAGCACATAAGGGAGTGAGGTCCCGATTATGGTGTCTCTGGTTGGAAGATTCATGACAACACATCTTATCCTGACACCGTTGGGGCTTAGAGACAAAGTCGACGTCGGAACTGTCTAGCAAAGAACGCATGTCTTCCATATCTCGGATGGTGTCCCCGTTCTAAATATCCAGCCGGAAATGGTCCTTGGGCGCCATGGGGGATGGGGGTTGGATCAAACTCTTCCTGCTGAATAGGGGACCGGAGCCTGGTCTTTGTGCATGCCAGACAAGACCTCTGTGCAGTCTTCGGGATGTGCATCGTCCAGAGAAAGAGACCCTTGAATCATGCTGCCTCCGTGACCAGAGCGAATGCATTCGGGTATATTGATATCTATGTGCCTGAAGAAGGCAGAATCCCCTGGGAAACAAGGAGTTGCAGGGCATTGTTCTACTGCTGGTCGAAGCAGCAACAAGCACGGCAAGTGGTCAATTTCATGGACATGCAGAGTGATGCTGTATCCCCCGACAAGGGGACGGCAAACACATACCTGCAACCCCAGTAGGGAGAGGGAGGAAGGGAGGAAGTTTCGTGTGGTTGGAAATAAAAAAGGAAGAGAAAAGGATTTGGGAAGTTGGGGGAATTCAGGGGGTTTATATAGACGGCATCTACGGTCAGTGAATGTCAAGTCAAGCAGTGATTAATGGTCTGTCATTCAATGTCTATCAAGTTAGCCTGCCACCACAGTGACGTGGTCTCTTAATTTACTCAAGCCGGCTTCATCGTCAACATTCACCTGTACCTGTCCAGCGGGATCCAGCAGCAGTGACATATCTCGGCTGCCTGCAAGTAAGTGAATGACCAGGGGCCACCGCCACTCTAACCTTCCGCAACATCGTAGCTGTTTGACTTGTGCTTGGGAGTAAATTTGAAGTCCTTGTCTGCTGGACCAAGGAACATTTCACTGCATACAGGGAAGATGCATTAGTGACTACTCTTTCTTCAACGAAAGGAAAGAAAACGGGTGCATGCAACGCATGGAATAGCGGTAAGGTGTTTTGGTCACTTACGAAATTTTGATCCAGTCAAGATAGTTGTCGCTTGAGAGCAGTGTCTCCAGGTCATCACGGCCTCTCCATGCAGGGGGCCGGTCATTGATCTTGGGCGGGAGGTATTCCAGGATACCGACCGGAACATATCTGCAAGTAAAGCTCAGCCATTCCAGCAAGAATCGTCTCGTGGTTCCGATTCCGTGCTCGTCAGATCCCCATGCCTCAAGGCCGTGCTTCACGAAGCGCTCAATATACGCTAGTCGCTCAGAGGACGATTTGTCCAAGTATTGACCGGCTTGAATTTCTTCGAAGATCCAAGGTTTGATTAGCGCACCTCGTGCTACCATTACACTGTCAACGCCAGACTTGTCAATAGCAGTATTGTAATCTGCATGTGAGTAGCAGTCTCCGTTTCCAATAAAGTATACTTTCCCTCCAGGTGGGAGATGTCTTTCATCTGGCTCCCGGATGGTATCTGAGACCTCATCTCTCTTTGCATTAAGTCGTTTGACCAACGCTGAGCATTCGGATATATACTCCCAGTCGGCTTCACGCGTATACCGCTGCTGACGGCTTCTTCCATGCAGAGTGAGTGCGCCGATACCCGCTGGCCCTTGTCCAAGTTCGTTAGACTCGTAACCACCGATAACCAGACGCTCCGCTAGCTTGAGCGCAGTGGGGTAGTTGTCCTTTGTGCCCATGCGGATTTTGGCAGAGATGGGGACTTCCCCTGAAACAGCATTCATACCACGGAGGATCTTCTCCAGCTTGGATGGATGTTCCAGAAGTGCAGAGCCGGCTCCGTCACGGTAAACGAGATCTATTGGACAACCACAGTTGAGATCAACGACACGGAGATGGGGACAGAGAGCGGTGAGGATCTCTGTAGCTTTCAATGCTTGCCATGGCCTGTTTCCTGCAATCTGGGCTCCAAATTTGAGATCGCGAGAGTGATCGTATTCCTTAACGACGGGTTGCTTGGGTGATATTGTTGGGGGTAAAATCTCAGATTCATGGGCCTTCATCAACGCCCATTCTCCCTTGGTGCCTTGCATCAACGGCAAGCTCATGGCCATTTCAGAGTATGTAAACTGGGCGCCTAGCTCAACACACAGCCTCCTAAACGGCAGGTTCCCCTGGGTCGTCAATGGTGCAAGGACAGGCGTTTCGGGTCCAAAATAAAGTCTTCTCTTTTCTGATGGTAGGAAAGGCGGTTCTGTATATCGAGCTCTATTCTCTTCGGAGCTCTCCTTTGCCTTGGTCTCCCCATTGCCGTCTACCTCTGCCTTGCCGTTCGTTTCTTTCCCGTCAGCTTCCTCCTCTTCGAAATTTCGCCCATGGAACCGCTCTTCCAGCTCCTTGGACGTCACCGTTATCCAGTCATTGAACGCATCCGCCTTGGGTGTCAGGTACTTCTTCCTTGTCATCAACTGTTTATTCTCCGTTGATACCAGATTCACAACCCCCAATTCTGTGGCATTAATCGAGGAGGTTGTCGCTGAAGATGATATGGCCTTCTTTTTCTTCTCTTCATCTTCAACTAAAATCAGCTCTTTCCTTCCGTCCTCGTGTTCTCGCTCAGCCATATGCGACCCAACAAACCGACACCTCCATCCTGCAGAGCAGACACCGAAGGCATCCCAGACGGGACAAATGCCGCCAAAAGTTGTTAGATCCGCCTTTTTGTGCTCCTTCAAATACTTGCGTAGGTTGTGCTCGAACTTGCAATTATCACCATACTGGCACGGTTTTGGCGAGAACTCCGGGTTATGCGTAATGGTTCCGCATAGACCCTTTTCATCCTGCGATCTCTGAAAGCGACGGTTTGTATTTTTGCCCTTTTGCTTTTCGCGGCGTTTCTTGCCCTGTTTACCCTCGCCGTCTCGGTCATTGTATCCAGCTGCCTCAGCAGCGTCGTCATCTCGTCCCGAATTATTATTAGCCGGTGCATCGGATCCGTCTTTAGGGAATGTTATAATGTATCTATGAATAACTCCAATTAGCAATGCTCTTCATAATTTAACGTCTCGATATCCGGGGTTGAAGTGGGGGATATAAGTACTCTGCTTTTATTGGCGCCAGTCCCTTTCTACGCTCTGGGCCATCTTTAGGCTTGGGAGAAGTAGTAGCTGGCGATTCATCGTCTAATTTCACTCTCTTAGATGGCGGTCCTTCGGTATTGTCGCGTGTTCCATCACTGGCGCTTTCAAGCGGTCGTCCCTTTGAGGCCGCTGGCTCTGGCGCACCAGAAGGCGCCGACTTTTGCACATCGGAGGACATCCTTAATTCGAATAGACTGCATCAACCGGCATCTATGCCGCTGGTTTGCGCTCGTTCAGTAATTGAAGCGCAGTTGTGGGCGAAGATGTGGTTTCCTGGTCGATTTTTATACAAAACGAAGAGATTTAACCTTTGCTTTTTGGGGGTCAAACCTTAAATATTCCGAGAACCGACGGCAGTCAAAAACCATTGATTGCACTGTAAAAGCTTATCTATCTATCTATATGCAAATACATGAATTAATAGTTGAGGCGGGTTAAGATGCAAACAGTCAATAGTCTATTTTTGCTACCGTATATGCATGTAGAAAGGAAAGTAGGATACGATATCCTCAATCCTGCTCTGAGGGTATCAAACCAGCGCGTAGATAAAAAAAGGTAGCCGTCCCAAAACTCCGGTCAAATGTGTAAATAAGCTGATAAACAGTGGGTTCAGGAAATTTCCATGCCGTCCTCTTCGTCGATGTCAAGGTCGTCTTCCAGTCCTCCTGCAGCAACGGCCACTCGTGGTCTTCTTGGGCTCGTGGCGTCGTATCTTTCCGTAAGGATATCACGCAGCTCAGCCTCATGCCCAGTCAGAATTCGAGCTTCGGTGTCGACAACCTCGCAGAGGTCGATCATACTCTGTTTGCTGAGCAAGCGGAACCCTTCGCTGCGAACGATTCTACCCCAGTTTGCAAGACAGAAGGAAGCAGCACGACGCCTGAGCCAGTCTTCGTCAGTGCGGCCAGCTCGTTCCCAGATAATAGCAGCAGTGTCGACGTCGAGTTCCCGGCTGAGGCGGTTCACGCAAAGAAGTCTGAGTTTTGGCATGTCGTACATATTTGCCATCACTAGCATGCCTGCAACCTCGAGGACGCTGGGGCTGACTTCAGAATCCCCAGAGATACAATCTGTGTATAGATAGTAGAGAAACGCTCTGACTACACGGTAGGGCTCCGGTATGTGCATTCTGTTTGTGTGGTATTCTGCCATTTTCGCTGCATAAAGGCGTTGGAAGTGAGGCCATCGGGCATACAGTATGATGCGGTGAACGTGTATCGGCGGAGATCTCGCAGCATCCTCGGGCAGGAATTCTGACGCTCTTTCGTCCCCTTCAGACTGGCCGTACGAGAATTCAGCATCGTCCATGTCTGCGGTAATGATGAAATCTGACCCACAACCAGACTCTGGGGGCTGATCAAAGACCGAAGCAAGCCCAGCACCGAGGTTACTCAGAGTATTTTGCCGCTCTGAGGCAAGGATACGATTCTGCTCCGTGGCTTCACGGCCCAATACCCCGTATTTTTCGAGATCGATAGTAAGTATGGCGTCTAGTCGGTTATCTCCCCCAAGATCCAAGTTTCCAGAGCTGGAGCCAAACAGCCAGGCCGTACTTCCGGCCTCATCGATGGTACAGTAGTGCCAGCGGTTTTCAACCGGAAATATCTCCTGACCATTTGCTAGTTTCTGCCAGCGTAGGGAGTCCATCTCCATGGTGGACAGGTTACATTCCCAGGGTTTGACCGTTTCAGAGGGTGTGACGAGATCGAGGAGTAGGCCCGATGAATAAACGTGGAAGTGCGTTCCAGACCGTAGAGCTGGTACATACGGTCCTGAGTGGAACTTGAGGGAAGATATGGCACCTGGTGCAGTCGGTTTACGACGAGAATTTGCTGATCGGATTTGGGTGTTAGCGGCATTGGGAGCGAAACTGTTCAACCGTCCAGTCGTTGGCGGAGTGTTATTTGGGGAGTCTAAACTTGTTAGTAGCTGTTTTCCATTATCTGGGATGAATTTGGCATCATAATACCTTGCTCTGTTGAGGATATTCTCTCGAGTGATGGGGTACCCTTGAGATCCAACCACCACAGATCTGTGCATCGCTCCATATCCGCACCCAGTCCACCAAATACCCAGAGACGACCACCCCACACCCACGCAGCATGGTCGAAGCGAGCCACAAACCTCCATGTGCGCGACCACGTCCATGTTTTGAGGTCGAGATAGCAGATGTCGTCGAGTATAAGGTTTGATTCCCCTGTTACACCGCCGATCACAAACAGTTTATCTTCGTAGATGACGGATGCATGTCGAGCTCTTCCTCGTGGGGGTTTGCCTCGGATTTCGGGCGAAGTCCAGGTTGCTGTTTTGATATCAAATACAATAACGTCGTTAAGGTGTTCAGGACGTTCATTCTCTCCTCCAAAGACGATAAGTTTGTCACCCTGGTAGAAAGACGCGGTATGTCCTGGGGAGAAACCACTAGTGTTAGCCACTTGAGACAGAGCAGAGATAAACAGCAAGAGTATCTGAAGGACTAACCCATACGAACTCCAGGAATGTCCCCGAAGTTATCGACTAGAGCCCATCTCCGGGTAGTGAGGTCTAATTTTAGGACGTGGTTGTAGACTAGAAATCAGCAGACAGGGATGTTAGGAGCCAGGCGTGATTGTAAGCTATGATAGACCAATGGGATTAAACGAACCCTCATCCGTCTCCTGATCAAAGCCTCCAAAGGCATAGATCTCATTATTTCCGCAGTACGTTATGGAAGCATTTACAAGACAGATTGGGACCTGTCCAACCGCAGTCTCCAGCTTAGGGCTGCTACCGTCACTGCTTCCGCGGCGACTCTTAGGCGGGCTAGTGGGCATGAGGTAGGTCGGTGTCGAAGTGCCGTTGAGGTGGTAGTTGGAAGAGTGTTGGTTGGGGGGACGGTTCAAGCCAGGGGCAGCGTTGTTAGACAAACCACCAGCGTTGCTGTTCAACGAGAGGTGGGCTGGCTGCTGAGACCCAGCCCCATTTGGGGCCATGGAGAATGACATGCTGGGCGATATGGGGCTGTTTTAGCAGCTACTCTGGAATAACAGTCACGTAAAACATTAACAGACAGGCTGGTCACGACTCAGGCCACAGCATCAGACGTCGGATGTTGGCCGCTTCAAACAAGTTCAGGCCCTGCTGCTGTCTCTCAAGGTTGCATAGGGCAGAGGACGAGAGGATGATATCACCAGAAGGAAAAAAGAAGAAAAAAAAGTTAGAAAAGCGCGCGATTACTTAAGCGCGGCGGCAAAGTTTAATCGCGCAGATCACGTGCTGTGTTGGTCACCATTTAAGCGTTGCCACGACATAGGAGGCACTTAGGTTGTAGGTACCTGCACTCTTATATACCCTGGTTTTATCCAAATATAATAGTTTTACATTTCCAATGGCGCCAGTAGCTGGGTTTCCGCCTTATTGGCTTCAAAGTTGAACTAGCTGGAAGGTTACTTCTAGGTGCGATCTCGGGATTGTGATCCCATTGCTATCTCCGTGATAGCAAATGTTGGAACCGACACTTTGCGGAATCAGCCTTGGATTGATAGTTCAGCTGGAAACGTCTGCAGCCGGCTGGGGCGCGAACTCCAGCAATTCTGTGCTTCGAGAGAACCGCTGTCAAGATGTGGACTCCTGTAGAACTCCCATATTTCTGCGATACAGATGGCTTGCCCGCCCCACTCCCTACTACAGATGAGATCATGTCGTCCACGACACTCCTTAAAGATCGCCTTGGACAGAAGATGGCACGAGTTGGCCAGCACTTTGTTGTCAAATATGGCCAGAGCACAACTGAAGTTGAGGGGCACAATCTTCTGTTTGTTGAGCATAACTTGCACAATATTGTCCGCGCACCACGGCTCTATGCCATGTATCGGGATTTGGATGATAGATTGTTCCTTGTTATGGAGTTCCTCGAAGGAGAATCTTTGGACGGGCTTTGGAAAGCGCTCTCGGATGATGAGAAGTCGCATATTATGTCCAAGTTAAAGGACATGTTTGACGGGATGCACTCTCTACCTTCGCCTGGTTTCTACGGCAGCGTTGACAAAGGCTGTATGCCTCATCATCTTTTCTACTCATATCCCGCGGACCAGAGTATATCTGGGCCTTTCCTTCATGAAAACGAAGTGAACAACGCTATAGCCGGCAAACTCCGCAGCATCTTTACCTACAACAAAAAATACAGTTACAAGTCCGATTTCTACGAGCGCCACCTCTATCGTGTACTCTCGGGCCACCGACCAGTCTTTTCTCACTCTGATATCTATAGAAAAAATATCATGATTCACAAAACTGACAAACACACCCCAGAGAAGTGCGATTATATTGTTGCACTGGTGGACTGGGAATACGCAGGCTGGTATCCAAGTTACTGGGACTATGCGATTTCATTTACACACTTTTGTTGGGACGATGATTGGCCGGAAAAATTTGAAAGCTTTTTAGAACCTTGGCTTGCTGAAGCAGCTCTAGTGAGAATGTTCTACCAGGAAATATTCTTTTAGATTTAGAAAAGCAGGCTTGAAAGATCAAGATCAACATATGCAAAGGTATGGGAAGTAACCAAATAATATGTGGCTATTAAACATAAATGGTAGAACACCATTATATTGGTGGTTTGGGCTTCATGTCAAGGCGCTGGATTTAAGCTTAGCTCCGTGTCCCCCCATGGATCTGAACCAGGCACGTGACGTCCAGGGGCAACCAATGCTTGGCGGTCCCACTTATGCGGCGCGGAAAAACTTTAGTTTTCGCTAGTCCGACAAGGGTTAGTGTGGCTTGGCGAACGTTGTCCTGGAAACGGTAAAATGTAAATAAAAGAACTCCAGGAGCTCAACTTCATCTTCAACTCTTCCTCTTCTTCTTCCTCGTCCTCATCCCTCATTCACCCTTATTTCCCCCTCCGTATCCCTCTTAAGTCTTGTCGACGACTTATCTCCTTTACTCTACATCTCTTTGCTATCCGTACTTGCATTACTCGAGCAGAGTTACCCTTGCATCAGCCTATATAGATCGGCTCTATCAAAAAAGCGACCTGAATTCTACCCCTTTCCCTACTTGCATTTCCGCCAGCTGCATAGCTTTTTATACCTACACACAATGTCTACTGCTACTGTGTGCACCCCCATCAAGAGCCATCATGGCCTCTTCTCTACAAAGACCGCTGGCGGCCGCATCCCCCTCACTCCTTCACCCCGCGCCAGAAACTCCAGCTTCTCTGGAAATCTATCCAAGGATGATGCATCCCCCTTCACTCCGCCTCGTCAGACAGGTGATGGTGCCCGATCAAGCTCTCAGTCAGTCTATGGCAACGGTAACCTTGCCTCCCACTTCGCCAAGTCAGTGACCAAAACTCGACAGGCTTCAAAGGGTAACTACAGGGACTCCCCAAAGTCCAATATTGCCCGTGTCAGACAGGAGCCACGCCACCTTGAGCCCGCGGTATCAGACTGGACTCTCACTGGAACTGGTCCAGCACAGTCTCAGACGCCAAGCAAGAAGCGAGCCTCAAAGAAGGAGTCGACTACCACCAGATCTAGAGCGTCTAAGCCAACTAAGACCACCATCCGACTCCCCCACACTGTTGCTGACAGGTTCATCCCTAACCGCAGCACCAGTGAGGGCCTAGTCACTGCAGGCAGTGCAAAGTCTGACGGGGCTACCCAGAGACCCAAGACCAGCAGTGGCGAGGGCTCTACCGTTCTGGCAAATGCCGCTAGCGCCTTTGATATCAACGGCCACAGCCGTGATGACGATCTTGCCGAGGCTTTTGGAGATCTTGGAATTAACGACAACGATAGCACCACCAGCAGCAGTGGCAGCAGCAGCTACTCACGTCCGGACCCGGAGGCTATTGCGTACAAGTCTTCTCTCGCTGATGCCTGTGGTGTCTCCTTGAAAACTCGTATCCTAGAGTTCAAGCCTGCTGCCCCTGAATCCTCTAAGCCAATCGACCTTCGCTCGCAATACAACCGTCCACTCAAGCACTCAACTGCGCAAACTGCTCAATTCCGTCGACGAGTTCAGACTGCTCCTGACCGGGTTCTAGACGCCCCAGGACTGGTTGATGACTATTACCTCAACCTGCTGGACTGGAGCTCCGGCAACCAGGTAGCTATCGGTTTGGAGCGCAATGTGTACGTCTGGTCAGCAGATTCCGGTGGTGTAAGCAGTCTCCTTGAGTGCCCTTCAGACACATACGTGAGCAGTGTCAAGTGGAGTGGTGATGGAGCATACGTTGGTGTTGGTCTCGGAACTGGCGAAGTCCAGATCTGGGATGTCGAAGAAGGTACCAAGCTCCGAAGCATGTTTGGCCATGAAACCCGTGTCGGTGTTATGGGCTGGAACAAACACACTCTTTCCACTGGTGCTCGAAGCGGTCTCGTCTTCAACCACGACGTCCGCATCGCCCAGCACAAGACTGCCGAGCTCGTCTCTCACACCTCCGAAGTCTGTGGTCTCGAATGGCGATCTGACGGTGCTCAGTTGGCTACCGGTGGAAACGACAACCTTGTCTCAATCTGGGACTCTCGCTCTCTATCAGCTCCCAAGTTCACCAAGACCAACCACCGTGCTGCCGTCAAGGCCCTCAGCTGGTGCCCATGGCAACTGAACCTCCTTGCTACCGGCGGTGGCTCCTATGACCGTCACATCCACTTCTGGAACACCACTACCGGCGCCCGCACCAACAGCATCGACACCGGTTCCCAGGTCACCAGTCTCCGATGGAGCAACCACTACCGCGAGCTTGTCAGCTCCAGCGGTTTCCCAGACAACTCTCTGAGCATCTGGAGCTACCCATCTCTCGTCCGCAACGTCGAGATCCCAGCCCACGAAACCCGTGTCCTCCACAGCTGCCTCAGCCCCGACGGCCAAATGCTGGCCACCGCCGCTGCTGACGAGAGCTTGAAGTTCTGGAAGATCTTCGAGCGCAAGCCAGGCACTGCCGCCTCCACCACCAGAGAGGCCGGTCTCAGCAGCAAGGGAAGCAAGATGGCAAAGCAGATGACCATCCGATAGACGAACAAAGTGTGTTCCGCTAACTAACTACTAACCCTACTTATGCACTCACGGTATTCAAAATGGCGTCGGTTCAATTCTTCATGGGCGATACCCTCTTCCGGCGTTTCAAACTTGTCACTTGCATATATCGTGTGGCGCTGTCGTCTTAGGCATTTGCATGTTTCTGTCTTATTATTATTGGTCTCTGTTGGGTCTTCATCTTCTTTCTTTAACTATCGGCGTTGGTGTGGTTACGCATTTGAGTTTAAGTTTAGCCGCTAGCTAGGACTAATAACATCCACATTTTCGATGGATATACAAATCTTCTTCTTTTTAGACGACACTGACTCTCAGAAAACGAATTATCAAACCGCTGGACCAAAAAGAGAAGCCTCTTATTAGCTGCAGAGAGAGTCGTTATAGCATTGACACGAATATAAATCATAGCTGCATCCTCCTTGAAGTTACGTCGCGCTGCCATGGCATCGGCGTCTTCGTCGTGGCAGCAGCCGTCGCCTTATATATAATATCCATTGCAATGCCTTCTACAACACCGGTCACGGAGTGCTCAATACCAGCATACACGAACGATCGTTCAGCCCTTTGGACCCCAGACGACAGGCCCGGTCAAAATGGCACGCTCGATCGCCACAGGAGAAAGCGTCGTCTGGCCAGGAGTATTCGCTTGAACGCGGCGGGCCTCCGAGATGTCCTTCTTTTCATGCATGAGAATCGTGTGGGGAATAACATCTCTTGGACAGACGAGTTTGTGTTCAAGTTTGTCCCGAAGACATTCGAAGGGGCCACTGTTACCAAAAGTGTAGCTGCCAGTGTGTTGAGAGATTCCATCGCTCCTTCATGCTTCACAATTTTCCCTTCGTAGGTGATATGCTTCCGTTAATTCTATGAATCACGAGCACTAATCAATGGGTTCCGACTACTTATAGAGCTCATACAGAGTCTATTGGGCTCACTGGATCCCCAGAGCGCTTAGTCCATGAGATATATTGGGACGGAGCAGAACCTGTTGTTCCCCCAGAATTACGAGACTTGCCAAATCTAGTTTTGATTCAGCGGAAACCAGCCCATATACAACTCGAGAGCGTGCAAGAAGGCTGTAAAATCATACATAGTTCCTGAACAATTTTCTCTAAATCTCAATGAGATTTTTCATATGGAACCATTGGGTTTATAGGGGTGCTTGAAAATCTTGGCCCGCGGAGGCTGGTGATAGCCACCGCTGGACATGTCGTGGATGACGCCCCTTGTATAAAAGTCGAAGATTCTGAGAGTGCAAACACTTACATGTTGCAGATCGTTTGTCAATTTCAACGAATAGCAGGGACACAACGGTTTAGACGCGGGAAACCTTACAACTCTCGACCACCCACATTGAACGAGATATGTCTCCTCGAGACTTCTAACATACCCCCTGATGGTTTACAATTGAGATTCAAGGATATCAATTGTAATTATTTATCAAACTGCTGGGCCAAAAAGGGAAGTCACTTATTAGCTGCAGAGATAGGGTCGCTATATCATTGGCACTATTCTAACCCTGACCCCGATGTTACAGACGACCCGGAATTGGTCGCTCGACATCCAAAGCTAGGCGATGTGACAACCCTTCAAGAATAAGTGGGGATAAGCTCTCTAGGTCTATAAATATGATGCAACAGCATCATATACTGAAGGTACACTCTTCCAGGTCAATCGCCATGATTGAGAAAATCACCTCTATACTCTCCATGTCAAGTGGGAGTCTCCTGCACGACCATTCGCTGAAGACTGCGATTCATAGACGTTTGGTTTTTGATAGAGGAAATCATCACCTTGGGTATACATTGCGGTTCTGGAAGTGGTATTAATATTTTTTGTCTTTTATTGCGAAGAAATTTGGTTCTCATTGGATGTTGGTTTGTGTTTTGGCCATTTTAACGACTTCCCTTGACTTTATATAAATCTCTGGCGGGTTAACCAACCAACTAGTTAACTGATATAGAGAATCATGGATCAATATTCCAACCATCAGGCACTCACAACTAGTAGTGATCCATCTTTGTGGCACGAATAAGACTTCTATAAAGTAGTTTTCAATTATACTTCGTCTTTTGCACTTGTAGAGGCGTGACCAGCTTACCATTCCACTACGCAATATAGATTGCCACAACAAATTATCACACAAAGTTTCTATAAGAACTTAACCAATTGCTTGAGTGATTATCAGGTCCTCTTGGCCTTATGGGTCGCCCGAGAAGAGAGATATCTTCGTACCATTTGGTCGTCTTCTAATATCTATCTAGTTGTTAGATTACCTAGCATCACCCTCAATATTATCTTCCGCCCCGGTACATATAAATACCTCTACGGAATCCTGGGGTTGGAACTGGATGCACCTCTATCGCTTCTGCTACTCTATGCACTCCGATAATCATTACAATGCCTGAAATTAAAGAATATCTGCCCTCGAAGTATGAACCTCTACTGCCGGATGCTAACTGGGCCAAACTAGCCAAGTCAAAGAGAAATCTCCATCGAGCATTATCAGTGCCTCATCCGTCAGATATTGAAGACTTCTTAATATCTAAAACTGATAATTTGGTAATAGAAAGTGGTTATATCGAACACTGCAAGTCTGCAATACAGGCGCTATACCGGTTCAGACATCTGTCCAACCTCGAATATAAGTCTCATATCCGCGAACTGAGCATACAGTCTGCTCTGATAGTCTCAGAATTGAGAGCCATAGGTCGACAGAGGCGTGTCATTACGCAGGATATGCAAGAAGTTTTACTGAGAAATGACGACATTAATGCTGCCTACATGAATGCAATCATTGGTAAAGCTGCCATCGCTCCTGGAAAGGAGCTCGATAGAAAGTATATGTCTAAGCAGCTCCGCAAGTTAGCTGATGATTTCTATGCCGGGAAAAGAGTCACTGCTCTGGAGACTCAGGGGTATTGCCATGCATTGGGCTGGACGATGTATGATGAAGTCACAGCTACCCATTTAGTACCAGAAGGATTAGATGCCAACGCAATTGCATATCTTTTTGGGACGACAAATATCAATATAGACGAGCCACGAAATAGTGAGTTGTCCAATGAGTGTATGCAACCCCATGCGCACGTTGAAGGCTAACAGGTAGATATTTAGCACTCCTTCTGCATAAAAATGTCGGCAAAGCACTGAATACTGGGTTTATCGTGATTGTCCCCGATTCAGCACCGGGCGAAGAAGTTAAGTGGAAATTGATCGTGACAGATACGGATTTTCTTGACGAAACCGTCTCTCCGGGGGTTACTTGGAACGTAAGTCATGATCATATCCTCCGTGCAATAATTAGGGAGAGGCACTGATTCACGAGGACTTCCCAGGCGCTCCATGGGCGAGAGCTTAAGTTTCTGAACGACAACCGTCCAGCCAAGCGGTATCTCTACTTCAGATTTATGATGACATATCTCATGATCAAGCGGCACGGGCAGCTAAATTGGATTCGAGAAATAGAAACAGTCAGACGTCCTTGGAGCATCCCTGGGGAATATCTCGATCGCAGTATGTTGCTCAGTCTTGCCCGGAACGTCTCTGGCTCCATTCTTCCAAAACGCTTTTACTATGGGATGACCTTCAAGGCAAGTTTTAGACTATTATCGCCTTGGGGTGAAATTCATGAGGACCTCGAAATTTGCCTAGCGGACAGCATCTTGATGACTCCAGATTACCGTGATCCAGAGACGGTCTACTGTGGCAGTGACAATGGTATCGACGGACATGATGACCGTGACGGGGATACTGGCAGTGATAAGGACAGCGATGAGTCCTTCACCCTGATCTCATAGGCATACTATCACCAGATATTAGTTTAATAGCCATTCCATGTGCAACTCACCCCCTTTTCTAGCAGCTTCCAGGCGTAGCTATGGAGTAACTGTAGCTGTTCACGGCCGCTTCACCTTCAAGCAAGCAGCATCAGCACTCTTTCTCTCTCGATTCATATCACTCACAGGCGTTATAACCGCCATTCACAATGCAGCCCTCAGGGTGTCGCTAGTCAAGCTCATCGTTGCATTTTACACCGAGCGAAACAACGGCGGAGTGAGGTTGTGCTGACTAAGATGGATTGGTGCTGATAGATTTCTTCTATAAATTGATTTTCTCTCTTTTACCAACAACCGCCCAAGAGCCCGAGATCGAGGTCAAATCGCCGACCACAGGCTAGAAATACAAGATAAACAGTTACGATCCTCTCTTACACCAGTCCGTATACAAACAGCTTGCTACAGACGGCGCAGAAGTGCCGGTCACCGTTGAGCGGGAGGTGATTTCGGCGTGGCGGCTCGTTGCCTGCAAATACTGCCTAGTTGGAACAGGACAAGCAACGAGAATAACAAGGGCCGCTCACTTCTACAAGTCTCTACAATCACAGCTCGCTTGCTCAGGGCAGCGCGCCTCATCCTCGCCTCACCTTTAACTACCCTCCTCGCCGGTAGCGCCAACATCCTAGACGCCAGACAGTAACCTTCTCCTTATCATCCTTGCCGCCTGTCACTTTCTACCAAACGTTTCTCGCAAGATGTCGAACCAACTCGTGGTGAGTAACTGCGTCTGACTGTCGGTCGACAGGCTGGTCGTTCAGTCGGTGAAACGGCCGGGTCGTGTGTGAACAGCTGCTCACTCTGTTCCGTCCATCTAGGGCATGGTCTTTGACCGTGTGATCCAGGAAGTATGCGATTCTTCACAGATCGACTTCGAGGAAAGCGGTGTCGACCAGCACACGCTTGAGGAGCTGAGAAAGGTCGGTATTTCTTGTCTCTGTCGTCTGGCTTCCCACAACCCTTGTCCGGGACTCTTCGTGGGCGCTGAAAAGTCGGCCTCGTTCCCTTGCGCGACCTGACGTTGGGGAGGCGAAGGCGGGCGGTCGCGCTGTTTTTAAAGCGCCCTGTGGCCGCCTTTTTGCCTTTTTGGGGCGTTTCTGCCCGCCGCTCTTACTCTGTCCCTCTTGCCGCTTTAGCTGGTGACTAAGCGTCTTAGTCAGCAATATCTAAGACTTGCTACTTAGATATGAAGGTGACTTCTTGAGGGTGTGTTATGCTAACTGATGTATAGGGCTGGCAGTCGAAGCTGTCATCTCTTGGGGTTGCACATTTCCCGTGGGATCCGGCACCCCAGCCGCCTGTATCGCAGCCCCAGGCTACACAGCAGCAGTCCCCTATTCCTCCACCCAGTACCATCCCTTCAAATGATGCTCGAATGAACCCCCAGCCCCAACTCCATCCACAGCAGCAGCAGCAGCCGCAACAGCAACAGCAACAGCAGCAACAACAACAACAGAGTCATATACCCCAACATGCCGGTCTACAGTCTGCCAATGACCATCAATCCGGCGATACTTTTGTTAAAGCCGAAGGAGGCTTCTCTCCTCCACCCCCAGGACCCCCAGCTGGCACAATTCTAGCTCAGCAGCGGGCTGCCAACGCATTGCACCAGAAGTATGGCAATGCCGCAGCCAATCAGGTTCAGCACCTGCAGTCACACTCTCAGGCTGCCTTATCCCTTCCCGGTGGACAACCGCGTTACAATCCTCCACCCATGAGCACTTCGAAACCTCAAGACTTTAGGCCGCCTCAGGCACAGGCCCAGATTCAGCCTCAAGGTCAAGCCCCGGGCCAACAACAGACCCAACCCCAAAGACTACCCCAAACAGGTATTCAGAATTCACAGACGGATGGCGCAAGCGATGACTTGTCAGATTGGAAAGCAGAAGTCCAACGACGGAGAGAAGCAGCAGCCAAAAACGGTCCTGAAAATGACCGCCGTCTTAGAGATTTGGTCGAGTCTAGGAACCTCCAGCTGGAAGGCGGTGGACTTCTGGCTCCCTTGCATGAACGATACCCAAACGCTAATGGGAAGAAACGCAAAATCGTTAAGTTTGATGACCTAGACAGCTTGTCAAACCAGACAGGAGCGTCTTCTGTAGTGCCATCATCCAGTACACCAACTGAAGCTCCATCACACCCTCAGTTCGATGGACCGGACGACTATCCAGTCAAAAAGGATGATGACGAAGATGCTATTAACTCCGATCTCGATGACCCTGATGACTTACTAGACGAAGAGCAAGGTGAGGACGATGCGGTTGGCCAGGTCATGCTCTGCACCTACGACAAAGTCCAGCGTGTCAAAAGTAAATGGAAGTGTGTCTTGAAAGACGGCATATTAACTTCTGACGGCAAAGAGTGCGTTTTCCCTTCCTCTACCATCCAATTTATTTTCTCTAACCTCTCGAGCAGATACGTATTCCACAAAGGAACGGGAGAATTCGAATGGTATTAGTCTCCATCCGAGTAGTCGCCCGAAGAATAGATTGGAGTTGCCGACAGGGCCTCGTTGTCTTACTATCGGCGGTGAGAAAACGGTTTCCTTTTTCTTTCCTTTCCCCCATTCTGTATCCATACATTGTTACTTGTCTCTCTTTCCATCCGTGGCACAGTGTCTAGATAAGGGACCTTCTCCTTGGCCACGACTTTACCTGTTAAGGGGCTTTCTAGTTTTTTACATACCCATGTACCCTTAAATTGAGAAAAAGAAATATGACATGATGACGTTCAAATGTACAGTTTACCTTGGAGTCAGTTATGCAAATGATGTCGGTATTTGGCTTCGGTCTATCCTTTTCTATTTTTACCGTATGGACTCCACATTTAAACAAGTAGTAGCAAGGAATTTCTTCTCCTAAGGTTGACAAAGACTACTTTAACGGGACTTTTACTTTGATATCATATAGAAACAGCTGGATAGCTCTCAAGACATAGCAAGTTTAGTAGAGTTACTGAGTAGTGAACCATAAAAAATGTAAGGAGTAGAGGACTATCAAGACCGTGTTTAACTATTGGCTGGATAACGCAGTAGCAGGCCAAACATACAAAGTTATGGAAGAGTAATCAAACACATGGAGGCACATGTAGATAAACTAGGCGTATAATGAAGAGCATGCAAACGAGGCACACCTAGAGATCTATTTTAGAGTATAAAGGGACAATGAAATACACAAACACACTAGTAAGCAGCAATTAGCAATAACCACCCTTATGAAACCCCGATAGATGATGATGATTTTTTTTTTCCGTGCCCTTTCCTTCATGTCCTCTTTGCCTTAACCCCCTGCTAGCAAGCATAGGGAGCAAGGAGATGAATTGACAAACCAAAAGAAAAAAATCAGCGAGATCCAGCAATTGAATTAAACAAAGATGTAAAAGCCAAAAAAGGGGAGAGGGGAGAAGTAGAAAGTAGAAGAAAAACAAAGCAACACAACGCAGCACAGGTATGAAATCAAACAAGATGGCGAGAATGGTTTGAACTGGCTGGCTGGCTGGGACTGGCTGGCTTCGCTATGGGTATTTCGGTGTATGGTATATGTATGGGTATAGCAGGAACCAGGCAGGGTCCAGGGTTTATGACATGCCTCCAAAGCTCGAATTAACAAGGGCAATATTGAAAAAAGAAGTATATGCAGGAACGAAAAGGAAAAGAAGAGGAGAGTGGAGGAAATGATGCCGTGTGGGATGAGGATTGGTAGGAGAGGCCGTTTTGAATCATTCAAGGCATGTAAAAGGTTTGGAAAGGAGGATGAGAGAGGAAAGGCATCACAGAGGGTGTGGTATGTACAACAAATAAAGGGGGCGTATTTGATTTTGACGGGATAAGTCAATATCAAATCGCCAAAAAGGAGATGGGTAGAAAACATGAATCAGACATGAGGGAAAGGGGGGGATATCCAAACGACGGCAAATCAGGATCCAATCAATCAATCAATCAGACATGGAGATAACAAAAAGGAGGAGATCCAGAGACGATAGGAAAAAAAGGGGGGGAAAGCAAAGAAAACCAAGAACTCAACACAAAAATGAGAAATGGATCAAAAGAGCAAGACAAGTTCGAAAGAAGCAAACAGAAAAAATCAACAAGGCTTTTCCCGAGGCCAATTTCAAAAAGATAATAAATGATTTCCCTTCCCGTGTAATTTTTTTTTTGGACTCCGGATTCTCCTGTTCTCAATTTCACTCCAAGTCTCACACCACCCCGATTTACGAATTCGCCGAAATGTTGTATTTTTATTCCGTGGTTGGCCATTGACTGGGCTTGGCCGGGTATAAAGAGGGTATGTTATGGTATCACAATCCTTAGGTCGGGAGGAGAATGAGAAATACACTTCACTCTAACTCCCCGATACCCGTTAGCCCGGCCCCGGCAATATTGATGTTATCTCCGTGCATGACACCTCCGGCCGTGTTGAAAGCACGGCCTGCAGCAGCGAAAGAGAATTCTGGATTGCATGGCGGAGAGTGTGCACGGTGGTATTTCAGGCCGTTGAGATTCTTGTATCGCTTTCCGCAGACTTCGCAGCGGTAAGGTTTTTCTTTCTCCATGCCTAGTGTGCCGGGGTAAGGGGCACATGTTTCTGGGTCGACGATGGAGAATGTACCGTCGGCATTATCGTGCAGCTGCTGGTTGTTATGGCCGTGCTGGTGATCGGAAGGTTAGCTAACGTACGAAAAAAAAAAAGAGGAAGAAGAGTGGTAGTACAGAACACGACTTACTGATTTGTGATATTTGAGACCGTTCTGGTTCTTGTATGCCTTTTCACATCCTATTACCGGACATCTGAATGGCTTTGGCTCATCATCTGGCTTCATTGCGAGAGTGACGTCTGGAACACCAGCGAGTTTCTGCTGTTCCCTGATATGTTGGGCAATCTCACTGTTTGCAGCATAATGCGAGTTACCCAGTCTGAAGGGAGGAGCTTGCTGCTGCTGCTGTACTTGTTTCCCGTTACCAAACCCAGTGTTTGGCCTGAATAGCCGCTTAGCAGGCTCATCGATACAAAGGTCGAGCATTCCGTTGCTTCCGAAAGTGCCAAACTGTTGTTGGCCTGGGCCAGTCCCTACAGGAGTAGCCGTTCCTTGCATGTTCATGTCACCGAATCCGCCGACGATGGAGTCATCTAACTCGGCAGGCGTTCCGGGAGCAGAGGGTTCTGGCGTGCTTGTATACTGGGGGTTTGGCGCTTGCGGTTGTTGCTGCTGTTGTTGCTGCTGCTGCTGTTGTTGCTGAACAGGAAGAGGCATGAGAGTTGGTGTGTTGACAGATGAGACGGTTGGATTGTTGTGGAGAGGTCTACCGGATGAAACGGGGGTACCGGGTGCTGAGCTTCGGAAGCGCTGCTGGCCCTGTAGTATGCCCATATTTAGGGGTGTTACCCTGCTTCCGCCATTCTCTTGAGCAAAGCGGGCCTGAGTGAGCGACTGCTGGTGAGTCTGTTGCTGGAAACCACTATCACTGAGAGGGTCGTCCATTTCCATATCCATGTCATCTACACTATCGATATCCGGTATATCGTTGGATTGTGGCTGGCCAAACCCGGTGGCAGTCTGCATCATGGGCTGCTGCGGTTGCTGCGGTAGTCTATGATGCGGCCGAGGGGTCCCTGGCTGGGAGGAAGCAGCTCGCCCCGGAGCAGTGGCCATATTCGGCTGCTGCTGGCTGGGCTGTGAAGGGTGCGGGGAGGCGCCAATGCCTGCCCTGTTATCTGACTGAGCTGCCTGGTTTGACTGCGCAGACCGTTGTGGCGGCTGCGGGGACCTCTGGGCGTGGGCTTCTTCATAGTGCTGGAGGAGGTCGTGTAGTGACGGGAGAGTGATGCCACAGCATGAGAAGTCGCGCATAAAGTTGGCTTCCAGCTTCGGCAGATAAGATGACGAGTGGTACGACGGTGACTGGAGAGTGAAGGGAGAAGTTCCCGTCATAATTATACTACAACCCGGTTAGCTGCCATTAAAACACGGTAATATAGAGGGAGACAAAAATGTGCATGTATACGGAGTATATAAGGGGATAATACGCACTCATCTCTGATCCAGCTGCCTACGGAGACACCTCCCCAGCTCATACCGCCGACAAGACTGCCGGCAAGACTCTCACGCCGGGGCTTGTCTCGGTTCGAGCCCACCATGGTGATGGGCTTGCTGCCGTTCGAGTACTGGGCCATGGTTGCGCTGAAGGACTCCTTGCGCGCGGCGTTGGACATGAAGTTGTTCGAGGCGACCCCGTTCCAGTTCGAGGACATGTCGGCAGCGCCGGTAGCGGCCTTCTGGAGGGCCGAGGTCAGGTTGGAAGCCTGCTGCCCTGGTGGCGATTTGGACGTCTGTCTCGCGGACAGGTCGATGGGCATGGAGCGGCCATCCATGGTGACGCTATGCTGGCTGCTGTTGTAGCGATGGTGGCGACGCTGGCCGTGCTGGCTGCGGTTCTGGTGGTGGCTGCTCTGGTGGTGGTGCTGGTGATGCTGGTGGTGATGATGCTGGTCTGGCGGCGACGACGGGAACAGCGGGAATATCGAGTCGTCCTCGTCCTCGTCGTCGAACACGGGGATGTGGGCAGCCGAGGGGGAGAAGGGAGACGCAGCAGACGCCTTGCGGTTCCCCAGATGGTGGTTATGCAGCAGCTCAGGCCGGCGAGGGTTGCTGGAGACGACGCCCAGGGGAGTGCCAATCGGGGTGGACTCGCGGGTCGAGGTGCGATCTTGCTCGCTGGACGGCGGTGAGAAGTGAAGAGGAGGCGGAGTCTCGGACGAGTCGAGCATCAAGAACGCTCCCGCTGTTGCAGTCGTAGAAAGTAGAGGCTGTAGTCGTGTAGTTGTAGTTGTGGTTGTAGTTGGTGTAGTTGTTGTAGTTGTAGGCGATGGTCTGAGGCGGGCGTTGTTGGTGTTGATGTCAAAGTCGAGGGCGGCCCCAGAGGAGTCAAAAGTCACCGCAACGGCGTCAGCAGCGGCCAGACAGCGAGGGCGGCAGCCGAGGAGCACCGCGACAGAGAGCAGCAGACAGCGAGCAGTTGAGCAGGACGCAGACGGAGCAGACGAAGGCAGAGGCCGTGAGAGAGAGCCAAAGGAGCAAGAGAGCAAAAGAGCGAGCGAGAGACGGGACGACGAGGAAGAACAAGACGGACGTTGAAGTAAGTCTCTCGGTGGAGCCAGAAATGGATTATCCGCCGGCTTCTTATTACCTATTTAACACGAAACTAACTCCAAACTAACGACCAAGGGCGAATAGAAGCAGAGCAAGACGAGATGGAGAATGAGTAGGGCGAGCGGACGGGTGGTTGATATATCATATCCCGGGCTGCATATATGAATCTGATAGTCCGCTAGATCGCTCGAGGCCTGGGCGGTTGTTTATCAACAGCAGCAGCAGGAGGAAGAGGAGAAAGAAGAGGGAGGCAACAAACAGGAATCAGGAGATATGACGGAGACGACGCGAACAAGCAGCTGGGAGGAGGATACAGCTTGACTTTGACTGGCCCAATGCAGGCTCCCGTTTGCCAGTCCTCGACGTAATCGACATCCACGGTTCGCTTCGAGCAAGGGAGAGGGCAAACTGCAGCCTCCCTACATACATACATACGTCCATCCATCCATACACAGCTACGGAGTACATACAGAACAGATACAGACATGCAGACATGCAGAAGGCGATGCCAGCTGTGACGAGAGGAGAGTACGAGCAAAAGGGACGGGCTATCCACGGCCAGACACAAGCTATGCCATGCGATTCTATGTAAAACGGCCGTTTCATCCTCTTCCGAACCTCCTTTGCACCCCTGTCTCTCGAGGTTGCCATGCGACATACGATGCCACGATACGGAGTACATACGATGGAAAACGGAGGCCGAACGCTCACCAGCCCCAAGTCAACCAGCTCGCTGGCTCGTTTGACAACCAGGCCAACGCAACGTCCTTCCGTACCGATCCTATTTGCCTTGGACGGGGGGGACTAAGGCTAAGGAGCAACCTCAGGTCTGGTTCCATGGATCCGGCACTCTTTAAACCCTCCACCTCCAGCTTTGTCATACCTTATCCCTCACATCTCTCTCATCTGGCCCGGAACGACGCCCCATGTTAGAACCTATCAGCCTCGAGCATTCTCATTCCCAGGCAAAGGAAAAATGCCTCGGGAAGTCGTCCGCGAGGAAGTAGATTTCTTGTACGCTGTCGTATGCATGTATCTTTCTCGGGCAGCCAGTCCTTGCTTGGTACGTCATGCCCTGATCCAATAGTGTAGTGGCGACGGCTCGAACGACTACGCCATCCCCCTTCCTCCTGGCTGGTTCGCTCCCGTCTACTTGGCCCTCTAGCGTCTTTACTTCGTCTGCTTCTTCTTCGTCTCTTTCGCATCTCGACTTTTATGCTGCGTCTTCTAGTAAAATCATCGACGTCGTCGTCTTCGCCCGTTTCGGACCAAAGTTAGGGTTTGTGTCCCTTTCTGGAACATCCCCCGGCGGGCCTCATTAGGGCTCCGGATATTCTGTTTTTCCGCTAATCACATGACACTATGTCACATGATATGACGTTCGATTTGTTTTTGTTTCTTTTTTTGGATTTTCTTGCCAACTTTTGGTTGTGAAGAAACGAACGATATATAAAGGAGGAGGAAGAAGAAGACAGATATAGAGAAGAAGACGACGGTAATCCTCAGCTTACTCGTTCTCTGGACTCGTTTGACAGTAGCCGCTCCTTCAAGTCGACTTCTCTGCTTGTTTGCTGTCCGCCATAGCCAGGCCAGGCAGACGCCATCATGACACTCTACTTCACCCTCGTACGTATGCCCACTTACGGCAAGCGGGCGGCCAGCTCTGCTAACAATTGCACAGGTGTTTGTCCTCCTGGTGACGGAGATGGCCATCTTCGTCGGCCTGATAGTCCCTCTGCCCTTTACCGTCAAGCGGAAGCTCTTCACCTTCATATCAGAGAGTCCCATCGTCGCCAAGCTGCAGTATGGAATGAAGGTACGCACCTCCACACTTCCCCGGTATCAGCAACCAAGCAAGTTCGGAATCTAAGCAGTGCCACAGATAACGTTCATCTTCATTCTTATCCTGTTCATCGACAGTGTCAACCGTGTCTATCGTGTCCAGATTGAACTGACTGGTTTCGATGCTGCCAACACCGGGTATGTCCTCGTAACCCCGCCTTGAGCAACTTGTGTATAAAATAGCTCCTCAAGAACACCACAACTAATTGTCTCGCTCATTTGCATCGTTTGCCAAGTCATAGACATGCCATTGGAACTGAGCGTATGGAAGTTCAGGCCCGCAAGTTCTACTCTCAGCGCAATATGTACCTCTGCGGCTTCACCCTTTTCCTCTCCCTTATCTTGAACCGCACTTACACCATGATCCTCGATATCCTTCGTCTTGAAGACAAGGTTAAGATGTACGAGGGAGACAAGAGGGCCGGCGGCAAGGATTCTGCTAAGTTGGCTGCTGCTGGTGATATGGGAGAGATCGGAAGACTCAAGAAGGAGCTCAAGGCTCGTGAGAACGACATCGAGGCCCTGAAGAAGCAGAGCGAGGGCTTGTCCAGAGAGTACAACAAGCTCGGAGACGAGGTCTCTGCTCAAAACAAGGATAACACCCCCAAGAAGGACCGATGAAGGAGCTACTCTGCTCTCTTTTACCTGTCTATCTGTCTGCCCACCCACCACTGCCTCTGCCACTGATTGACGCCCGCATTTTGCAGCGAAATTCCTCGATACAAGAATACCCGAAAGTTTGCATGACGTCCTACAACCACACCTAAAATATGTTCCCTAGGCCAGAGGTGTCACTTTGATCGTTTCTCCTTTTATCTACACAGTATGTTACATAGTTTCTTCCCGTTACGTATGCTCCTAAACAAGGAATGTCCAGAAACTAGGATACACAAACTCCTCTTCGAAGATCCGGCGAACCTGCTCAAGGACAAACTTCTCTACTTTCCCCACATTCTTCAACACTTGCTTCCCGCTCTCTTTGCGCCCAATCTCGCTCTCAACCCGTATCTCTCGTAGAAGGCTCTCATTGGAACGCCGTGAGCCAGTCGTATTAGCACTTCCAGAATGGTGGCTATGGTGGCCGTGATGCTCATGGTAGTCTTCAGTAGTAGTCATCTTGTCGTCTGCTCCAAGCAAAGTATCTGCATCCTCAGGTGATAGAAAGCAAACATGTATCCTCTTCCGGATGTACGCTACAACAGCAACTCCATCGAACGTAAATCCAGTAATGTTAAGCTTCAGCGGCAGCCCTACAAAGCTAGGCATGGGGTAATCAAGCAGTATCTGAGCTGTTATCGATAACCTCATGTTCCCAGAATACTGCAACCGGCAAAGAACCTGGAAATCATCTGGCTTCTGTTCTCTCATACGCCGCGCCGGCAGCGCACTATCCAGATGGCCCGTGATAATTGACTCTGACTCTGGTATCTCTGCGGGGTCCCGGGGTGTGCCGCCCTCGACAGGAGTAACTTGCCGCGTGCTTGACGTGGACGGCCGTGATCGAGACTGAGGTGAATCCACATCTGTATCTGAGCTACGGGCACGCTCCCTTTGCCGAGCAGGAGGTGGCCATCCCTCCGCCAGTGATAACGGCCCGCCCCTGGCCACAGATGCAACAGACGCCAGTGGAGTCTGGGTCCCAGAAAGCCCCCCGCGTGGCATATTGTAATACCCAATATGAGACGTTCCTCCCGGTATACCGGGAGTTCCCGTTCGAGGAAATAGATATGGGTTAAACGACTCCCCCAGATTAATAGGCGACATCAATGGCTGTGGAATCTCCCCGGAATATTCCCTGGACCCACGTCTTCGCTGGAAATATCCCGACCGGCCATTCGAATTCCCGCTGCCATCATCGTTGCTGCTGCTAGGACTACCCGCATCTCCCTTCAGCGTCGACTGGCTTAGACTCATACTCGAAGGAACAGGTTCATCGCCCTCAGAACTGTCAGATAGGTCTGCGCCATCCTCATCTTCTTCGTAAAAATCGTTAAACGGGTCGCATATGTCCCTGACCTGCAGCTCTGGTGAAACCGTCCCGAAATCAAACGAATTCACTTCCACGGAGCGGATGAATCGCGGGAGCGCTATCTGCTGGAATTTGTCGTGGATGAAGCATCGGATTCGTTCAGCGAGCTCCTCCCCGTCGGGTCCAGAGGTGGCGGCCTCCCAGTTGATATCTATGGACATTACATGTGGAATCCAACGCTGCTAGCTGGTCAACGGCATTTCTTCGGTCTTTCTTGTTGATATCAAACGACGTCAGAAGGTTTTGAAAGCATTGCATCACGTGATATTTTTTGGGTTTCTAATGGAGTTACTTCACCAAAAGGAAGAATCACGATGAAGACGAGGACGAAGACCAGGAAAGGCAACGGGATGGAGAGGGCTGAGGATTGCAAAGCAAGATAATGCGGATATGTGATGACTAGGATGATCCGCCAACTACTCCAGGCATATTTGTGGTTATGATAACGAACTAGTTATCAGGGACAGGTCCAGACCAGCAACTAGTCGACGCCTTGCACAGCAAAGGTTGCTTATCCCCCTGAGAATATACCCTTGGAAAAGCCACGTACGGAGTACAGTCCGTCAAATCTTTCACTATCCACGGTTCCAACATAAAATATCCCGAGATTGTTTGATATTGCTACGCATATGATGACCAGGCCATGGCTGGCCGCCCAGGATCTCCCTACCCTCGTCATGATCGATCAGAGCATCGACGGCAGGACGGAAGTAGGGAATACATGTCGTGTACATTACGAGACTTTCAACGGCACGGCCGCGGCCACGCACGGGGGCTGCGAATGCATCTCCTCCACTAGTTGGCCGATATACTACTGTTGGACTTCCCGCTATCTAAGAGCTGATCCTGGCTGAACCCTTCCATTGGACCGCCCATGCGTAAATCCAATCTCCATCCCCAGGAGCCTCGTTGCTCGAACTCACAGGCCATGTGCAGCTGGCCTGGTAAGCTCCTTGTTCCCTGCATAGCAAGGTTATGAGGTAATGATAGCTGCCCGATCAGCCTTATGTCAGAATTACTACGGAGGTACCTGATTAGGAATCATCACATACAGATGTTCCGGAAGAAAGGACGGGACGCGTTTGTCTCTATGTATCTAGATTCGGGCGATGACAGAGCTGCACAACGCCCAAAGTGGAGTCTCTAAACGCCCTTTTGTCTAGATCCAGCCGTGTGTTGTTGAATGCATGGCTTCATTTGATACACAGTCTTCCCGATGATGAGACCTGTGGCACAACACACCAGTCAGTCACATTATCACATTTGCATGCAGAAGGGGTCATATCCTGGGATAGAGCTTAGGATATGCGTACATGCACGGACTAGCGTGGCGATCACTTTCGATATGTTAGCGTGGGGTTGGGGTAACAAAGTGACCCGGCCTTTGCCCGCTTATTTGCCTAATACATCTCCCCGGGGATTGAAAGCAAACGGGCGTCGGACCGGGGAGAGTCTTCCACGAAGTACATTGGTAGCGTGGACATGAGAGAACTTGTGTGACACTCTGAGGGATTGACGAGTGTACATCAAGTTTGACTGCATAGTCCAAAACAGCGGCCAACTCCGACCCTCGGGACCGAGCTGTTCATCGCAGATATGCACCAGTCATTTCATGGAGATCCATACATGTTGGGCCTTTTTTTCGCCTTGTTTCTTCACTTGCTGCATTCCACAAGGCTCCGCGATGTCACTACTGCACCTGTCACCTGCATATTGACCATCGGCCGAGCAGTGGCGGTACACTCACACCAACAGACTGCGAGCCATATTCGTTGCTGTATAGATGACGCATATGGATTTACTTGCTCGTCTAAGTGTACCCTCGCACCTTTAACCCTACTGGTCAACTAGGAGGATCAAGCTGCATCTCGAGTCACATGATACGTTACTTATGTTGGTGATAATGCATCCATGTCATTTTTTTCTCCCGACCCATGAAGCGAACAGGATATCATCGCAGTTACATCTGTTCCAGGGCTCGCTCTATAGCTTCGAATCTATAGCTTGTGACCTTGACCGACCGACCCTTGCACGAAAACCATCAACCCCTTTGTAACTGTACCCGGAGTTACATGAAAGAAATGCGCCGCACTAAAGGTAGGGGAAACAGGCGGGTTTCACTTTAGTGATAACTAACCAACGATACGCCGCACGGCTATTTCACACCCTGGAGACAACCTGCAGAACAAGGCCCACGTAAACTACGTGGAAGACCACAACAACGGTTTTCAACCTCCCAACCTTGCACAAGCCTCTGGCGTTAGTTACGATATTGGCCAGCCTCGGAACGCGGAAAACGATCCACGTTTTGCAGCCAGAGTAACATCTATTGCGTCGTTGCTAGTATCCGGTACCTCCACCTGATCCCTTTTTTTCTTCCAAAATTTTTTCCTCCTCACTTCTCTTTGCGCAGCCACTCCAGACGGAGCAGGCAATCACGAGTATCTATAGCTCCAATCCAAGATTTCCCTGCGCTTTGAGAGAGTTTTCTCTGGGATGAAGGTAACACCCATGACGCCAACTTGTGCCTATACGTTAGACTCAAGTATCTATGCCCTACACCGAAGCTACAACTGTTCTCTCCCGACGCTCACACAATGAGGCTGTACGGGAGCAAAGATGACGATACTGATCTCTCTAAAGAAACCGGTTTTGCTATCGAATTCATGTATGAACGGAGCATGCACGAACGATTTCTAGCTGATTACTTCTGGAAGCCTTCTTTAAGATGTTTATGCAACAAGTCCTTCAAACTTACTGTGACGGCTCGCGGTCCTTTAACAAAAGTGATCTGATAATTAGCAGCATTCTTACTAGTGAGGCTCCTTCTCTCTGGTGAGGTTGCTGTTGTAGGCTTGGCCCATATCTCCATACGTCATCAGTATCTACTGACAGCCTGTTACTCCTACCAGCTTCTCTCGACGTATACGACCTCAAATACGTGCATCACAACCCTCAATAAAAATTGCCTAATGCTTCGTCTGCCGGAGATAAACCTTTATCGCCGGTACATTCACGTGATTTGAGCCCCTTAAAGCACGTGACGGTCTCAGGCCCCGTCGCAAATATCAAGAGCCTACTTCAAGGCAACAACATTTATACTAACTGATAGATATTATGCTGTTCAGTTAATCTAGCAGAGAAGTGCTGCCTAGTTTCCAGAGAGGGACGAAGCAGGGGTGTGGGACGGAGTACTCACTCTGCATATCTCGTGACGGAATCGTCATGTAGGCACGGATGCATAACTGTGCATGTATTATTACGAACTAGCATGAGCGCTGCAGAAGGCGACTCTTCAAAAAAAAAAAAAGCACCATTGTCAATTACTCAACGCTGCTCCATCCAACCAGTTGACAAAGCGAGGTCCCATCAGTGTCTTTACCATTGTGCCAATCGGCTGACGAAACATTCATGTCGTCAACCTCTCAGCTCGTTGTCTGCAGCGGCGTATCCTCGCTTCTTGGACTGACTCGCATGGCCCCTAGGCTCCTCTAGGCTCCTCCGGCATTCTTCGTCCATCTTTCCTCCAGGCGCCGTTATTCTAAACCGGGCGCAGATCAACCGCCCAACCAATCGAGCCCTGAAGACCAGGATCTTTCAAGGGTCGTCTTGACTTTGCGGCTCACTCTCCAGCTTAGCCGCAAAGCCAGCCTCACTCGAGGAAGAGTTGCTGTATCTCAGCGGAATGTCAAGAACAAGGGAAAAAAAAAATAAAAGAAAAAGAAAAAGAGGAGTCATGGTGCCAGGTTCTTTTTACCCTTTTGTATCTATTTGCTGTTTTCAGATAGAGCTGTCTGGAGGCGTCTGCCTGAGGTGTGGAGCCCTAAGGCGTAAACCTCAGTAGTTGCAGGTCCCAAGCCGCCCTAAGGAACAGAGTACGATTGGAGCCGGTGGAGAAGACGCTCTGGTTGGCGCCTGGGTTCTCCTCTGCTCCACTGCAACATCCATCAAAAAGAGCAGCAAAGGAGCAATTGAGGAAAAGACTTGTTGTCTGGCCCATCCCGCCGTTTCAACCATATGCATGCCATATAACACAAAGATATTCAGCCGTGTCAGGGGTATCCGTCCAGAGTACTAGGCAAACGGCCTCAAACGGTGCCCACTGGCGTAGTACTCCGTCGGTCGAGTCATACGTTTCTTCAGGACAATATGTGTGATATATATCCTGCAGCGTCGCTATGCCTCACGTATCCACATCCCATCCGGCCGGCGAAGGCGCAGTACGCAGTACCTCCCCTTCATTCTCTGCACGCAGTCGTTCACAATAGCGATTTACTGCAAGGGAGCCTCTGTTAGATATCTCTAGTCGTTTTGGAATAAGCGAATGTAAGCGTGGTATTATTAAATTTAACGCAAGCATGTTCCCCCCCTCCATATGGAGTCACTTTTTACAAAGGAAGCCTAACGAAAGCGCTTTTTTCTCGGAAAAGAAAAGAAAATACGTGCATCTTGATGTAAAGTCTTCTTTCAATTCCCCGGCCCGTGGTGTAGTGAACAACAAGGGTGGATGCCTGAACAGCCAGAATGGATACCAATTAGATAATGATATGTTTCTCTCATCTAGGTAGTTACGCTTATGGGGCAGGGAAAGGGAAAAAAATAATATATTGTTCAGAAAAAGCAAAGATGGTAAAAAAAGGGAGGAATCAAATAACTATAGCGCAGGGACAGAGAGCAAGAGGGCGCAAAAAGGAAAACGGAGAATCCCCTAGTTAATAAGAAAAGTCCATCTAATAGCAAATAAATGACATAAAATGAGGAAACAATCGCGCCGAAATAAAGTTGTTCCCGAAAATAGTCCTTGTAACATATACTCAATCTGAGCCGCAAAGGATTAAATGTGAGTTAAGATGAACGCGGCACAGGCATCCATGGGTCTGTCTATAAACCTTCCTAGCGAGTGTCCACCACAATGATCACGCTGTTTCGGACCGTTTGCCTAAACGACGCCTTAGTTTTGAGTTCGACAAAATTGATAACGTGGCTGACGTTGACGGCCACTCACCACTCTTGCCTGCTTGTTTTATCCAGAGTGGGTTTTGCACTTGTAGCCTGGTCTTGGTCGTGGGACTGGTTTTACTTCACAGGTGCCTGATTTGGAGCAGCCAGCGGCGTGGATAACCCCAAGCATAGGGACTCGGCATCCGCAGTCGAACACTTCCCAGTACTGGACACAAGGCATGATTGCGAGATGTTAAGGTAGGAAGGCTTGTAGTTGAGGTTTTAATAGTCCGAGTTGTGGATGATGTGGGTGTGGTGGAGGATTGTTGAGTTCTATGTCGTACACGGGGAGAAGTTGGAGTTAACAGTTGATGGGGTAGGAAGTAGTAGACCAGTTGTAGGGTGATGTATTGAACTTTGAAAAGGGCTGACTCCCTTATATATAGAGACGATTGAGTTTGATAGTAGTGAGATTGACTTGAGACTTGATGTTGATGTAAAAGAACTCAGATTTGCGGGTCTACCTGAGGGCTTTTATAGACGATCCTCGCTACCCGTGCACGTCGAGCACAGAGCGTGGTATGCAGGCACAGCTAATTTGGGGCATCCGTCTAGACCCACTTGATGCCGTGACTGAAACCATGAAAGGGCGAAGTCGAAGATGCACCTTCGCAAACAGCAGCAGCTAGTGTTGTAAGAGTATACACAACAAGGTAGGGGTGGGTGAGGGGGTAAAGGTAGAAAGAGGTTCAAATCCAACATTTACGGAGCAACAAAGGAGTTGGATAAGAAAAAAAATAGCTCTAAGATTGCGTGTGTTGGACACGGAGCCACGAAATGGTGCAGGGGAAGAAAAATCACAAGAGGAGTATATGATGCGGTCGACCTTGAATAGTGGCGTCAGTGCATGCTGTAACTATATCAAGCGGGTGATATGAAGCAGGTATTGGGTGTGTACGATCAACTAGACCCTTGAACAACCCCACACAACCTTAATACGGCCAGTGGCCATGTCAAGTGCGGGTACTTGTGACATTCGAGAACGGTAGATCTCCATAGAGGGCCGCACCCTGAAGCGTATGTAAGGGTGCCGCCAACTAGCGGGAAGCTTTTCTTTTTCACAAAAATACATCTTCCCCCTAGGAAGTAAAATCAACCGCAGTATTTGACTCATGAAGGCGGAGCATATGTCCGAACCAAGGATCATGAACAGCCCATTCCAACGGCTAATGTTGTATGAAAGGACTATGGGTATTTCTGTCTAGTCACATTGATATATCCTCCGATGTGAAATAGAACTGAATGCATCCATAAATGTTGGTCTCGTCACGAACAGGACGCTGATTTGCTCATCTACCCTATCCTCCAAATTGGAACCTGCAGTGTGCAAGTGCGCAGTCTCCGAAACATTCACCGCACAGGTCCCTGCGACATGGAATCAGGTGGGCCTATGCAGCAGCGGAGAGGATGCCTCTGCAACCTTGCGGTGAAGTTTTCCTTTTCTTTCCACTACCCCCTAGGGGAAAAGGGAAAAAGTAAAGACAACAAGAGGCGAGGTCAGCAACATGTAACCTATTCGTTGAGGACCCTGGTTACTTTGTTGGCTGTTTTTGAAGAATAAAGCAGGTCACCAATGGGTGGCTGCTGGCCTGGGACTCGTGGGGGTTAGTATGTAGCAGCAAATCATTATAGTTCTAATAACTGTTCCGGCTGCTCCATGGAGGGGTATATGTGAGGCGTCATTCGTTTAACACTACTTCCTGAAAGCTAGGAAGTAACTGCTAAGCGAACTTTGGAGGAAGTAGGCTTGCAAACCCCACCGGGCTCCTTCTATCAGGAGGCTCCGGAGAGAACAAGGGTTCAGGGAGGAAAGGGTAGGAAAAGGCGTGGACAATCGATGAATATCTAATCAGTGCCGTGGACTGAAATTGAACGCTGCGCCACCAAATTAACTTCTTCAGGGATCCGATGTTAATCATGAATTGGTATGAATTACAAAGCCAGGTAGGAGGTGAATGATAAATGTTGCATGCAAGAGGCTTGGATGGGAAGAAAGGGTCCAAGGGAAAAGAAAACGGCCCCTTTTTTCCTTCCATCACGAAGAGCTACCCATAGCTAGTAAGGCAGCATACGTCTGCAGCAGGGTAGAAGGCGAGCTACCCATTGTTCAAAAGCTCGATCTAGCTCCGAAACCCTTCCATCGGCGACGTACGAACGAATCAAGGCGGAGGACTTACTGGTTAGATAACCATGTCTGCCTGCAGGATGGTACCTAGACATTTGGGGTTGGGGGACAACAAGGACAACACGGCAACACAGGCAACAACTTGGCTCAGCTCTTTACGATATGGAAGTCGATCATCAGCTGATAACAAATGGAGTGAACCCGGATCGTGTGTGGATGTCATTGACCAGAGAGGCCCAGCTAGAGAAGGCAGAAGTGACTTTCGCCCCATTATCCAGGTCTAGCGACGACCCCATACATAATAGAGAGGAGAAACGGCCCCTTTCAGCGGGTCAGGAAGAGTAGCTTTTGCCTTCTTTGTCGTAGTCTCTGGTATATGGCCCAGCATCTGATGGCCGGGGTGTGCGCGAGAGAACGAACCGGAAAGAGCATCGAGGAAGAGAAAGAAGAAAAACAGGAGCCATTTTGGGGCCAGAAATATCTCCTCGGGTGCTGTCCCAGACCAATGGGGTCCAGAATCGAGGAAAGGAGCTGGGGAAAAGGTCTCTGGGAATGTTGTTGGAAGGGCGAAGGGGGAACAGCTCGCTGCCTGTTAGTGGATATCTGACTTTCTGTCTCTAACCGCGCGCCAAAAGCACCACGCAGGGAGCCAACCAGAGGCAGCCGGGGCGGGATGGGCCCCGGGATGCAGCCTGGAGGGTCGAGGGGCCGTCACCATCACACAATGAGCCGTATTCCTCCGTCGAGGACGTAAAACTGATGAGCTGTCCCGCCCTGATAGACGGTAGAAAAGACCAGGTGAAGTTCAAAACCATGAAAGAAGATCAAGAAAAAGCTCGGACCGCCAAAAACTGCCCCTGCGGGAAATGAACTAGTCACGTGATAACATCATGTGATTTAAGGTCATGTGACTGTCGCATTTCGCGTTTTCGCCCATAAGGCCGGAAGAGGAAAACATCAACTTCATCTGTCGATTTTGATAGACGAAGAGGACGACGGCGACGGCGACGACAACGGCGATGAAGATAAGGAGAAGACTGACATGAGTTGCTGACTGGAATTATCCGCTGTCTCCTGTGGGTACACGACTGTCCTCCCGCACCTGTGCGATCTCTCGAGGCCCATCAGCGACTCCATGGCCGAGCCCACAGCTCCAGTCGGCACTTGTCCGCAGGAGGGCAGCATCCCGGAATGAGGGTTTCTTTATTGCGCTGTCTTGCTGCTGCCCCTCAGTCTCGCCCGCCTGTTAACGCCAAGCTGGGCGTGTATCGAGGATGGTCCTACGTTGGACGCTGCCGAGCGTTTGACCCAACTTCATCAAAGGAAGATAGCCATTCCTTTATTAACTAACCCACCAGCTGCTCATAATATGGACAGCCAGAAGGAAGTAGAGCAGTCTGTCTGGGCTAGGTTTCCCGCCCTGTTCTTCCAGGCCTAGCTGAGATGGCTCATCAAGGTTATAGCAGGGTACCTGATGGAAATTTTTCTTTTTCCGCTAACTCACTACCCTTCTGCTCGCTCACCCTTGCTAGCATATTTTTTTTCTCCTCTCACCTGAGCAGCAGAAAAAAACATGGAAAAGGCACACAAAAATCAAAAATATAGATAGAAACGTTCGAAAGAACACAGTCCAGGGCTCTTGGCAAACTCTCGACCTGCGATCCTGAGGATCCAGGACAAGGCAGTTCAACAAATTAGCTGGACAAGCCGCACCAGATGGTGTCATTGTGGCATCATCGTGGATTTTCGACAAACTTCGGCTCTTCTCCTCCCGCAGGGCCAACGGGGCATTAATGGACCTAAGGACACATTAAATTGTGGGGTCGTGGTTTAGTTGCCCGTGGGCTTTGCATATCTGCCCGGCTGATGCTCTAGTCTTTTCCGTCTTGCCTTGGCCGGGTAACTATGTGACAAGGAGAGAAGAAGAAAAAACAATGATATAATCTATGGAGACCGGTTTGCGGTATATATAAGTCGGCTTCTTTCCCCGCTGCCGTCTGTCTCGGATCCTCTCCCAATACGCTCACTTGCTGTTCTGTTTGATTACTTTTCTGACTCCGAGTACTCTCATACGTACTAATTCCCCGGACTTGAAGCCACTTACTACATATGTGCCTATCACTTACGCCTACGCCATTGCCTTAGTTGCTTGCCAAAGTTATAAAAGGGGCCTTCTCTTCCTTCCACAAGGACTTCTTTTCCAGGACAAACCAAACACTCAAACCAAGCACAAACAATATACCTACAAGTCTATCTCTTAAAAAACCACCGACACTCTCCTGCAACAGTCAAAATGTTCACCAACACTCCCAACGGCACCTTCCTTGTCCTTGCCCCTCAATCCCACACTGCTGCTCAGCTCAACATGGCCACCTCCAAGCCAGCTGCCGCTGACGCCCCAGTTGATATCGACACCCAGGCCGCCGACGTCGAGGCTCCCGGCAAGACCAAGCGCTCTGACAGCAACCCATTCATCCCCGCCATCGGTGCAAAGGGCTTCACTTTCCTCAGACTCGGCCCTTAAACCAGCCAACCCCGAGAGCTTTTTATTTGTCCTTTTGTCTTTTTTCAAAACTTGGTCTATTTTAGCGGAACCTGGCTGAGCTAGGGGTTGGATAAAATAGATTACTTCTACTTATCCCGCGCCGGCGTCAACAATAATAACGATTGAACGACTACTATTACTCCTTATATTACGATTCCTCCCACAGCTACGGGTCTCAACAAGCTCGTGAACTGCCGAGGCAGACCCCCGGTGCCAATGTGATATTTAGTTCTTGGGGGGAAACCAAAAAAAAAAAAAAAAAGGGCGACTACTGATCGTTTTTCTCTTTCAACCAAACACATGCATTATTATTATACCTCCCTTTTTCTTTCTTTTTCCCTCTGCTTTCTTCTTTTTGGGCTCTTCTGTGTTGCCCACAGATAGGAAAAGCAATGCCAAACATCTATTCTGCCCTTAAACATGAATAAGAACCTGTCTTAGTATCAACTTTAATAATTCTTCTTTCTTCTACCGCCTATCTACTGGACTCCAGCATCCGGGGAATCGCTTTATCTCGTATACTGCATCTGCCCCTCCATAGGATGAGAAGCCCGAGAAAAAGAAACGGTTCAGGTCTCTTTCTCGTTTCTTTTTCCCCTGCCTCTGCCTCTCTGTTTACCCAACTGCGGGACATCTACGGAGTACAGATGGCAAAAGGAGAGGTCCGGATATCCCAGGAATGAACAGGTAGGAGTCGTTAAGAAGCACTTCATACCCCGTACGAAGGAATGGATAATATAGGGCTCTCCATCGTGGTCGATTTTGGCACCGCCATTTGCCCCTGAGCTCGCACACACGGACGGGCGTGCATAGCATAGCATACACATATCTTATCTTGTCCTACACACAAAGCATTATCTCATCCTTCTGTATCTCCAGCGGCGCCTCTATCTACTCTATCCTTACACCACCCTGTGCTCCGTAGCTATCTACCTATCCCTTGCGTGTGTATCGCCTTCAGGGTCCCCAGCCAGATCAGCTCCCTGCCCTCACATGTTAGCCCAGGAACGAACGTTCTTCTTCGTCTCTTCTGTGTTCTCATGTGATGGGCCGGTCCGGTCCTCCTACTCCGAAGAAAGCTCCCTTGCCTTTGCTTTTTCTTGCTTGCTTGCTTCTTTGGCTTTCTTTTCTTTTCCTTCAGATGCCAACTTGATCGCTAGTGAAGTGCTTACTTTTGTACGGAGACTCTTGCTCCGTCATGAATCGCCTGCAACAGCCTTATAGAGTTCTGGATATTGAAAAGGGCATCTGGCTCGAATGTATCATGATAGGTATCAGTCTTGACGTAATCATAGACAGTCCTGGCAATTTAGGGAAGTTAACGGGAAAAGGGGCTACTAACCATCCCGTCAACCTAGACGGCTGTACGGAGAACACATCTCTGGGGCCAGAACGGAGTTGACGAATGCATAGTGTAGCATCATAGGAGAGACACAGGTCTCTATACTTGGACCAACCGGCTCCTTCACCTGCTCTTCCTCCTCGTATACGGCGTTTCTTTTGAGATGGATGACGAGCGCCATACAACGCGGCCCTGCTCCGATGAGCACCATTTCCACTCAGCAGGTATGAGGTCACTCATAGTTGACACTCAGTGTGCAACTAATAGTTATTTGACCGGTTCTTGAACGGAGAGTATCATCCCGTCAATATTTGGCCATCTTCGGTTCCAGGTACCAAGCCGTTGGCGGGCTTGGGTCAGATCTTCTTAACTGCCTAGACGGCTCAAGCTCTGGGGTAACTTGAACCTCTGTCGATACCAAACCTAGATAATGAGGCTAATAGGGAGGCCAGGAGCGGGATATGGAGAGATAGATAAGTTTATTGCATGCATGGAAATATATAGGAGTAACTCGTCCTAGGCTAGTTACCTTACTCTCTGGCCTGCTCTGTATAAATTGACTATTTCTCGGGCCGGTATGCCTTGCTCCCTTGTACAGAGACCTACATATGAAACCATTGGAGACCTTCTTTACCTGCCCCTAGCCATCAGTTTGTAAGAATCTATTTGGCCACCGGTTTTATACAACTTTCGCTTGCGCTGGTTTATCTACATAGTTACATTCAGAGTGCCAGCTTGCCCAGACAGATATTCATATCTATCTTGGTTGATTCTTAAATAATATACTAAGCAGGAAAACAGCTTTGTGATCTATTTCACAGACAAATATAACTATAACCTAGGAGACTAGGAGATTGGTTATAGTAGAGCGGGATATTCAGCTTGCCCATAACTAGTCGAAGTCTTGGGCCACCTTCATTAGATATAGAAACACTACAGTCGAGGCCGGGGATTAGGAAGGCAAGACAGCTGCTTGGAAACCTGATTGAATAGCTAGACTATATGAGAAACACTGCAGCCCGACCTTCTCTCAATATCCATATACTCTGGGTGTGTAATAAAACAAAGAGTGCAATACCAACTACGTCTACATCCAGATTGTAAAGAAACGCAGGGTCGGATGGTAGAAAGATGATATCAACAATTAGCCTATGTGGTGATGTTGGACAGGGCAACAGTGCATGCCTCATTAATATTAAAAATTCAACGGCTAAATCATTTGCCAACTCAGGGCTTGCGTTGTTAACAACCGGCAACTGCGCAGAAGTAGATGAACAGAGTGGTATGCTGAAAGGTAAGCAGGCCGGCAGATATGTAAAGGGACGTGTAAAGAACAAGGCAAGCGGATTCTGATCCGGCTGGCTGAATGGGGGGAAGAAGCGAGGAAGAAAAGGGAGGCCTAACTAAGTACTAAAACGCAGCTATGGATTTATAGACAACAAGAAACGAAGAGGATAAAGAGGCTGGCTGCCTGGGGGGGAAACAAAGCATTAAAATTAAACAAATAGACAAGGTAAAAGGAAATTATGAGACATAAAAAGGGTCTTCTGTTCTCACTTATTCTTTTCCTCCTCCATGGTCTCGGTTTCGTGTACAGCCCTATTTCTGTTCCGTTATTTGTTTGCTTCCATATTGCTTTGGTACGAGAAAGGCAAAGGGGGTGCGCGGATGGAATCGGGGAATGGTCAAGGGATAAGGGTGGGAATATGTAGTTGCAAAGCAAGAGGCTTGTGGGTATGGTACGGGAGGCTAGAAGAGGGTAACATGCAGAATCTGGCAAGGGAGGATAGAAAGCTCGATAAAGGTGATAGCCAGACAGAAAAAGACACAGACATATTGAATGGAAAAAAATCAGAAAGAACTATAAATGAAACCCAAACCCCAACAGAGACAAGGAAAAAAAGGGGGAAACACGAAAAAAGATCCCATCTGTTGTACAATGACCAATCAATGAACAAAATGGAACACTGGGAGAAGAAAATGAAATGAAAAGAATAAAAAAGGAAAAGATAACAAAGGAAAAATGGAAAAGAATAAAGGGATATCAATCATCCCCTTACTCCTCCGACTTCATCATTTAGCCGGACTGTACTGCTCAAACTCAACATCCTTCTGATTCTTCGATCACCCTCCTTTTTTTTTTTCTAACCTTTTCTCTCTCCTTAAGCTGACCCTCTTGATATTAAAATCGAATGGTCGACGGCCTGGTTCCAACTCCAATGTATGGAGGTTCGGTTTGATAAGGTGGAAATTATCGAAAGTATCACCCTTTTTCTTTATATTGAGCCGAGACAGACAATTGGTGCATCAAATGCAGGTGGTGAATAATAAAACGGCCAATTGCAGGCGCAAAGGGGTATCAAAAGTAGAAGCGGGAACGCAAACCAAGACAAACTAAAATTAAAGGGGTGTCAATAAAAGCCATGCGCGCTTGTAGTGTTGCGAACAATTCTTAGAATAAAAAATGAGACAGGGATGAATATCTCATTGTGTTGGTCTGGTTGGATCCGAGCTGAGGTGCATGTTTCCGGCTATTTGTTCAATTTATCAACTGTATGTGTATTGACCCTTTTTTGCTTTTTTCGGTTTGATAGAAATATGAGCGGGCGAGCTACCGGTCTTCACCAGCTCTGGCTTTTCCACGTCGTCTGAAGAAATCCATCACCTTTCTCGCAGCGCCTGAGCTTCCGGAGGTATGCGAAGGAGCCTGCTCGAACTCATAAGCATCGGCAAACTTGCGGTGGCCTTTCTGGAGAACATTGTTTCTTGGTTGTCGGCCTGCTTGCATTGATGGGCGAGAACCATTGTCAAACTGATGATCATATTGTTGCGGTGGCTGGTGGTCCTGGTCAAAGCCTTGAGAATGAGCATCGGGATACCCTTGCTGTTGGAGTGGCTGAGAGCTTGAGCTTGCAATGCCGAACATTTGATCATCACGCGGATGGGATTGTGGATAAGTGGGCTCAAAGGTATTTTTGATCTGGCCCTCTTGGCTGCTGTGTAGATTAGCAAACTGACGATCAATCTGAGCAGACAAGTTTAGTGCATCAATTTGATGGTCTCTAGAGACTGAAACTCGATCTTTGTACAGGTCGCTATCTTGATCGTTGGTTGGTGCCAGAGTTGCAGGCACAGCTGCAGGAGCGGTGGATAAACGCCGCTCTCGCTGGGGTTGCTGCTGTGGTTGCTGTTCTGCTTGCTGGGAATACATGTAATCATCAACATGAGTGGGACCAGGCTCTTCGACAGCTTGATGTTCTTTGCTTGAGGAGAATTTTGAAAATGTGGGGAGCAGGGAGAATCGGCGGGGACGAGAGACATTATGAGCATCACTCTGTCTCCTAAAGGCATGCGAGATGGAACGTCTGGAATCGATGGATGCGCGTGGTTCGTCCATCATTACATAAGGATCCTTCATGCTGGTAGGAGGATAACGCTTGCCTTGCTTCAGACGAGGAGAACCGGGGGTAGAAGATTTACCGCCGAAGATAGAGGATGCTGGTCTCCCAAAAAGTTTCTCACTGATGCTAGTAACAGTGCTGGATCGCTTGTGGCTCTTTGATGTCTGCTGAGCTGGTCCAGTTGGGGCACCAGAAATGGTAGTTGGATGGCCCACAGACGCGGAAATCTGTCCATGCGATGCAGGCATAGGGGCTGAAATGTTGTATGCCTTGCCGTTCTTTGGCTGTGCGAGCTTTCCTTGTACGTTGGTAGCAGCAACGGCGGGTGCAACAGGTTGACTGTAAGACCCTCGGGATGGCAGCCGAGAATCCATTCGACCAGCCGAAGCCATGGAGCCTCCAGTCTGGGGTCTTCCTGTAGGGATTTGGGAACCTTGAGTCCCAGAGAAAGCACCAGTTAATTCTGATACAGACCGTGCAACGTCTCTTGATTTTGGCCTCGTCATACCTTGATTGCGGTCTGCATAATTGTTGGTATAGCCCATTCTCTCACGGTTACGATCAATAACAGGTCTGGGAAGCGGCTTGTCGAGCTGAGGCTCGCCTTTGATGGCGCCGGTTGACGCAGCAGATGTGCGAGTGGCTGCGGGAGCCGCAGTTGGAGCTGAAACTGGAGCAACAGAGGATGCTTGGCCAGGAGAGCTTTGCTGATCGGAAGTGGAGCCACCTCGAGCGGTTGATGACTGAGGAGCAACGTATTCAACCTGGACAGTTCTACGTTTGGCATCTCGAGTGCGTTTAGGTTTCTCTTCTGGCGTCTGTGACACCTGTCCTGGCTGCTGGGTAAGCCCACCAAGGACGGCAGTATTGTTCTGTACATGATGAGGCTTTGGTGGTTCCCGGACAGATGCACTGCGCTCGAGAAGCGGTGTGTCTCTCTTTTCTTCTTCTACATGATTGCAGTCAGCGACCAAGCCAATGGTGAAAGGGGAAAACTGAAAAATAAGCATACCTGAGGGAACGGTTGTGTTTGCAATGTCTGCTACATCCGTAGTGTTGCTAGTGATATGAGAGACAACCGTGGCATATTCAGCAAGCCAGCTGTGACGGGCGACTTCAAAGAGATCGGCACGCTTTCGAGGGTCGGGCACCAAGATGCGGCGTAGGAGGTCACGGGCGTGCGGAGTGACATATTCAGGGAATGTGAGAGGAGTTGTCACGATGTACTTGTACAGAAGATTGATATTATCTCCGTCTGGGTTTGCTGGGTCATCATCGAAGGGGAGATACCCGGCTAGCATGGCGTAGAGAATGACACCACAGCTCCAGACATCCACTTTTCGCCCTGTGTAGAGCGAGTCACTAACGACAAGTTCGGGAGCAGCGTAACAGGGACTGCCACAGCTGGTCTGCATGAGGTCTCCTCGTCTGAGTCCGTTGGCATCAGTGCGGTCCAGGCGCATCTGCTTGACAAAGTCTCGGTTGGTGAGATTGTATTCAATCTCCTCACTCAGTTCGTCACTTGGGTTAAATGTATTCGCAAACCCAAAATCTGTAATGATAATGTTGCGGTTTCGGTCTAAAAGCAAATTCTCTAGTTTGAGATCACGGTGGACGATGCCCATTTTGTGAAGGTAGCCAACTCCGGAGACTAGCTGTGCGAACAGGCGACGAGCGGCATTGTCCTTTAGGTAGCGATGGTTAAGAATGTAGTCGAAGAGTTCACCACCCGAGGCGTACTCGAGGATGATGCCAATGTGGCGGTCTGTGTGAACGATTTCATGGATGCGAACAATGTTTGGGTGGGAAAGCTTCTTGAGAACGGATATTTCACGGTTGATCTTGGGCAGCCGGCCAGGATTGGAACCCAGGGTTTCACGGCGGATCAGTTTGATGGCAACCTGTACGCTTCCGTCTCGTTTCCAGCCAAGTCGCACTTTGCCGAATTCACCTTCTCCGAGGGTCTGGCCGAGAATATAGTCGCCAAAGGAGGTTTCCTTTCGCTTTCCGCTGGAGCCATCATGTCTACTCTTGGGGATGTTCGCTCCTTCATCCTCATCTTCTTGGAGGTCTGCTTCGTCAGGATATCCGGAGGTAGTAGTACCGTGTCTGGTATCAATATGTACATTTTCCTGGCGTTGCTGTGCTCGCGCAATATCAATGTCCGGGTTTGTCACGACCATGCGATCGAGCACGACACTTGGTTCATGCACAGGCCCAGTTGGAACAGAGCTGGGGCCCATAGCAGCTTCAGATCGGCTCTCGAGCGCACCGACGTTGGAGTAGTCCCTCGGCTCTCGAGTACTCGCAGCTCTCTGCGGGCCCTCTGGTGAATGGGGGGTCTTACGACGGGGCTTGCTGCTGGGAGGGCTCATATCATCTTTGGCTCTCTGCTGGCTATCGCCATGGCTCCTGCCGTTCTCACGACGTTTACCTTGTCTGGACGAGACATCCTGCGGACTAACATGGGCCTTGTTGTTGGACGAGGAGCGCGGTGGAGGAATAGGAGGGCTCCCATAGCTATTATCGGCGGTCCCTGGCCGGGCTCGCGGACTGGTGGAGCCAGGCTTGCCTGGTGGAGTGACCGGCGATGCGTAATCCTGGCTGCCACTCATTCCCGGTGACGCAGCAGACGGATGCAGACGCTGCGAGGCTGGCGAGCTCTCATTGTAGCCCGAATGGTCTCCTCCATGGGGGTATTGTACTGGTGACAGAGGGGATCCGGGAGGATGATACTGCTGGCCGTTCGACGTGGGGGGATGCATGTACTGGCTTCCAAGCTGCGGAGGATTCAACTGCGGGCTAGCCTGCAGTGAAGAAGACATGCCTTTCCCTTGGGGAGAGGCTGCTTTGGGGGGGTTGGAGGTATAGAGGTTGTCCGGCTGGTAGCAACGCTGCAGCGCGTTAAGGATGATGTCGTAGGCGTTACCAGAAGGGAATCTAAAACAGCAAAGCTCTAGAAGGTCTTGTTAACACTCTAAGCCATAAGAATTGGCCGGAACAACGCGTCTTGTCTAGGTAAACAACAAAGCTAGAGGTGCTGCGCGGGTGAAGCTGAGGATGTGATGTTGTGAAGTTGAAGTTGCGAGGTTGTGAAGCAGCAGAAGAAGATATCAGGGCGTTTCTTTTTTGGGCCAGCCCAACCTCACTTCCAACGCGCTAGCACAGCAACACACACAGAGCACAGCATAGCAACAGGACAGGATACAAAAGATAAAAAGACAAAAGCAATACTTACAGCAAGATGCTTCTCAGGACCAGTGTCTAACTGGAGTCTGCGGCTCTCTGCTACCCGGAGCGCGTCAATTCGACTGCTATCACGTCGCAAAGGGTGAGCCTGCCAGCCTATTCCATCCAGGCTGAACTGGACTGCACGGCGTGTTTTATAGTCGACAGCCAGGTCGAGCGCGAAGAGAAGAAAAAAAGACAAGAGGAAACAGGAGAAAAGACGAAGCGGAAGAATAGATCAGGCACCCACAGCTTGCAGTTGGACGGGAACAGTCAACCCCAATTGAAGCAGACACGCAGACAGGCAGGCAGCGTTGCCGCGTGCAGCGAGGGTATATATTCTTATACTACCGGTAGCGAGAGGATGGGTCGAAGCCAGCGACTTCACCGCGGCGGTCACAGGCACGACTTTATGGGCGGTCTCGTCTCGCCTTGGTCGGGTTGCAGGGGGAGGAGGGACGGGTTGGTCTCTCTCTGCGCTGGCTGAACTGGTCGAACGGGTTTCTCTCTCAGCTTGACCAAGGCAGCATGCTTGAACCGGCGGTAGGAACGACAGAGAAGCCAGCCAGCTAGTTACAAGCTATGAAAATTCAATGCGAACGAAACGGACCGTGGAGAAGCCGTCCGGGCGGCCTGGTCTTGTTGACGGGGCAAACGAACGATTGGCGACGAGTTCAGGACGGGAGGGAAGCATCAAGAGGGGCTTCTTCCTCAGGAGACTCAAATCGGAATCGGGGACGGGGCGAACGTCTGGCACACCTTTCGATGGTGTTGGTTGGGTCCTGTCCAGGGGGCAGAGGGTGGAAGAGACAGAACGGGTTGCGAGACAGAGGGAGGCTGGGAAGAGCGGCCGAGCGGTGAATGACGGGCCAACCAGCGCAAAGAGGAAAATAGAGAAGGAGAGGAAGAAGGGGATAAGGAGAGCGTCTACCGGGACAGAGACATATACTCTCGGGCTCTCTCACAGGCACACGCACACGCACACACGCACCTCGTCGTCTCCTTGGGGAGTTTTGGAGATGATGGATGAGCGGACGGGGACTGGAGGAGGAACAGACAGACACAACAGGAGTAAAAAGGCCCTGCGATGCTTCGCTGGTTTAGCTCGCGGTTTCGTGTCTAGCGCAAGCATAGGATGGAGTGACCTGGCACTTGGCGCTGTTTTGAACCAGGGCCATTCATTCTCCAGCCTGCGGGAGGCTTGCCAGAGACGAAAGGCTGCTGGCTGCTTTGCTTTTTCAATGCTCTGGCCGGGATTGTTGAGCTGGCTGCTGCTGCTGCTGCTGCTGCTGCTGCTGTTGTTGCAGGTACAGAGTATACGGTTTATGGCTACTACTCCGTACTTCTGGTTGCTGGTTGACGGTTGCTGGTTACTGGACCTCCCTGCTGGCCCGGCCTACGGTGCGACATCCCAACGTTAATTTCGTCTGCGGTACTCTGTATGGGCGCGAAGTGATTACTATATTTTACCAGTGCAACCAACTCGCGATGCATCCCATTATTAACACACCATCCACACGTTATGGGGATGCGCGCGCTGGCCTGGTTGGCGCTGTTGCACCGTCCTGGATACGTGGATGATACATCGTCCAGCCCCCTCTCTCCATCCACCACCCCCCTAAAATCCGCCTGACTTTTACTACGGGTACTTATACGGAGCATTTATGGCTGCCCTTGCCGTCTCTCTGCCACTCGCTGTTGCTGCCGGTTGGGCTGCGCTGGCAGGGTCTGGCGGTAAGATTATCCCCGGCAGAGCCTAAGACATCCATCAATATCAAATCAAGCCAGGACGGCGCCGCCGACTCCAAACACCGTCGAAAGCTCCGATGTGACTACGGGGTGCTAGATGAGGTGATGAGATAATAATAAATTATGGAGATGACAAGATGACGATGTTCCGTCTCCAGTCGATTGTCCGCGCTAATCTTACCTCGCTGCGAGTGTTGCTTTGCTCCGGGACTTGAAACGAGGCTCGTAATACCGCAATGTACCGGCGGACCCAGGGGACGGATAAGCCACCAGAAGCGATCTACGAGGCGTTATTTCGCTTGCGCGTGGTGCATATGGGAAAACACATTGGGCTGCAGGGACAAAAACAATCGCATCTATTTCCCTCTCTCTCTCTCTCTTTCTTCCCCTTGGCTCCTTGATGCTGAGGGCTGGCGGTTTCGAGTCAAGCGGCCGAACATGAGAGCTTTCTTTCTCGCCGGGAATGGCAGTTGAACTATCATCTTTTTTGACTGCTAAGCTGCCTGACAGACCTATCTGGCTACTATTTTTCCTGTCACATTTCCTTCCCGGCCCATTTTTTTGCTATCATCCAAATTAATGTCCTGAACCTCGTTCGTTCGTTCGAGGGAACCAGCCAAACCAGGAAAAAACCAAGGGGCGAAAAAAAAGAACCATATCAAAAAAAAAGGACAAGAGAAGAAGAAAACATCTTGCCATAGAAAAAAGGAAATCGTCCTCCAAGGTCTAACATAACCCACTATTCAAGATTGAAATTCATTAAAAGAAAAAAAAAAAAAGGTGAGGGAAGAAAGCGAATGCGAAGAAAGGGGTTCTTTTGTTTATCCCCCGAACTACTGGTACTTGTGACTGTCGTTCATCGGAGTGCCCCCCAGCGATTTCCCCCCCTGGGCGCCATACGCTGGTGGCGGCGCAGGCGACTGTGCTCGATACATCGGCCCTGAAGACGATGACGATGAGGATGCTCCAAATTGAGGCGAGAGGCCTGACTCCGGCTTGCCAGATGGTGGAGAGAGCACGCTAGATCCGATCTGCCCGCCGTCGCCTCCACCAACGACAAGCTGCTGTCCATCCTTCATACGACCGACAACCATCCCCTTGGCCACCGACTTGAGGATTGCCCGTCTTGAAACGCCCATCGCGTCAATATAGACTAACCCGACGTTCTTGACGCCGCCAGTGATATCTGTCGTCACTGCCCGCGCCTCTTCGCCGTATCGGTGGCCCATGACTTTGGACGCAGCCTGAGAACCGGTTGACAGGAGATGTCGAGCACTGTGATCGAGACCGTCACCCAGGGTGGAAATCGCAATCATTGACTTGTTGAGGATACCAGGCTTGTAGTCTGGTATCGGCTTGCCGTTGATGTCGTATCCTCTGTTATACGGATCACGCTCACCCCGACGAGTCAATGCCGCGCCCAGGTTCTGTGCATATTTACCTAGCTGTCCCACGGTTTTGGCTGATAGGCCAGCAGCAGACTGCGAGAAGGTGTTGATCTTGCGAATGTGTGCCTGTGCGGATGGCGAGAATGTCATGGGTTTGGCAGCGGGCTTGGTACTCCGGGTGAAGCTGTCTGCTCCAGTGTTTACCAGGCTGGCCAGTGCTTCGGTGGTAGTCACCAGAAGACGGGAAGCCATGGCTGAACCTTGAACAAGCGATGACTTTGCATATGCAGGGTGGCTTGCCATACGCAGGTACTCTGGCGGTGCATTGCTGACCGTGATCTGGTTGCCTGTCTCGGGTAGTTGGATCTGAACGGGGTCTAATGAAGATTAGCTTGACGTCCACGAGGAATAATCAACGAGGAATAATACGAGATGCCAAAATAAATATGGAAAAACAAAAATAAAATAAAATAAAGAGGAAGACACATTATTGAACGGCAGTTGCAAAAGAAAAAGAAAGAATTGGAGAGCTGGCATACCTTTTGACCCAGGCTTGACGTCTGTCGACTGCACAACACTGAATCCCTCGGTGAGTTCTCCCACAACACTCCCGTTCTCCTCATCAACTAGAACAATCTGGCCGTTCTTCTCATCGCCAGTCCCTGCATAGCCCTCTCCAGGTGCATATGTTGCAGGGTTATATCCTCCCTGTTGTTGCTTTTGCGGCTGCTTGCCCTGGTGTTTTGGGGGTGGAGACCGCTCAAGAAAAGCAGTACACTGCGCAAGAATGGTCTCAAATGTGTCGACGTCCTCCTGTGATACCATTCCAGACCCGCTTCCGATCTTGGGGAACTGAATGCGAGTAAACGCACCGGCCTCAGGCCCTAGATCCCATCTGGGAATCAGGTAGCTGTCTGGCGGCTGGTGGTAAACCTGAGTGGTGGCGGGCAGTGGGAGCTCAAGCTCTGGCGGCAGGTGAAGATGGAGGTAGAAGTCTTCCTCTGTGTTTCCTGACGCAGCGTGCGGGTTGGCAGGGTCTACAACGGGGATGGTCGTAGGTACCATGAGGAGGGAGAGCGTCTGAGGCCCTGAGGGGGTGAGTTCCGTCTCCTCGCCATCCTGGACATGGAATGCCCGCACGTTATCGAGACTGAAGAAGAGTCGAGGGTCGCTTGATCCCCCAGCCATGGCGAATGGCTCACTGTTCTATCTGGCTGGTCTTGAGGATGTATCGACTTTGGATAGTTAGTGGGACTTGGGAGAACTTGTGGCCTGATTTGTTTGCGTATATGTGTTAGATCGCGGGGTGTTTGGGTCAGAGATCCTCACAGCAGCAGCAGCAGCGTTTATTTTCCTAACAGCAAAGACAGGCAGCAGAACCACCCTGGCTTTCAATCCTGGCGTAGTCGAAGTGTGATATGTGACTTGAATAGGTGATGTGACTGCCTTGCGGCTTCAGCGCTTAAGTAGAAGAAACGACGTGCGAAAGATGCACCGCCACAAACGCGGCCTCCCCGCGCCCCGTGACAAGTGATGATGTCATCACTGCACAGCCTCATATGATTATGTAATACATGATTTGGCAGGCACGAACTGATAAGATAAAGACGGAGTTTAAGTTGTGTTTGATGTCGATATACTCTGTCGAAAGTAAACAGTTGCGGGAAGAGAGTGAAGGAAGACAAGACGAAGCAAGGAGCAGCTCGAGGCGGACGATGCTCGGGTGACGGAGATAGCCTGACCTTGCAGGGGACAGCACCAGCAGGGGGCAGCGAGTCAGGCCTCGGGACCAAGGCTGTGAGACGGCTGGTATGCAGATACGGGTTGCTAGCAATCCTCCGCAAGACAAAATGTATTCCCTCCCGCCTCTCGGGGCAAAATGGGCTGTCCATCCATCGACATGTCTATTTTTACGATAAATTTGTGAAAAGGACAGGCGAAGAGAATTCCGACTGAACAACAACCGCTATTACATTCCGACCATATCAACAACAATGCGGCTGCATCTCCTTGTATTCAGCCTGGGACTTCTGCCAGAGGCTTTTGTCCAAGCAGATGAGCTCTACCACAAAGTTCGGCTCGCCTTGAATTCCACTCCACAATAGCAGTAACTAACAGTATTCCAGGGTGACAGCAAGACTCCGTCCGTTCAGCATGATATTCGTGGCCTAGTCTCCTGCTCCGTCCCCGAGAGAGATGACTGCTCCTTCTACCTATCCTGTCTCGAGGCTGCGGTACCATGTGGACCCGAAGGCTACGCTACTGCCTATGGCGACCATTACTGCCGCAAATTTCAGTCAGAGCAGCAGAAGTTCTCTGACAAAGGGCAAGCCTGGCTAAGCAATACCATGTACTGCCTGCAGAGCAAGCTCGTACCATACGCGACTGGACAAAAACAAGCCACCTGCGACGCGATCCGGAAGTACGCCTTCGGAACACATCCCTCCTGTTATATCGACAACGGCTTGTGCACCCTCCCACCGTCGGACTGGTTTCTTATCCTCGATATCGTTGGTGTCGAAGGCCTGTTCGGTAGCATAGAAGCTCTTATTGCAACACTGGAGGCCGCAGGTGGATGTGGTGAATTTTACCTTTGGTTAATCAGGAATCACTTCATTGAAAACGCGGAAAGACGGATCACCAGCAAGGACGCGTGAGAGTATTTTCAAGTCGTATCTTGACAGTAACCAGAGTAACAGTATTGTAACTCTGGGTAGCTTTCGACTCATCCACGGTTCAGCGTACGATAATTTAGGTTAGCCTTGAATATATTCTAGGTTACACAAGATCTTACCAGACCTCAAATATATGTAAACACACCTTGCCTTAAAGCGAGGAACGAAGGATCATGGTTTGCTGGTTGATGCGACTTTCATGGTTCTTTTCATCCAGGACCTGGATTCCCAGGCGTAGATTCCAGGTAGAGATGGCCTGGCTGGAAAGTCAATACATTTCCCTAAGGTGAAACATGAATAGCGCAGTATATGATAGCAAGATTGTCCATCAGAGATACGCGTGGATGGCAAATTCAAGTCCTGAGCCCATACTATTTCCCAATAAAGCGCCAATGGCTGATGCTGCGGTATCATCAAACAATGATACCTCTTCAGGTTATCAATGAACACTGCTCAGGTTGCATCCATCCGGGTTTCAAGCTTATTTTGTGTATGAAACCCAACCCCAGAAAAGAGGAAGAACTAGATCTTCACCACGCAGTGATATGGATGACGCGTTGATTTATGAGAGCCAGTAGTGGCTATGGAGAAAATAGCTGGGATCCGCGCGAGAGGACAAACGCTAACTTAAAGATTGGATCTAACAATCGGATATGGGCAGTATTTATTATGGGTATTCGAAGGTCAAAGCTAGGCTTTTCAAATCTCATCTAACTGTGTATTTTGTTTTCACGGGAAACACAGCGGTAGACCTTAGAGTCGTGTGATAAACAAACAGGACTCTGGAGAGGACCACTCCAGTTAAGGGAAGAAATTTGGGTTTGTAGGAGCAATTTAGCTCCATCTTGGCTAACTTATTGCACCGTAAGTTCAGGTACCAGACTTCTGTAGGAGTTTAGTTGCCTTCACACATCGACTTGTTTATCAGATCTCAAGGTCAGGTTCGAGGTTTCTATCTTTAGCTGTCGCTAATTTAAGCTTTACCACGTGATAGATGTTATTAGTCATCTAGAGCTTTGACTATATCACGTGCCAACTTTGCATCCGTGTCTAGCCGAGGTTAAATAGAAAATCACGTGGCGCTTCTCGCTGCCTTCAACTTTCGGTCTTTCAAGTCCGCTTTTCGATTCTGATTCTTCTTCTCTAGGCCGAACGTTTGGTTGATTTCTCTGCCGTTGAAGTGCTTGCCCGGTGCCTGTTCTGCGTTGTTATACCCCGTATAGTCACTATCGCTCCAACATGGCATCCATAACCCGTGCGCTGCGACCCTTGTCCAGGAGGGTATATGCGCCTCTCCTATCCACGGCAAACAGAGCTACGGTCTCCAGGGCCGCACAATGGTACGTCAAAGCACATATTCCCTTGGAAGCCAATGCTGGTATCATTTCACAGCTCCGGTACATGTTATGCTGACTTGACTGACCTGGGTGCAGCTCCCGGGCGTTCTCTGCTACTCCCCTCCGCCGTGATGCCGACCTCACCCCCACTCCCATCACCTACCTCTCCGAAACCGAGTCGATGATGGCAGAGTCTGTCTCCAAGTTTGCCGTGGAAGAGATCGGCCCCAAGGTCAGAGATATGGATGAGGCTGAGACCATGGATCCTGCTGTTGTCGAGCAGCTGTTCGAGCAAGGGTTGATGGGCATTGAGATCCCAGAGGAGTACGGTGGTGCCGGCATGAACTTCACCTCGGCAATCATTGGCATTGAGGAACTCGCTCGTGTCGACCCCAGCGTCAGTGTCATGGTCGACGTGCACAACACCTTGGTCAACACCGCTGTGCTGAAGTACGGTAGCGCCGCTATCAAGAAGAGATGGCTTCCTAGACTGGCCACCGACACCGTGGGATCGTTCTGCTTGTCCGAGCCCGTCTCCGGATCCGATGCTTTTGCCCTCCAGACCAAAGCTGAGAAGACTTCTTCCGGATACAAGCTTAATGGCAGCAAGATGTGGATCACCAACTCCATGGAGGCTGGGTTTTTCATTGTCTTTGCCAACCTGGACCCCAGCAAGGGATACAAGGGTATCACTGCCTTCGTCGTCGAGAAGGACATGCCAGGATTCAGCATTGCCAAGAAGGAGAAGAAGCTTGGTATCCGTGCCAGCAGCACCTGCGTTCTCAACTTCGATGATGTCGAAGTTCCAAAGGAGAACCTCTTGGGCGAGGAGGGCCAGGGATACAAGTATGCCATCAGCTTGTTGAACGAAGGCCGTATCGGTATTGCTGCCCAGATGACCGGTTTGGCCCTCGGTGCCTGGGAGAATGCTGCTGGGTATGTTTTTTTCTCCTGAACTTACTTAACACATTCAATACTAATTGTGATCATAGTTACATCTGGAACGACCGCAAGCAGTTCGGCCAGCTCATTGGTACTTTCCAGGGAATGCAGCACCAGGTTGCCCAATCATACACTGAAATTGCTGCCGCCCGTGCTCTCGTCTTCAACGCCGCTCGCAAGAAGGAGGCTGGTCAGGATTTTGTCCAGGATGCCGCCATGGCCAAGCTCTACGCCTCCCAGGTCGCCGGCCGCGTGTCCGGTCTCGCCGTCGAATGGATGGGAGGCATGGGCTTCGTCCGCGAGGGTATTGCTGAGAAGATGTTCCGAGACAGCAAGATCGGTGCTATCTACGAGGGAACAAGCAACATTCAGCTCCAGACTATTGCCAAATCTCTGCAGAAGACATACACTAAATAAATATAAGCATCTGCAATATTACCTTAACTCCAATGTGAGTTCCAGAAGACCGGAAGTACTAAAAATGAGGACGTCTGGTGTTTGTTTCAGACTATTTTAATGCATGTATGAATATGTGCCAAGGGGATTGACTGATTAATTTCTGCTTTGGCAAGGACTATTTCTCTTGCTTTGATACGGAGTATCATTGTTATTGTTCTTTTTTGAGTCGACCTGGAGGTCTCGAGTATCATGATATAAATCTATAGACTGAACAAAGAATAGAATATTTGTCTGTGGTTATGTTGATGTCCTTGCTCGTCGGTCTTCTTTCATGCAGCAAAGCGTCAAGCAAACAAGGAAGGAGTCGGAATATAACTTCCTGCATCAACAACCAACGACTTCAACTACTAAAACTCGGCCCCCGGTCTAACACCTCTACACCAGCATTACGGCTGTCAGATGACGAGCCGTAGATGCATACTCCGTACGCAAAGTGAAATTCGTGTCTTCTTACTTGACTTGTCCACGTCGAGCAGTTACACAATGATAGCTCACGCCCCAGCAGGAGTTGCAGACGCCCCGAGCCTCTTAGAGCATCCTCAACTCAACACCAGCAAGACAGAAATACCTATCCGAAGATGCCTGGACTGGTCCACAGGATCGTTATCCATAGCTACGGGAATGATATCCATCTCGACTGATTGTTTAAGCAGCCTTGGTTACGGAGTAAATCCCACTCACTCTATAAGGTCACTCAGTTTTCTGGCACAACAGCGGGTGACGTGAAGGCTTACGCACTTACAGCGTACCGCCCAGTCTATATCACCATCAGGATCCAATTCGTCGGCTGCAGCTCAATAGAACAGGTGACTAGGGTTTGGCGTGTGCCTTTGGAACCACCTAAGCGTGTTAGACTCAATAATGGCGCGGAACCTCGATGGGAATTCGCTGGAGGCATATCACCACCGAGAGACGCCTCTAGATGGCGTCCCAACTAGTTAAGCATTATTAGACTACTTACTATCGATGGAATGGGGACCTTCAGGCTCTGATCCGGCACATTCTCGCACGACATGGGTTTTCTTCTCTTTTCTTCCTGGAGGTTAGAATAACGGAGAGATGTCTACGTTTTCCTAGGCGGTGGTAGAGGGTTGTGCGACTCGTGCTGGTGTGGGAATTATTTCGAGCTGCAGTCACAAAGCTCAAGATGAGAAACGACGAAGAAAAGGTCCCTATCTACAAAAGGCCTGATTCATCCTCTTCACAGTTAGATACCACGAACAGGCCAAGAGAGGATGAAGACGAGGCCACTGCGTCGTGGGCCTCAATGCCAAAGAAATGGCAGTTGGCTATCATAGTGCTCTCCTGGTTTTGGGAGAATGCGGCAATGGGAAGTCGAGGGACCTACATCCTTTTTCAACTCAGGATGTTCAGACTTCCTGATGGTTCTGTGCCCAGTGCAGCAAGCCTGGCATTCCAGGTCTCCCTCCTAAGTGTTGCAATCGCTGTTCCGCAGCTCTTCCTCTCGCCCATCTGGGGGATGCTAGCGGATTCACCCCGGGTCGGCCGCAAGAAGGTTCTGCTAATGAGCCTTTTTATGACTGGTATTTCCTGGCTGGGGCTTGCATTCTGTAATAGTTTACTGGGGGTTGTAGCATGTCATGTTCTGATCGGTCTAGCCAACAACAAGATTGCTGTGATGAGAACTATTGTCAGGGATATCAGCGGAGAGAAGTTTGAGTCACGAGCAATATTGCTGATGCCAACTGCTTTCAATCTTGGATCTACAGTCGGCCCTCTGCTAGGTGGCATACTCAGTGACCCTGTTAGAACATATCCAAACGCATTCGTTCCTGGAAGTTCTCTGACTTGGTTGTTGGAGAGATGGCCATATGCTTTGCCAAACATGGTCAACAGCATAGCCATAATTTTATGTGCGATATTGACGGCCTTTCAGTTTGAAGAAACACACCCAGGCAAAGGGCAGCGGTCCTTGTCTGTCATTCCGGGCTGGGCGAAGAATCTGGGTAGACGGTTGTCCTGGGGAGGATATGAAAAGCTCTCCACCGAAGACCACGAGCGTATCGAGATGACTGGTCTAAGGGAGGATGATTCAACGAAAGCTGGTCTGGCAAGGCCAGCAGCAGTCAGTATTTGGACCCGGCGATTGACCATGACTCTTTTCTCCAATGGGCTCATGATTATGCATGTCGGTATCTTTCCCGCATTACTTGCAATATTCCTCTCTACACCCCGTTATGACCCGGCTGGAGTCTCATCAGCAACGAACACATCCCCAAATGGCACCGATCAGCAGTCCACTGCATCCAACGGTGCCCTGTCTGTACCGCTCAACTACCATCCCCATGCGCCTTTTGTTTTCACTGGAGGACTTTCCTTTGAGCCAAATAACATCGCTTTTGCCCTTGCTATCCGAGGTGTCATCGGATTGTTGCTGCAACTCCTTTTCTTCCCTTACTTGAAGAGAATCTTTGGCCTTTTCCGGCTATATCTGTATTCTCTTCTGGTATTCCCGGTGACATATTTTGCTGTCCCGTTCTGGGCTACTGTCCCATCAACTACATCACCTCCCTTACCAGCGTCAGGGGCACTGCTCTGGATTTTCATCGCCATCACCTTATCCCTTCAGACGACTGCTCGTTCCTTCGTTACGCCTGCCTCACGCATGATTCTCAACGCAGCTAGTCCGGATAAAACCTCCCTTGGCACCGTTAATGGTATCGCCCAGAGTGTTGCAGCTGCTGCCACAATCGTAGGCCCGTTGATTACAGGTTGGACGTATGGAGTGGGACTGAGGCAGGGTATTGTCGGTGTTGCTTGGTGGACTATGTCCGGTTTCGCTATATTGAATGCCGTTGCGGGCGCTGCTCTCATGTATGAAAGCCGACGTGGAGAGAAGCGCAAGTTTCCTATACAGGGTGAACCGTAGCCGTCAGCTCGGCAGCGGATTGGAATGACGACATGGTCGATTATCCATGTATGACTTGATGCTCAAGTATGGAGTACTTGTATAGCACTTGTCGTTCTGCTTGATGGACCGATCTCCAACGGCAAAGCGGTTTCAGGGCCATGTCGTCAGTGGCAGTGGGTTTGTTTTTGATACTTGTGGTATCACAGGTGATGATGTATGGAGACGTTGATGTGTCCTGTTTCATGAAGTCTCAACTGGATAGTTATGAATAGCATGAATATGAACGTTTAAAGGAGCTTCTTTGCAAATAGACTCTCTGCGGGAGGGGGTATCATAACTAGTGCAGTAGAGGATCCTCGTAGTGAATTCGATAGTCTTGTATATCTCTGGCCGTTGAACTGTTGGTCTTCTGGAGTGTAAAGTGGCCATCAGTAGTCGGATTCAGTCTGTTTCATCAGCAATTGAAATCGCCCGTCGTATCCGATACACCCTTGGTCATCCCCATCGTCGATAGCCGAAGGATGGCTCCGTGCCATCAAACGTCAAACATCTCTCACAGCCATCATTCATCCTGCACCTGCCCGTAGTAATGGAAGGGATACGAATAAGATAGGCTGGGATGCGTTATCTGCAGCTGCACAATGATAACAGCTACTTAGTTATCTAACTGATAGTTATTTGTCATCCCGTTTTTGAGGTCTGATAAGAGCGATCAGGAGAGAGAAAAAAAACGGTCCAAAGATATCATTTCCCCAGGTCTATCTAATATCTGCCATCCTAAACACCTTGCAGAACATACGCTGCACGCCCAGAGTCAAGAAGAAAAGCTAATAATGGTACAACGGGAAGACTTCCCCAAATTAAAAGAATTATGGAGATACCGGAGGCCAAGATGGAGGGAGGGAATAGCGATAAGGGTTGCCAGACATGAAAGAGCCGGGCCCATCAGTCCAGCGGTGAGCAGCACCGGTCGAGATCATGGCCATGCTTCATCGGATATGAAGAAGGACAGCACTGCGCCCTAGCGCCAGGGACGCACGGAGGCGGAGATCCTGTTCGGGGGAGAGAGAGCGAGAGAAAAAGGACGAGGGAAAGAAAAAAAAAGCAAAAAGGGGCGAGAAAAATAACGGTTAAAAAAATAAAAAGGAAAAAAACAAGGTGATTAATGTCGGTCCAGGGAAGCCGAACGGGGAGATCGGGATGGAAGGATATGCTTTTTTTTTTCTTCTCTATTTCCAGCCCCCTTGAGCGTTGGATTGCTGGCATGAAACCTGATACACCGAGTTCTGTCACAGGTTGGGCCAGGGTGTAGTATGTACCTTGTCTGCCGCTTGTAAAACGGGTTAGCCGGCTGTTCCAGAATATTCTCATTTTATCGGGATGATTCAATGGTTCATGAAGAGGGAAAACGGTGAGGCTCGAGTCGGTAAGCAGTTGGCATTGAGCAAATGTAGACGCAGGCTATGGATGTTGATGTAGATGTACCGATTCAGAGACATCTACCATAGTGGTAACTAGTTAAGCAGCAGGGCGAATGGTTGAAGGGAAAAGAACAGAGCCTGCGGCCGTCCTCAGGCCTTCTTCGGCGCCCCGGCCTTTGCATCCGGGGTTGTATTCTTTGCATTTGCGCATTCGAGGGCCTGGCGGCACTGCCTCGAGACGTTTGCCTGCGTATATCGCTGTCGAAACATGCCGAAGACAAGATATCCGACTAGACAAGCCCAGGCAAAGCCGATGATGAACATGGCCTGCACGAGTAGATCCATGGCTTCGAACCCGCCGGTTCAGGCGTATGAAAAAGATGTAGCAGCAGAAGCAGTAGTGAGTATGTTGATTTCGGAGTAGACAGTAGGTGCCGGCCTTGGTAAATAGAGTACTCTCTGGCTGCTCCGCTGGTGGTACAGCAACGCAACTCCGGAACTAGGGGATGCCTGGTCTTCGGCCGGATAGCTTCAGGTAAGACTTTTTTTCGCGCGATTGGAACTCTCCCGGCGCAGATGGAAACGACTGTGAGTGGTATATGAAGGAAAAAAAAGAAGAAGAGAGAAGCGAGGGAGCTTGCCAGATGGCCGTTTCCTTTCAGTTGATAGTTGACTGCGTGGAGCCGAAGTACGTGGCTGAGGGTGAAAAGTGATAGCTAGCGGTTGACGAGGCCCTAAGACGATGAACAGCCACTAGACAAGGCAAGTATATGCATAGACGTGTTGTCTGAGGTCGGTTCAAGGTCGTTATTAGTTAGATGGCGATATTGAAGGGAGAGGCGAAGGAAGAAGAGCCGACTCTTGCGATGAATGAATGAAATACGGAGTCTGGCTGGAGCTATTTAAGGGGATGCCAAATTGCCGCGACAGCTCAGGTTGTTATATATATATTTTAATACCTCCCCCTTCACACGGATAAGGGATAACCAGACATCTGGATGGACAAAGGGACCGTTTCTTCCCCTTTCTCCTCGTCTTCTCTCGACCCAATTTTTTTTTTCCCGTACAGGTTTAAGCCAGCCCTGATTGCCGGCCAGACTGGATCCGTGGGCGAGAGAAACGGTAAGGGAAGGGGGTGACAGAGCTAAATTGTGAAATTATTTCATTCCTATCTGGCCCATCAGAAAGCTAGGCTGGGGGAGGATAGTTATGGTGTCATTCTTTTGCTCACCAAGTTCTCATTTCCTCCACAACAGGGGTGTGTGTTTTTTTTTGGTAGAGTTGAGATCCATCTTTTTTACCCCCTGGTCTGACTTGGCGGGTGTTGCTAGCTAGTTTATGCCCCGGCCGACGGGCATGTAACTATACAGAGAGGGAGTACTGCTGAGGCCCGCTGGATGTAGGTAAACCAGCTACGGGTTAGCCATTCGGAGTTGGATGAGCGGGCAGGTCAGTCACTGGCGGTTCTTCATGGTGGATGAATGCAACCCGGAGACCTGTCGACGAGCAAGCAAGGGTTTCGCGTAAATATACCCTGGGATCAGTTCCTGTTCTTGCATGAGAACGGGTGGGTAAAGCACCCTGGCACTGGCAGCACCAGCGGTGATCGGATGGAGTCGCTCTGAGGTAGTTTGAGGAATCGAATGGCTGAGAGACGCCCTTGGGGGGCCACTGACGCTACTAGGCCAGAAGACCTGCTCCTTATATCCTAGCCATGCATAGACGAGTCCGGCTGTAACTAGCCAGGGGCCCTCGTTGGCTAGCTGACTAGTTAATTCCTCAAGGTGCCCTCGTTTTTCAGCCGCTGGGTGCGCACTGCCTGCGTCGTTGATGCGATGTGCCGCAGCCCCTGGGAGGCCACCTTAGTTAACTAACCTAGCGGACTCGCCACGGTTTCAGGTCGCATAAAATATCTTTCAACTGCATGAACTTGCATGTGCGGCGGCTAGCGGTGCCTCTGAACTCTTCGCTCTGCCTCTGTGTCTCCCGGCAGGTTGGACTCGTAACAGCTATCCATCCCGGCGGCAAGGTGTTTCTTTTGATAAACAAACCAACGCCACAGCCGGCCTCGCGCTTCTGATTGGAGTCCTCGTCCTATACTCAATATTAGCCATGCTCATATCCAATGAATACAGGAATGCACTTATAGCATCTGCTCCTACCGTCTTGCCTGGAAAAAAAAAAAAAATCGAAGAGAGGTGCAAGATGAAACTGGTGGAGTGTCCTAGGGGACGAGACCTGCAGGCCAGCGCCTATTTACTTTCTCAATGCCCTCTGCGAAATGTGTCTAAGAGCCATGGACGGCCAGATACCACTCAGATGCTCCGCCCATGGGAATCTATTTTTACCATATCCACCCTTTTCTTCGTGTTTGATATCCTCCTGCTCTTTGCTTGCTCCCGGCTTGCTCATTGGCCGCGCCTCCATCTCGGTCCTCTGGGGGGGGATAAAGGGGGGTGTAGAGCAGCCCTGAGGCCGGCGCGAGATCATACCTCTGCTGTTTCTCATGGCCAGATATCTGTCCCGGTGCTCTGGTTCTTCCTGTTTCGCGGTTAAGATCCTATTCTTGGGGCTGGGAATGCTCCGAGCGCTGCGCCGGGATTTCATACGCTTCTCAATTTTTGGAATTGATAGGATGGCAGCTCTCCTTTCTGCTGGACTCAGGCGCCTGTCCTGGCAGAGGCTGCATCTGGCCTCTGCTTTCCCCTCCGTTCAATTTCTGGGTTATCCTCTTTCGAGCATTCGAAGGAGGCTGTATCTGCCTTTTCTTTCTTAACTCTAATCCTTATAAAGTCGACTGAGTTTGTCCTTGAACTGGGAGTCTTTCAATTCAGATCTCAACCACCACGGCTTTTGATAACTCTGCTACACGCTCTATATACCCAGATACTTGTTTATTGTTTAATTGACTATCCTTCCTTTGGGCTCGGCGTCTGCTCTTTACTATACCAATCCACAAAGCCCAACACTGTCACCATGTTCATTGAACGCCGCCGAAGCACAGGTGATGGCTACCAGAAGAGAGTCCTGTTCAGTCCCAAGGGGTTCACACAGCACCTATGCGAGGACATGGCCGCCCATGGATTCTTTGCAGAAGAGGAGTTGAGTGATATGGACGACGCCGTCAATCTCACAGGCTGTCCCCGGGAATCTGTAAGGGCATCTCAGTCCTCCCGAGTCCGCATCCGCATCTCCGTCAGCCCACAGGGAAAAGGCCATCGTCGGTCTTCCAGCATCCAACGAGACGTTGAATACGATGAACCACGGAACACTACGCTTTCCCTGACCAACAACAGCTCGATTGCTGGCCTCCGCAGGAAACGGTCTCCTTCTCCAACACCTTCAATGACATCAACTTCATCTACCGAGGAGGTCATTCGGCCCTCCAGGAAGAAGACCACTATTATGAAGCCGCTGAATAAGTTCAAGGAGGTCGTTCCGGTTGTGCACATCCCAGAATTCAAAGAGCTACCCGTCAAATCGAGACGCTTCAGAGAAGTGTCCCCCTCTGCCTGCCGCAAGGGTGATCCTGTCGTTATCACTCCAAGAGTCAAGCCGACGGTGCCTAGGAATACGACGCCTGAAGCAACCAAGGGCAACGCTACGTCTTCACCCAAAGATGGGAAGAAGAAGGTCCGTTTCGTCCTGGGAGATGATGACGGGAGACGCGAGAGTCCTCCTGTTCACGGTGTAGCCAAGCGTCTTTCTTGACCTTCGAGTCAAGCAACAAGCAGCTCGACAGTTAATATCACATAAATGGAGCTGTCTTTGAACCGACAATAGATTCATCGAGGCGACTCGGTTTGCAGCATCTAGCTGCTCATGTTCATATTCCTTCCGTTTACCTATTTTTGCATTATTTTCCTACATTTCCCTGCGCTCTTTTCCTGCATCTTTTGACCTAGCTTCCCTTGCATGTTCCGTCTGGTGGTAAGACGGCTTGATACCCTCGTTTGAATACTCTGGCATGGCGGTCGTTTTTGATTGATATTGGTGGTCTTGCATATCGGTTGGTGATTTGCTTCTCTGCGCTTGTACAGCTACTCTCGCTCTAGTTTCCTTATGACTCTCTTTTGTATCTTATGAACTCATGATTTTACGCTCGAATAAAAAGCATTCACTCACTTATTTGCTGTCTGGTCAAATTCGTATCGACGTCATCAATAAAAAATGCCGAAGAAACGAACAAGTAGTTAGTCTCAGCTTACTCAGCAATTTCAGCGACTTCGCCGGCTTCAACGAAGAAGAAGAAAAGAACAGACGTCGAAAAGAGAGAAAAGTGACCAGGCTGGCTTCTTCGTGGCATTGGCAGCTATTAAAGAGACGAGGAGCCCGGCTTGCCAGATGAGAGTGTAGCTACTACACGAGGGCTGCCTGCTGACGGTGTTTGCTGGAACGACCGCATCGCGCATCCATCATGGCTGAGAGCTACAAAGCTAGAAAGGAGGCCTTCGTCTCCAACCTCTCGGGCAGCAGCGTATGGGATATCCACACGGTTTCAGCTGTTGTCCCGGTGAGTATACGCATATTTACGGGTCTCCTCCTCCCATTATACAGTGCTGCTGGCTAACGGTTCTTGGGTAGAGTGCGGTTCTACTCTGGTCCGTCCTTCAATCGCGTCGCTCGCTATTTACTCCCTATGAACTACCGGCCGTGATAGCAGACTTCCTTTTGACCGTTGTCACTGTACTGTTCGCAGTGACAGCGTACTCCTCCTCGCCGATAGTGCTGAATATACTGCTCCTCTCTCCTGCCGCCCTGCTCCTGTTAAGCACCAAGCCCAAAAATGTACGGCAAAAGGCAAAGCCTCCACCAGGGTCTGCAAAGAGCACGACACACCAGGGCCAGGGAAGCTCTGATGCTGCGTTAGACGCCCTCCCACAGCGTCCATTTCTCACCCACTACCGAGCAAGTCTGATGATAAGTACCTGTCTGTCGATCCTGGCTGTTGACTTCACTGTGTTTCCTCGGCGGTTTGCAAAGGTGGAAAACTGGGGGACCTCTCTCATGGACCTGGGAGTGGGCTCGTTCGTCTTCTCGGGGGGCGTCGTTTCAGCGCGTTCGATCCTGGGACATAGTAGTGCCGCCTCCCGGGGCTCGTTCGCAAAGCGCTTACTTGCATCTGCACGCCACTCCATCCCTCTCCTGGTACTGGGCCTGATTCGCCTGTACAGTGTCAAGGGGTTGGACTATGCAGAGCACGTAACAGAATATGGTGTGCACTGGAATTTCTTCTTTACTCTAGGACTCCTCCCGCCCTTTGTGGAGATATTTCATGCCATGACCGCACTGATCCCGTGGTATGAGGCCCTCTCGCTGCTCGTTATCGGAGCGTACCAGGTAGCGCTAGAATCCACGAGCTTGAAGGAGTACATCTTGGTCTCTCCGCGGGGGCCGTCTCTGCTGTCCAAGAACCGAGAGGGAGTGTTTTCCTTCCTTGGGTATCTTGCCATCTTCCTGTCTGGCCGAGCAGCCGGGTTACGGATAATACCTCGCAAACCGCGCAGGACCCTACTCATCCAGCTGGTCTCATGGTCAGCAGTGTGGGCGACCTTATTCATTCTCAACTCCTCCTACTTCTTCGGCTACGGCGCGGGAATCCCGGTCTCCCGTCGACTGGCTAATATGCCCTATGTCTTCTGGGTTAATGCATTCAACATGACCCATATGCTGCTCTACTGCCTCATAGAGACCGTCGTCTTCCCATCAGTGGAGAAGGCGTCGAATAAGAAAGAAGAGGCGGAACAAAGCGACTTTGCAACTAGCAGGGTCATGCGGTCATTCAACAAGAACGGCCTGGCCATCTTCCTCATCGCCAACTTGCTTACAGGGGCTGTCAACCTGGGCATGAACACGCTCGACACCCGAAAGGAACTGGCCATGGCGGTTTTGATGCTATATTCGGTCATCCTGACTGCCATCGCATTGGCGCTTGATTTCTGGAATGTAAAACTCAGGCTATAAATAAAATAGACACGGAATAAATACATAATAATTGGACAGCAGCTTTTGAAACGTCAACGCCTTTTCTTTTTCCTTCACATGCGTCTTTTGGCGCTTGTCAAATGTTTTCTTTTTCTTTAGTTACTTTGTTACCTTTGAGCTGTCGGAGTCAACAAAGCTCAGGGATGGCTTTTTTTGGCCGAGGTTGGTTTGCACTGGTTGATAGCTCGGCTGCTTTCGCCGCTAAAGTTAACTGCCTAACCTCCTTTCAAACTGAGGGTATAGTGACATCGAGACATAACCAACAACAACGACGACGACGACGACATCGACATCGATCAACTTGCAAAAACCTGCTCTGTCGGCTTCTGTCCTGCATTGAAAAACCGACGCCCAGGAATTAATTGGCTGAACATGGCTGCCAATAAGAATCCGTACCGGACATTCCCCACGCCCGTTGAAGGCCCGAAAGTACCATACAAGGCTGCGCAAGAATCGAACCCCATCTTACGTGGCCGCGTGCTGGAAATAGCTGCTACTCTGTCAGTCCATCCCCATGTCTGCTATGGCCGTCGGTTTTATGTCCTTGCATGGGCTGCGTTTGCCGGTAACTAGCTGGTTAGAAGCTAACACGGTTTAATATCTACAGAGTCCAATCTTCGAGTTTTATCCAGTCCATTCTCTGGCGCAATGCAGGCTTCTCTACCATCCGTGACATCCAAGACCTAACGGCATACGAGCCAAAATTCGACCCTACTGTCCTCCCCCCGCTGACCCAGCAATCTGGCACTGAGACACCGGAGCTACCGGCCCCTACCAGACGACGCCAGGATGGCAAGGGCGACTACTATACGTCTGCTGATTACCGTGAGCTTTACAAGGCCGGCAAGCTGACTCCTACTGCTGTTGTGGAGGCGTTGCTGCCTGTGATCCGACGTGATACTTCTCCTCCTGGCGAGTTTTCGGCCGGTTTCTCCCAGTCAAAGATTGATCTCGTTCGTGCCGCCGCAGAGGCTTCCACACAAAGATGGGCTAATGGCACGCCATTGGGACCAATGGATGGAATACCCGTTGCTATCAAGGATGAAGTGGACATTGATGGATATGATAAGTACCTGTCGAGCAAGGTCGACTTCACAGCTAATCCTAGCTTCACTTCCTGGTGTGTGAAAAAATGGGAGGAAGCCGGCGCCATAGTAATTGGAAAAACCGTTATGCATGAAATTGGGCTTGGTACGTCTATCATATTGATCCAAAAATGGCGTCTGTTCTTGTGGTTTACTTGAATTGACACTTTTCTAGACACTACAAACAATAATCCCGTTGTTGGAACCCCGAAAAACCCCCATAACCCAGGATACTACACTGGAGGCTCCTCAGGAGGCTCTGGGTATGCAGTTGGCGCTGGTGTTGTTCCTCTTGCCCTCGGAGCTGATGGTGGTGGCTCTATCCGCATTCCCTCCAACTACTGTGGCATCTATGGGCTCAAGACAACTCATGGCCGGGTTTCAGCTGCTCCAACGCGTAGACTGGCGACAACTGTAGGAGTCTTTGGCCCAATGGCATCCAATATCGATGACCTGGCTATGGGCTACCGTATCATGAGCGCACCTGACCCGAGCAACCCTGTGTCGGCGGCATTCCCTGACCCCTTACTGAGTATTCCACCTTCGTCTTCCTCTAGGGGCAAGGTTATCGGTGTATACAAGGATTGGGTTGAGCGGTCTGACCCAGATGTCCTAGCTATGTTTAATAAGGCTATTGACTACTACCGTGACGAACAAGGTTACCAAATCGTCGACATCACCATTCCATACATCCCCGAAGGTGGAAAATGCCATGCCCTATCAATTCTAAATGAGATATCCAGCGGCCTTACCAAAGAACAAATATCCCAACTATCTGCTCCTACAAGGATCATCGTCTCCGTGGGCGGAACCCAAGGTCTTGCACAGGACTATTTTGCCAGCCAGAGGATGCGCCATCTCCTCATGAACCACCTTTCTTTCCTCTTCCAAAAATACCCCGGCATCATCATAGCAACTCCCACAACACCCACAGCCGGCTCCAAGATTTCTGGGGGCGAGGCTGATCTTACCAATGGAATCAGTGATTCCAATGCAACCCTGCGATCCATGGAATATGTATACCTCGCCAACTTCACCGGGTGTCCTGCTATTTCATGCCCAATGGGCTATGACGATGAGCCTTCCGTTCCTGTTGGGCTGATGGGTATGGGAGAATGGGGCAGCGAGGAGGCCTTGATGGAATGGGCTCGTGACGGCGAGGGAATGCTAGGTGATAAGGGTTTGAGAGCGCCTAATAAGGAGAAGGGCGGGAAGTGGGTTGATGCTATCAATCTGGCACTTAACCCAAGCACTGAATGAACCAACGGACTGTTTGCAATTGTCTGATATTGCCTGACACCATACTTTCTCCAGGCTTCCGAGTTATTTCACTTACGCCTCTTTTATATTTAGCAGGGCCTGGTGTTGTTGTTGCCTCTTTCTTCGATTAATTCTGGTAATTGTGTATTCCTAATGACTGCCTACCAATAATATGGAACTACTGAAATGGTCGCGCTTCAGTGTAAAGAACTGGATCATGAGCATCCAATAAACATAGCCAAGGTCCAAACACCATTCTTTTCATTCAAGTTGATGAAACTCCATTTTCGTGCCCGAGTCAAACAGGTGGTAGTTATTGGTAACAGGATAGTACATACCGGTCAAACAGCTGCTAGATAGCAAGATAAATGGATACAAGCTGCACCCTCGTCCTGCGACTTCTAATAGTCCTATGTCAAAAAGAAGAGGGTATTAAAAAGGACAACAAAGAATAGCAGATAAAAGGATAAATAAATGAGAACCATATCAATTGGCTAACGTGAATAAACCATGAGTGAGCTTTGATCGTCTTGAAACTGAATTTTAAAAATGATAGAAAAAAAGGTAAAGATATCAACTTTAGAATAAAACATGACCTTAGAAAAAGGTAAAAGGGAACATGATGGCATTGTAAATTCTCGGCTAAAGGGTCGGGTGTATGTGGATTTATTCTCCGTCAGTGTCTGTTTCGGTGTCTGTTTCGCTTGTGTCATCGGCAGCGTCGCCGTCGGTGTCACTCTCGTCGTCTTCGCTGGATTCAGCGATATGCTTCTTCTTGGGAGGTGCTTGACCGGTTTTTAAGGCCTGCATCTGTCCGGCAATGGAATCTGGAAGGTTGTTAGAATATATATGCATTATAAAGTGTGCCTACGGTATTAGTAGTAAGTTCAATGCATACCTTCGTCTGGTTCACTGATGTCATCTTCCTGAGCTACAGCAGCGGCCTTCTCTAAATCCTCAACTTCAAGAGTAATTTCTTGCTCCTGGTCAAATCCGATGTAGCTGTCGCAAACGATGTTAAGGACGAATGGGAAACTCCCGACCTGTGGAGGAGCCTGGAACTGCATCTTCATCGTCTGTACGTTGAAAGTTGGTTTGCCCTCATCGTCAAATATGGGCTTGTCAAATTTGGTGAATGTGAAAGGAGGAACGGCCATACGGTCCTGCTTAACATCCGCGAGGAATATGTGCCATCTTGGGGAGTGGTCTCGGGCGAAGTAAGGGGCATGGGCAAGAGGAGGCTGAATTTCAGGCTCATCTTCCTTTTCACTCTGGGTCTTCTTCTCTTTCTCCTTAGGGTCAACGGTAGCATTTCCTGTCTGGGCGTCTGCTATGGCGTCTTCGTCGATATCTTCAATTACGAGGTCCGACTCCTTGACCGGTGGAACGTATTCGCAGCCAGGTGGGACAAAGCGGGCTTTAACAACAAGTTGTACCAAGCTGCTAGGAGTTATGACTTTTTCGCTTTGCACTCTGAGAACAGCCTTGCACAGCTCCAAGGCGGGTATTCTCCTTGCTACCGATACTGCGGTTTGATACTGCGAGTCTGTCAAAAGTCCACTACCGATAGTCATGCTTCGTCGCTTGACTTCTGGCAATTTCATGAACTGCTGAATGGTCATGTGGGTTTTAGAATGTTCGCCTTCCACGGATCGGACAACGTTAGGGGTAAAGTAGGGAAGCTGAAGAAGCGGAGAGGAGTTCGGTGCAATAGCTTGAATGAGGTTTTGGGATGTATAGAGTGATGTCATGATAGGTTGCAGGTTGCCGAAAGCCAGGGCAATTGTGGTGAATGCATTGTTGAGGGTAACGGCAGGGGGTGCGACTTGGAACTTTTCTAGGAAGGTTTATCGGATTAGCTATGTCAGGCGGCCTCCTTTGGAGAAACATTAACATAAACCTACCGTTGTTAAGGGTATTGTCTTCGAGGTCCACCCTTCCAAGATAAGCCCATAACAGCGCAAGTGCCTTTCTCCTCCTCTCATCATCCAATTTGCTTAGAGCGAGTTTATCCTTGGGTGACATATCCACCGACTCAAGGATTTTCTTCTCAATCTTAGCTAGCCCTGAATGCGCATGATCCCCATCGAGGAGTTCTGTATACTCATCTCCTACGCTCATGGTGCCAATCATATCCCCGCCAGTCAGGCCCGGTTTGTACTCTCGGAACAGGTTCCCTGCGCTGGCCACAAGAACGTTGTCCTTGGTATAGCGCTGGTTACCGTACCACCACCTTCCAACGGTATACGGAAGGAGAACACCAAAGAGGATTCCATACAGCAAAAGGACAAACTTTCCATTTCCTTCCGTGACGATAAATTTGGGCAGGGCGATACCAATGCTGAAGCTCTGTTTTCCGTCAGGGTGGCCGAATTGGATGTAGTTGTTTCTGATTTCTTCGTCTGTGAGTGTCTTGTATGCCTTTGTAAGTTCGACGAAACGTTCGTTGAGCATCTCAACGGTTTCATTTTTTGCAGGGTCGGGCTTGATCTTGTCTGGGTGGAATTTGACGGAAAGGCGTTTATAGTGTTTGCTGATAGCTCTCTCATCCGCGCTCTAAACCAATAGCCAGCCATGGTTAGACAGTAAAAAAATTGTTATTTAAAAAGTAAAGGTAATCTCACTCTTGAAATTCCGAGAATTTCATAGGGATCCCAGATCTTGGGGGCAGATCTTGCAGTCACGGTGATCAGGTAAACCATCCAGGCCATAACTGCATAGCCAACTATCACCGTAACGATCCTCTTGATACGGCGCTCCTTTCGCAGAAGCTTCTGCTTCTGACTCTGTATGATATTGTCATGTTGTGGCTTGAAATCAGACTTGATTCGAGGGGCAGAATTTTCGAGTCCTACACGCGGGGGAAGGCAATATCAGCAAAGCTGCAAGGCACACGACATACAACGGCCTCGAGACGAAGGCTGACAAACCTTTGACAGGCCTTAGAAGGGTATATGTGAGAGGGAGGGTAACGAGGCCGGTCAGGGTGAGGATGAAGAAAGGGAAGAATTGGCCCTAGACAAAGCAAGCGGACGGGTCAGTCACGAACATTACAAGATATACACGTTGCATTGGACAATACCAACCTGCTCGTCGTAGTTATAGTCAGTCGACATGGCTGCGGATGCTCCAGCTCTCTAATAAGGGTCGAATGTATGTCTCCGGGTGAGCACAAGGGCTCATAGGGTGTGGTCCTCCCTTATATCTCGCTCCTCCGGCGGTTCTCACAAGCGAACACAGCTTTGAAAGAGATCGTAATGAAACTAGCACCTCAGTCTCGCGGGCCCCTATATCCTCGACATGGAAATATCGCAATATCTGGCTGGCGGCAACCTATCGACCCGTTGCTCTCTTTGTCGTCTTCTTCGGCTTGATCTTTGCGATCTCGATGTCACATCCGTGGCCTCTTTTGATAGATCGCCTGATCGGGACTAGCGCCATGGTCTAAACGTGGATTTAAGCTAATGAACTAGGCCTAATAGGGAAAGGCGCAAAGAATTATCTAACCATGTTAGGATAGTTTTCCCGGGGTCGGCACGGATGAGTAAGCGTCCAAAACGTACCTATGGATGGATTGCCCTATGTGTATACGGAGTGGCGTGCACACAAATGGATGACGGCATAGCCAAAGGTTAAAGCTTTCTGATATAAAAGCATCACTTAAGGACATCAAACCGCTATTTGGCTATCAAAGAACTTATCCTTTCCCTGGACACCGTAAAATACGCAAAGGTTTACTTTATTATAACGATATCACCTTGATAAGGGATGGTAATAGTGAACTTCTACTATTACCTCTCTCTGGTGGTCTGAAGCTCCACGAGGATTCTACTTGCTAAAATTTCCTAATAAGGAAACATATATACCATTTTCTTTGTCTACTACCAGATTCAATCTATTTGTTAGCGTCTTATGTTATTTGTCCTGTCCTGCAGCTGTCCTGCTATCTTGTGTTCTTGCCCCGCTCTTTATTTGACAAGCTAAAACTTCCATATTCCACAAACATAAAAGGCAGCTTGTTCCCCTCCACCTGTCTCCCAAACATTGAGATCAAACATATTTCCCTCTTTACCAGCTTCAAATCATAAGCCCTCCTGGATTCTGATTCTTGTGTTGAAATTCTTCGTTTCTTGAACTACATTTCATACAGCAATGCGTCCATTCCTTCGCCAGTCCATGCTTCACGCGCGTCGCCCACATTGTAAGTTAAATTTACAGTTTTTCATAAGGAGTGCAAATATTTATACCCTCCGGAATACCTCATGGACAAGCCGTGACCGGGCTCCAGCCGAACGGCCACAGGGTCCCCGGTTTCATACCCCCTATACGACACAAAGCCCAGAAATCTCTCTAGACGATGATTTCATCAGCCCAGAGCAAAGGGAACAAATATTCAATGGAGTGTTCCCTGCTGACTTTTCGGGCGAAGTGATATCCTTGAAAACAACAAGACAAGAATTTCACCACATAGCAAAGGCATTTAGAGACTCAACAGACAAGTACGCTTGCCTCTACCCACTATAATTACATTGCATGCTTACGCTGTCACTGGGGAAATAGGAAAAGCCAAAATGCAACTGTGCAATTTAATGAGAGTTTTCACAGTACCACCATTAGGCACAAACAAGTCTCTGTGCATGAATGTTTAGTCAATTCCGTTTCTCGTCAACTTCAGAATCTCATAAATCTGCATGAGATTTCATTTTACTGTGATTCAACGATATCTGAGGGAATCCCCGACCCAGACATTCAGATGGTCATAGACACAAAATCCGGCATGGAGTCCGTTCTTGCTGTTGAAGTTGGCTTCTCGCAGACCAGTGCCGACCTGGAGAAAAGAGTCAGATGCCTTATTGAAAAGACTACAGTCAAGGTCGCTATGCTTTTTGATCTCAAGGAGACTCCTAATTATAAAAACCCCCTCCGAACGGAAGAAAATAAAAAAAAATATCACGCTGAGAGAATGGCCCAATCGGAAAATCCTACTGCATTAATTCGGCAGTACTGCGAAGGAAGGGCTCCCTATAGCCCCGTGCTCTTATACGGCGCTCGATGGACGGGTGAGCTTACTGCCGCTATGCAGGTATTTGTTAAGAGCACCTCTACAGGAGAGCCCATCCCGCGGACACCAAGAATTGTAAGTTCATTTATTTCCCCCTTACATAGCTTAACAAATGCTAATGTCTACGCTTTAAGACCTTCTTCGGGCCCCCAAAGTCTCCGAAATTGAATGAGAGGCAATTGGAGACACCTATCTACAACGCCTACCCTTGTTTGAATGTAAAGTTGTCAGACTGTGTACAGTCGGAAGATGAGGCTTACAATAAGGAGTTGGTACTGGACTGGGACGAAATAAGACACCAACTGGAGAGAGCTAGGCGCCGTCTTGCTGCCGAAAGGCACGCAGCGGCTGCCCTTAAGTTATCTGCTGGTGGAAACCTATGATGACTTAGGTAGTTTTGGAGAATGGCGAAACAGTTAGGCTGGCGATAGGAGAGAACAGGAAATAGAGCAGACTCCGGGAACGCAACTAAACAGCAAGGCTCATCAGAGGGACTGATAACGTGCTGCATTTTTTTTTTTCATCTTGTATTTTCAGCTGGCTTAACTGCTCGTTAATGTCCTAATAAAAGAAACATCTCAACCAACACTTCTTACTCTACTTACTCTATTCTGTCCTCTGTGGCTTTAGTACATATCTAACATTATAGTAGCACGCTGGTAGCGTACACACATATATTCAGGGTCTCGTTAAAGGTTAAACATATTCCATCTACATCCTGAGTCCTTCGTCTTCCCCCTTTGCTTACATTGTTAGGATGAGTCATCCTCTGTGTTAGTAGAACTCGCCTGGTCCATGTTCCCTTTGGGAACATGGGGCAGGAAGGCCTTTTTTGTCCCATGGTCCTGTGGTCCATGTTCCAACAATTATTAACTTAAGCCTTAGTTAGCCAACTAGATTTGAGTTAGGGTTGGCTAGTTAGTTAGCAGACTAGGCTTAGTCGGGGCTAGTGAAGTCTTAAGCTAGTGAGTGACTAGCTTAGTTCAACGTCCCCCACTCCATCCACACCACGACCAGCAAAGGATACATGTCAAGATGGCGTCCTACTCGGTCACCGTCTCGGTTGCGGGAACCAGCATAAACAAGTATCCTGGTAAGTAACAGATTATATGAGTTGGTTAACTAGCTGGGTCAGCTGGATTCGACCTAGCTATGGCTGACTCGTATGATCCAGGGAAACAGCATGCCCGCAGAGTAGCCGCCTACCTGCCGAAGCAGCAGGGCCTCATTTATCTACCGGGCCAGCAGACGGTGTTGTCTGAAGACTCAGACCAGGCCAGGCCGTTTAAACAGCGCCGCTATTTCTTTTATGTGACCGGCGTCGTGGAGCCGGATTGTCATGTTACATATGACATCGCGGAGGATAAGCTGACGCTATACGTGCCGGACTTTGACTTCAAGCGGACTATCTGGACAGGTCCCACGCTGGGAAAAGATGAGGCTAGCCAGAGGTGTGTATTTAATGCGCTTCTTGGACTCCTAACGGAGATATTGACCTGAATGCAGGTATGATGTTGACCGAGTGGAATACTTCTCCGCGTTGGAAGGCGATGTTCTGCGTTGGTCCCAAGCGAACCCATCGCTACCCATATATATACTACACCCAGACCAGCGGCCGGTAACTCCGCTGACGGTGGCGTATCTCTATGAGTCAAAGTCACTGAAGCACGCGATGGATGCGTGCCGGGTGATCAAGGACGAGCATGAAATCCAATTGATCCAGCGAGCGAACCGCGTCTCTGGGGCAGCTCATCGGAGCATTCTAGCTAATCTGCACCATTTCAAGAACGAGGCGCAGATAGCCGGTCTCTTCATTGATGTCTGTCTGTCCCTGCGCTCGAAAGGGACGGCATACCAGACAATAGCAGGCTCGGGATCTAATGGTGCAACGCTGCATTACACCCGCAACAATGAACCGCTGGCTGGCCGACAGATGGTTGTACTTGATGCCGGTGCTGAATGGAGTTGCTATGCAAGCGACGTGACACGATCGTTTCCTATCCCTTCAAGCGTAAGCGGGGGAAGAGACTGGCCAAGTCGTGAGGCTGAACAAATCTACGCCATTGTTCAGCGCATGCAAGAAGAATGCATCAGTAGAGTAAAAGAGGGGACTTTGTTCTTCTCAATCCATCAGCACGCTCACGCCATCGCACTGGAGGAATTACTCAAGCTAGGAATACTGCGTATCCCCCAGGGTTCGACCAAGGCCGACCTGATCAAGGCAGAAGTGACAGCTCTCTTCTTTCCGCATGGTCTAGGTCACCATCTTGGCCTGGAAGTGCATGACGTCTCACCCGATAGCGGCACCATACCTGTCGAGCTTGCTATAGAACGGGAGAAAGGACTAATGAGTGTCACGGAACATCGACCGCCGTGCACGCTCTCTGCACCACCATTGGCGTCTGGAATGGTCATCACCGTGGAGCCAGGGCTGTACTTTAACCGGCTGGCCATCGACCAGGCACGAGCTGAGCGAGACGAGCCCAACTCGAAAGGCAGGTTTGTCAATTTCGATGTAGTGGAACGGTATGTGGATGTTGGAGGCGTGCGTATCGAGGATGATGTACTTGTTACCAAGGATGGTAACAAAAACCTCACCGATGCACCTAAGGGGAAGGAGATGCTTGATTTGATTTATGGCAGGTAAGCGAGCTTGTTATAATCCGTGTAGACGTTTTAAGTGTCGGCTAGAGGCTTCAACAGCTTAAACATGCATATACCTACCTACATAGACTAGTTTCCTCCATATCAGAATGATACTATGACTACACACAGGCACGATCTTACATCACTTTTTTACCCCCTAACTAGTTATCAAAGTCATGTTCTTGTTCCACAAATTTTAAAATTACTCGCACACCCTTTAGATCTGTTGGAGTCACTGCGATCAGTGCAAGGCAACCCCATTAATTGCTCCTCTAAATCTGATACCCCCTTCCCGCCCACTTTGTACTCACAAGCTCGTAAAGCCCAGGTATATGTGCAGATTATAACACTGTTCGAATAATAAATAGGTTAAAATAGCAGTCTTTCTTGTGTTATTATTATTATTATTATGCTTCATATACTCCTATGCAGTCATAGACTATGAGGAGTCCTATATCTAAATACAGGAAGAAAAGGAAATCAAAACTTTAACCTCCTAAGGCTCTAAGGTTTGGGGAAGGAGCAATTTGGTAGTAGCCTAACATAGGCAAGTTCCTGGTCTAATTAGGTGTCTTTCTTGTATTTCCTTCACGGATATATATGGCCTGTACCATTTAGAATCAGCAACTTTCCTTCTATTGTCGTTGAAATCCAAAACCTAAACTTTGAATAGGAATATCCCGGCGCTGCTGATCACGGTGGCATCCCGAGCGACGGAAAGAATTTTGTGAAACTCCTTAAAGAGCTAAAACAACCATTTCTTGTACTTCCTTCCCCGATATATATGGCCTGCACCATTTAGAATCACTGCGACCAGCACAGGACTGTCCCATCAGCGTCTCGAACTCAGCACCTAAACTCGTTACTCCCATTCCCGCCCATTCTATGCTCACAAGGTCGTAGAGACCAGGTATGTGTAGGGCACATACTATGGTTCGAATGACGAGTAAATCAAACACGCAAGGGCCCCCCAGCTTATATCTCCTACCCGGATACAGGTCGCTGTGAACAAAACACCTATAATCGATAAGTTTACCCGCTAGCAGATTTCTGTGTGCTGATCGAACACCTGACACTAGAGTTTTAATCCCCTGTTCACTAATGTCAGGCATTCCCTCGTCCTTATAGTCTTCTAGCCGATACCTCCTCTCCGCCGAGTAGCCAGAGTGCAGCGCAGTTATGCAGAAGGACGAAACGATTTTATTGCTAATCTTCGGAGCATTTAATATCTCTGCTGCATTAGGTGGGTAAGACAACCTAGATAGTGTAGCCGGGCTAGTGGAATCCCGGAAGCTCGTAAATCAATAGCTGAATTCCAATTAACTATCGGGGTGTAGCTCGGTGAGGCCAACCGCAACCTAGATTACGGCTCCAATAGTTGAGGTAATGTAGGGTTGCCTAAGGAAGGAGACCTAGTTGGGGGTATACGGTCACGAGTATAGCCCTAATAAGCTACTCTCAATCTAGCCTGTGGGGTGGGAGTAGTCGTCGATAGAGGTATTAAATACCTAGTTATGGAGTTACCGGAGGGTGTCGACTTCGGCGTAGAATCAGGCTTTCCAGAGCGAGATTGAGAGGGCGTTACTAGACCCCTTCGTGGCGTAAGGTGCAATATTGGCTTGGCCGAGCTAGGACCCTCGGATAAATCGTCTGATATTGTCGAGCTGAACGGGGAAATTGGAGGCGGAGGTGACTGAGAGGGTGCCAGAGGTACGCTCTGATAGTCAAGGCTACGCGGGGTGGTATATGTGCTGGTCGCTGGCGAGATAAGGAAACTCTGACTAGGAGCGGGAGCTGTTATGTTAGATAGCTGGGGCCGCTTTGTCCTTATAATCCTTTGTTCTTGCCGTGGTACCGCAGTAATACCCGTAGTTTGACTAGTGGGCGGAATGGTTGCAATCAATGATGGACTATGCTGGCTTACCAACATCCATCCAGACCAGGGGGCTATGGAATGGTCTCCCCATTGTTCCGGCATTAAACCGTTATAAAGCGAGTTGGTGATAATAGAGATCATATATGTAGTGGTTGAAATAGGCTCGAGCCTAGCTATGTCGAAATATATGTAGTGGTTATTCGCTGCTGCCTTGGTTTTTATACCAGGCTGTATCTGGGTCAAAATATTTTTCCGAAGTAGAATGCATATCAAGCCAACCCTGTGATAAAGGCCCCAGAGTATGCTGGATATTGTGGTATGTATGCTAATAACTAGTATAAATTAGCAAGTGGAAACATAATAAGGGTAACTGTATGCATACCTTTTATTATGTTTTGGAGAAGACGTTGAATTCCCAAAGTCTTATCCTTGGCCTTGTTGAAGCTGTGCCCAAGTAGGTCCCGAGCCTCACGGTGTGCTCAACCTCCAGGCTGTAACGCAATATGGTGGCAGGCCTGCACCAACAGGGATGGGCATCGGGTGGTGGTCGATGGCGGGACGGTAGAACTCAAGCTCCCCGCCAGTATCTGAAGACAATGCATCACAGCTAAGGGAATATCAAGGAGTTGACGACATCGTGCTCCAGGGTATACTCTAGTTCGAGACAGGTAGGGGGTCCGTCCTGTGTCCCATGGATGCCTAGTATGTAGGCCCATGAACGCCAAGATATATCACGTGAAGACTTAAACTTTCGGGTGTCGGTTGCTTTTTCCGGCTGCCAAGAAGTGAAGCCTTGGCAGCCTTCGAGCGCGCGCTCGAAAAGGGTCCCCTTCGCCCACGTAGCTGATGCGGAGGCCAAGTCGGCCGGTGGTCAGCCGGTGGTCAGCCCGGGGTAACGTATGGCCGAATGCCAGCCGCTATCAAGCCTCATATCACGTGAACATCAGACTCGAAGTATAGAAGCACTCGCCTGGAGGTAGCTGGCGATGCCTGGCAGCGAAGGGATGCCACACAATTAGGGCTAGCTGAAATCACGTGGCCCGTGGTGTCAGCCTACCCTTCACCCCCTCCCCTGAGTCGGTTCCAAGTCGTACCTTCCACCAAGTCTGTCACCAAACGTCCATGGTGGTACGGAGGGTACCTGGCGGGAAATCGGAGGGAGGAGTGAACTCGAGCAGGTCATGCAGTGCAAGTATCGAGCAAAATGTAACTGGGAGTGTCATCAGCTCGGGATAAGGTAGGTTCACCGGATAAAAGGGCGTTAGGCAGCAGAAAACTTATGGAGAGAGAAAAGGGAGACGAAAAGCGGATGGACAAGCTGTTATAAAGCTCTCCATTTTAAGCTTTTGATCACGTGAAAACAACTTTAGGGGTCGGATGTCAACCTTAACCTAAAAATAAGGCTTCGGGTCAACAAGTTACCAAAAGCGTTTACTACTAAGGGGGTGGGGAAGAGTGGTCTAATTGAAGATGGATTTGTGAGCCTGACGGTATAAGTTAGGTATGTATTCAAGATCAGACTGGCTTACATTAAGCAAGATGAGTCCTCTTTTCGCAATGATGACATGAATCGTTGGGCTAAGGTCTATTTAAGGAGTAACTTGTAGTGACATTCCTACAGCCCAACCTGGTCCAGCAAACAATCCCGGGCTGCAAGTTGTTAGTCTGAGAAGACATATGTGTATCTTCTTTACTTATAATTGAGTGAGATCGTATGACTACTGAAGAATGGCTCCCACGTACTATGCATGGAAAGGTCAATAATGCAGAAGTATGTAGGTAGGTGCTTTAATTACAGAAGTCTATCAATACTACTATCATCATCGGCAGTAACCATGATAAGCCTATAATTCGTCCCCCGTAACCTGTATAGGTGTTTTACTCCTTGCGCTTCTTCTATCATTAGCCCAAACTTAAGAAACCGCCTGTCATTCTTTTCACATCATCTTGGATAACGTCAATAGGGGTGACGAATGTAACGTTGAATTGTCCTGCTCGGTGATCAATCGCAGACACCATTCCAACAAGTTCACCACGCACATTGGTTACAAACGAACCAGAGTCTCCAGGGGCGGCGAAATTCGCTGTATAAGACAAGATTTCAATCTCAAATGTGGTTTCGCCTGATGGCCACTGCACTTCTCTATGCATATGGTTGACCTCCCCGGTAGTATACCCAGTAGAACGACCGCGTTTTGTTACCCAACCCCCCAAACGAAGCTGGGCTAACTGCTTTACTTTAGAGTCGGCATTTTGAGTGTAGGCCTCATTGTAGGGAAGTTCGAAAGGAGGTTGGATAGCGTCGCCTGGGGTTGGCTTATTTGCGGTAAAAGTCTTCGGGCTTGAAACCAGCGCCCAATCTAGCCTGGTATCCTTAGCTGTTCGCCTGTGACCTGAAGCGAATATGACATTCCCAATGCTGGGACTTTGAAGTCGAGATAAGAGCGCCTGGTAAGTCTGATCGTTGCTAATATCTCCTGGAGAATCTTTATATATCCGTTCAAGTCGCCGCATAGTATGATGAGAGTCATAAGCTGCCGGATATTCGACTTCAACCTGCCCGCGCGGATCACCACGAACAACACCGTTCATATCTGTATATATGGAGGTTGCATTGTCTGTAGACCTTACATCATGATAACAAGTCAGGACACAAGGGATCGCCTGCTTCTCCTGAGGCATATTTAATAGGAGCCATCCACCAAGAGAGCCAGCTTCCTTACTATTCCCTTTAACTCCAATGGATGAGCCATTCTGGGGATTTTCAGACAACCCGCTTAGGTATATGGGCAATTCATTGGGCTGAGAGAGATGAACTTGTCCCGGAAGAAATTCGACGTAAATGCGAGAGGTTACTTTCTCTAAGACTTGGAGAATCTCCGCCTCCGCCGTTTTAAAATCGCAGGACGTTCCAGGGTAGCAGAACACCACAATGGTAGGTTTCCAAAGGGTCTCATCCAAGGTCGATCCTAGAGGGGCGCGCAAATGGTATGCAATGGATGACATACCCACCATCCGAGTATGGACAATCTTTGAAACATCTGGCCTGATAGACCTCATATCGTGGAGTAGAAGCGGATCATTGGGTAGAACACGAGAAACATCGGAGTACATGCGGTGTTTGTTTTGTATTTCCACCTGCGTCTGGCCAGCAAACTGAGGAGGGAGTGCCTGGTTGAAAATTGAGAGTACGTATCTTGACGCCGCTTGCCAGTTGACGGTATTTTCATCATTCGTTTCGATCAAAATAGTATGTCTTGGGCTATCACGGCTATTTTCGCGCCAATCATCGAGGCGTGACAGAGAGAAGGGCACATTATACTCCGCCAATATTCGAGCTATCTCTGGTTTCACTTTGGTATCGAAGATATGCTGCAACTCTGGAGGGCTATTGCGGATGATAACAGGATATATCATCGGGGTGCCAAAGGCAACAACCCGAAATCTATCTTTCTGCGCTACCCATTCTTCTATAGTAGCTATTATTCAGAAGTATTATATATTAGCCACTTCTAGATTAAGAACGGACGCGAACCTACAGCTAATATAGCCGGGACCTTCAGACAAGTTAGCTCTCCTGACTCCGACCATATCTTATTGATAACTACGCGAGCTGTAGAGGCTACAAGTAGGTCGGGTATATCTGATGTATGTGGAATGGTTGAGTGATGCTCCTATGTGTCAGTTAGAAGGCAGCGTTGTTGCTCATAACTTTTCTTATAAAAGAAATCTTTGATAGTCGATGCAGGAGGATCTGCTGGTTTTATGTTGTTGTGTTGGTGTGTTCCAAAGAGAGCAGACCAGTTTGACATCATTAGTTACTTTGCAAGGACCACGAGACCAAGGAGCAGGGACTGTAGTTCTTCGTATGGTACGATTTGAGGGCGTTCCGAGCAAGGAAATCAATCAGAAGCCTGTCCTCGAGTATCTAAGGACTAGGAAGGAATAGAAAATGTTCTTAGTAGTATGAAGAGTTCTTAAACGTGTTGCACGTACTTTTGAAGTTGATGGTGATGGTGATGATGATGTTCTTCTTTAGGTTAGTTAAAGACTAAATAGAAGAAGCAGCCACGTGATGATCACCTGACCTGGTAGCTTAGGTAAGTTAAAGTGACTAAGCATTCGATGACTAAAATCAAAATTTCAACTCTGTTACTCCGGAGTTAGTCATAATATAGAGATATAGAGATGTTGTAGTTAAACGACATCAAGACGACATCAAGACATCAAGACGACGGGCATCGAGAGGACTGCGCCATCTAGCGTGAGCATGACGTCTGGGATACGCAAGTCAACACGCAGCTTGCAACTTGCGAGATGAGGGATTGTCCCGTCAGGCCACGAGATAGCGTGATCCACGAGTGACTGATCGCAGGCTGCTGCAATCATCCGCCAACATCACACCACCCACGGCCAAGCTGCAGCTTTTCCTTGACTCACGCCGCACCATCCGTCTCATAGCCTAGCCGCCCACTTTTTCACCTGGCCAACTCGCCGGCCGCTCCACCAGCAGGCAGCTTTGGCAGCGTCTGACTGGCCAGCGCCAGCTTAGTGAGCTTAGCTTCCGCCCGAGCAGCAAGTCAGGCAGCTCCACGCCCGTCTGAGTCACGGCTGATAGGCTCCCGACTGCGGCAAAAGTTAGCACCGTAGGGCTGCCTTATTTATATGACTCCTTCCACCCTCCCTCGAGGAGTTCGTCTCTTCCCCCCTTACGACTGGACTCCGACTCTGCCGACGAGGCAAAACTGAGTCGTAAGTCGTCGACTTCTGCCTGGCCGGGGGTGGGAAACGAGAAGGGGGAGGTTGTGGTATTTAAGCGTGGCCATGGCCCTGTTTGCTCTGGACGAGGGATGACAGTCCACCACGGCGGTTAGCAGGAGACGACTGACTCTCTCTCTCTCTCTCTTCCTGTTCTATTCCTGTTCCTGTCTCTCCTTCGGTTTTTCGTACTCTCCCATTTTTCTTAATGCTTGCCACGGCGGCACTACGAAACGCATAACGCATAACCAAAAGTTCTTCCTTGCTTTTTGCCTTGCATCGCTTAAGCGCCGGCCTCTTGCTATTTTTAGACCTACACCTCTATACCCTCTCTCTATATATACATACAATATATATATACATCGCTTGGACACCCCCACGATGGGCCAGAGACACAATCGGCGCCGGACAAGGCCTCGCTCTCGACGACGGATGAACAACAACAACATCAACAGCTCTGCCTCGCGGCTTCAGCCGGCCGTACCTCCGCTGCCAGAGGTATACAGCTCTTCATGCTTTGCTGCTTCCTCGATCCCTCCACCCCCTGGATTGCTCCCCAGTGCTCGAAACCACTGCCATGACCGTGTGCCCTCGGCCCAACTCTGGCATAATCGGTACGTGGCATGGCATGGTCGAGGCTCAGGGGCATCCTCTCCCACCTCGCAGCAGCAGCAACAACAGCAGCAGCAATGTCAAGAAGCGAGTGACAAGCTAGAGGCAGAGCAGTGCCGATTGTTTGGCGGGGAGCCCGGAGACGACGTGACGCTTTGTTTTCGCATGCTGGAGTTTTTTGGCGGTCTTGACTTTATCGAGTGAACCTCTCTTCTCGCTTTTTTATATCTTCCTCTCTCTCCTCTTACTCTCCTCTACGACTCCACTTTTTCACTTCATCCTACATCCCCATAACATCTCCCATCACACGACGATGGATCGAGATTCCACGGACATGCGCCCCATGACTTGCAGCAAGGACGGCCCTAGATGGGCTTCGACCTGGTCTAACTTAACGGGGATACGTTGATGTCCACCACCACCGCACATGGAGACTGGAATTCTCGACCTTGAAGGAACAAGAAACACGACCCCCAACGCCGCCACGGCACTGGTTGGGCGCCTAGTTGAGCTCGCACGCACGGCTTGAGCACTGCATGCCCTTTTTGCTTCTGAAAGGACATATCTGAGTTCGCCTGTGTTGCTTGAGCTCCGTTTGGCACTGCTGCCTAGGCTAGGCGGTAACTCCAGGGGGGCCAAAAACCAACGACCACCACAACCAACAAACCAACGGACAAACCGACTTCTTCATGATGCTGGCCATCATCGATCCAATAACGTGATGACGAACGATGTGCTCTCTTTCTCTTTTCTTTTGTGTGTTCACTTTTGCATACCCCTTCCATTCGTTGGGGTTGGGTTACGGCAAGCATGCATGCATTCTATGGGGGTTTTTTTAACGACATGTACATTCTAAATAGCCAAATTGGAAAAAAACGGCAAAGGCAAAGGGCAAGGCAGGGGGGGGAGTCATGGGTTGGTTTCTCTTCGGTTTAAACAAAAAAGAAAAAAAAGACTGTATATAGGATTCAAATCACAGCAAGCTATACTCTTCTTGCAATCGTCCTCAGCGATCAGGGTAAATATGGCCCCAGATCATCGTATATCTCCAGGCCGTCTCGGAGGGATCGGCCGCTGCCCTGGGTAGTTAATTGGCTGTCTTGCTATTTATAAGTGTGGCGGCCTGATCGGCTCGAGCCGGCCATGACGTGGAATCAGCGCTAAAGACAGGTAGAGACAGGTGAGACCTTGTTGAAACACCGGAAGCCTGCGATTCTCCGCTAAACCTCAGTAAACCTCAGTTAAACCGAGTCATCTCTCCAGTTAAAGACTCCAGTTAAAGCCAGTTAAAGATTAGTTAAAGATTAGTTAAAGGCCGCCGCTTTCCAGTTAAAGCTTTAGCTAAAGGTTAGTTAAAAGCAGGCAAGCGACCCGCTTAGTCAGCACCTAACCGCCGACTTTCTTCTGCGACTTTCGACGCCACAAGCAGCAGAGCCAGCTGAACCAGCAGAACAAGCGGGAGACGAAGACGAAGACAAAGACGAAGGATAAAGACATCGAGAGAGACCGCGAGACACAAGGACCCGACGACCAGACGGCCAGCAGGCGATGTCGACTCGCTGAGATGCGACTATCCGCGCCGTCCCGCTTCACCACCTCCGTCCGGCCCAGGTCGACCCAGCCCAAGTCCAAGGCTGCCGCCTCCACAACCACAACCACAACCACAACTACGCCTACAACTACGCCTACAACTACGCCATCGCCCACGCCCACGCCGACTCCAACACCGTCGAGATCGAGCTCACGACCGCGAGAGCAGCTGTCTCACTACCGCCTCCTCTTCAACAATGTGCGCCCGCAGCTGACTGACGACCAGTTCGCAAAGATGAGACACCAGGAGCCCGTTCGGCTGCCCTTCGACACCGCCGGCAATGGGCCCGTTGGCATCCCAGACGGCCCTCCTGGCGCCGGCGAGGGCAGCGATGGCACCGGCAGAGGCATCCTGATCGGCCTGCTGTCGGCCTTTGGCTCGGCCGGCGTCGCCCTGCTGGTGCTCGCCCTCTTCTTCTTCTTCAGATACACCCAGCGAGGCCGCATCCTGCTCGACCGCATCGGCCGGCCGGGCGAGTACGACGACGAGCAGGAGTTCGCCCGCGAGGAGGCAGAGGCCCTCGAGTCCATGGACGAGCTGCAGGCTGCCGAGTACTTTAGAGCAAAAGGTTTGGTTTTCTACTTGTGTTGACTGCTATTTACTTGCTTGTGGTTGATGCTAACTACGGACGAAACACACAGCCTTCGTTCAGGCAAACCCGCCAGAGACAATGCAAACCGATATATCGCTCTCCCAGTTCCTTGCGATCCAGGAAAAGGGCGTGTCAGCATGGGAGTTTGAGCCGGAGCTCGAGATTGCCAACTGCTTTGTCGAGGGACGCACCGAGATCGAGTTCTTCGACTCCGAGTGTGGCGTCCAGAGCAACCTGCCTGTCCCGAAGCAGAATGACGTTTACTACTGGGAGGCGAAGATTTACGACAAACCGGAGACCACGCTCATCAGCATCGGCATGACTACCAAGCCCTATCCGCTTTTTAGACTGCCTGGTACGTTTTTTCCTTTCTTTCGTTTGCATCCAGTTTGCTCCGTATATTTAAAGTAATGCTAATTCGGGGTATCTGGTTAGGCTTTCACAAGTCGTCGGTTGCGTATCAATCTACCGGCCATAGGAGACACAACCAGCCCTTCAATCCAACGCCCTACGCACCGCCTTATGTCCAGGGTGACGTTGTAGGCGTGGGCTACCGACCTCGCAGCGGAACCATCTTCTTCACTCGCAACGGCAAGAAACTCGACGATGTAGCCCACGGCCTTCGGTCGCAGAACTTCTTCCCTACTGTTGGTGCCAACGGGCCGGCTACCGTGCACGTCAACTTCGGCCAGATGGGCTTCGTCTTCATCGAGGCCAACGTCAAGAAATGGGGTCTTGCGCCCATGACCGGAAGCCTGGCTCCTCCGCCACCATACGGCAGCGAGCAGGGAAGCATTCTTCTCGAGGCCGGAGGCGAGAGCTCAATCGCGGCCCAGGAAGCTGCCGGTCACCAGATGCACGGCTCTACCACTGCACCTGTACAGCAATGGTGGCATCCAGAGTACATCCAACACCACGCCCAGCATGCTCATCAGGTACTGCAGCACCAGCGTCAGCAGCAGCAGCAACAACAACAGCAGCAGCAGCAACAGCAGCAGCAGTCGCAAACACATGCACGAACCCGCAGTGGGACGGTACGAGGACACAGTCTGCATCCATCCACTCAGGCGCCGTCAGCACCCGTCCGGACACCAACAGACATCTCCCTGGGCCCCTTGCCTCATATAGCCTCGCCATCAGCCTCCTCGACTGCTGGGGCTGCAGCTGCTTCACCCTCGACTGTCACTTCAGACGCCCCCGCTGGTTCCGAGACGTCTGAGGCCACGACCGTTGTTCTGGTAGGCAATAATGGCAACAACAGCAGCAGCAACAACAACAGCTACAGTGCCAGCGCCAGCAACAACCGTCCTCCGCTCGATGACGTTCCTCCGCCAGAATACCGTAGCCCAGGTCACTCGCCGCCGTGCGGCCAGGCCGGAGGTCCCCCAGGCGAGGTCCCGCCTATACCAAGCTACGATGCAGCAGTTCGTCAGTCCAGGGAACGAGACGGCCCACGAGATCAAAACGACTCTTGATATATCCTCCTCTGCTTTTGTGTACCTTTTTTTTTTTTTTTTTTGTTTTGTCTTTCTGCTTTGGTCATCTGTCTGCTTTTTATATTTTTGCTCCCCTTTTTCTCGTCTGCTTTATATCCCTATCAAATCTATGCTCGTTTATTCCCCTGCAAATTAGCGACTCATTCGATCTGGACGGAACACGGTGTGGTACGGGTGCGGTCTCCTTCTCGGTGCTGGTGCGGTCTCTTTTTCCATCTGATATTTCCTATGCTCTGTTCTTGTTGTTCAAAGTCTGCTTGCTCTTCCTACACGGCGTTTCCCGCCCGTCCTGGTCCTTTCTCTCGCTCCTATTTTCCCTTTTGACACTCTTGACTCTCTCTCTCTCTCTCTCTCTCTGCTTGCCTGTCTTTCCCCCAGTGGATATCTATCTTTATCTCTTTTGTCCCGCCCCTTGATGCAGCCCTGCCGGCGGCGCAGTCTCCTATCAATCAGCCAAAACCTATCAAACCCCCTTACCATCCCCAGTGCAACAAGACGCCTTGCTTATTCTCTCGCTGCCCATTTCCACCTGCCTACCTACATACACCCATGCTTTGCTGTAACTAACGAGACGGAGGTTAATAAGTAATAACAACATACGCAGCCTGTCCTTGTACATATATCTGCCTGCTCCCTGTCTATAGCCATCGCTGCCATCCCTGCCCTTCGATCTCGAGATCCATCCAGTAGCTATCGAGTCAAGCAAGTCAAGCAAGTCAAGCAAGTCAAGCAAGCTCCTCCACGATGAAAGAAGCTGGACAAAGAGAACTCGCCCTGCAGCACGCCACAGCCTTCTATCTGCTCGGGATAGACGGAGTACAGAGTATCTGTATAAATAGTGACCCGCCTGGCTAGTTAACTAGCTCGTTGGCGAACCAGGCCGGCGGTTTAGCTGCTGAGCTAGCTGGCTCGCTGGTTAGCTATTTAACTAACTAGCCTGTCGCTTCCCTTCACCCGCCATCGCAGGTCGCAAACCGTGGCGCGCTACACGATACGAGACGACAGATTAAATTTATAATAGCTTGCCTCGTTAGAGCCCTGCAGCACTCGATTCTGGTCGTCGACGGGGTGGCTTCAGCGTGACCGCGGACGGCGTCGTCGAGTTCTTTTTCTTCTGGCCGGACGGGATGCGAGGACGTCGGCTTCATCTTCGCCTCATCGTCGCATAACAAACAGCCAGCCAGCCAGCCAGCAGCACCGCGGCTTCAACTCCCCCTTCTTCTCGCTGATGCCTCGAGCTCGCGCTCGCAGACCCTCGTCGTCCGGCTCTGGTGCTGGCTCTGGCAGGATGATACCGAACGGCAGCGCGGACGGGCATGTCTTCCATGTCGTCGTCCTGGTGAGTGTCGCATGCCCTCCCCGTCCCGTACGAATTGCCATCTAGTTATTATTATTGCTAACAGGATACCCAGGGAGCATCGGGCGGACCGCGAGAAGATACAGCAACGGGCATGCTCGTCCGATCCACAGCTACAGACTGGGCCAGGGGCTCTGTCGTGGCCGTCGACGCCGGAACGCTGCTGTCAGCCATCATCCGCATCCTCGAGACCGACTCGCCCTCCGAGCTCGACACAGACTCTTCCCACGCCCGTACGCACCTCCACGGACAGCGGAGGGTGGTCTCCTCGGGGCCCTTCGCCGGCCTGGAGCTGCCGTTTGTCTCCGCTGAGGCAAACGCAGCGTATATCTTCCGTGACATCCTCGCCGCAGTGCTCATCACACACCCGCATCTCGACCACGTATCCGGCCTGGCCATGAATACGCCCGCCGTCGAGGCCCAGTCGGGGCCCAAGACGGTCGCGGCGCTGCCCTCGACCATCGCGGCGTTAAAGAACCATCTGTTCAACGATATCACCTGGCCGAACCTGTCGGATGAAGACGGCGGTGCCGGACTGATCACGTACCAGCGGCTGGTGGACGGAGGAAATCAGCGTCTTGGACGTGGTCCGGCAAAGGGATATGTGAGGGCTTGCGACGGGTTGATGATCAAATGTCTCGGTGTGAGCCATGGGAGGTGTAGGCAGCGGTACAATCCTGAGACAGAGAAGCATCATCGAGCTGAAAGCACAGTGTTTATGACTGATCCCGTACTGTTCCCGTCACGGCGGGTTTCGATCGACGCCTCCTCGTTACGGTAGGTCTACTACGGCTTTGTTTTGCTTTGCTTTGCTTTGGTAGTTCCGGGGATATGATACATCTAACTAACTACTTAAACTTGTTACTGACAGGTCGTATTCTCCATCAACTCAAGCGCAGCAACTCTCTCTTAGCACAAACGGGAAGGATAGCTCGATATACGCGACGGTCGAGAGCTCGGCGTTCTTCATCCGGGATGATCTGACGGGCGCCGAAATTATTATCTTCGGAGACATAGAGCCGGACTCGATATCGCTGGAGCCTCGCAACGAGCGAGTCTGGGAAGCAGCTGCTCCGAAAATCAACGATGGCTGTCTGCGTGCGATATTCATCGAATGCTCATACACCGACGCTGTGGAAGACAGCGCTCTCTACGGCCATCTATGTCCTCGCCATCTGATTGCGGAACTCGAGGTGCTCGCCGGGAAAGTCCTTGATTCCCAAAAGCCTCACAAGGGAGACTCAAGAAAGCGGAAACGAGCATCTTCTTTTACCGGGCTTCCTCCCCCAGCGGCACCGCCAGCAGAGCAGTCCAACGCACCGCTCAGTCCAAAGTCAAAGGAAAACAAATCGCCGTTTGCCGCTCCTTCAGCTCCCAAGACAAGGTCGGCCACAATAGCAGATTCCGCTACATCACGACATAACACCCGCCAGTCCGCCGAGAGGGTAGAATTCCCTACGGCCTACGCTCCCCAGCCACAAGGGAAAAGACATTCTTATTCCACTTCTTCTGCCCCCGGAGTCCCTGACCCAATGGCCATGGATACCACGACAGATTCACCTACAATCTCAGGCCCTCAAACCCGTTACCGCACATCAATAGGCGGAACTGCTCGCCCTCTACCTCTACAGGATCTAACAGTGTACATAATACATGTCAAAGATACCCTTACAGACGACGGTCCGCCCCGGGACCAGATCCTAGCTGAACTACGTCAGTTAGGTGAAGAAGCCGGTTTGGGATGCGAATTCCACGCTCCCTTGTCCGGTGAGGGAGTGTTCATCTAGAATGACCGGAAAGGACGGATATGAGATGATGTTTTTTGCAACGACTCTCTCTTGGGATGTTTGGATGGCGTTGTTCTTTCTTTTTTGAACCTTTTGCTGGTTTGCTTGCTTGGGTGGGTGGGATGGAGGATAAAAAGATGGTATACGGCCCTTGCAGGTGATGATTGGATGGCATGTATGACCTTTTTTACTTTCTTTCTTTTTCTCCCCCTTTTGTTCATGCTACTACTTTGCTTCGCTTTGCGTTGCTTGCTTTGGTTACGGTGCCCAGCATTGATGTTTGATATTCTTAGTTCATGTACCTCTTATGAAACGAGTAGTGTTAGGATAGTGAGACCCCGTGTTTAGACAGTATTGTTACGAAGTATCTACTATATTGTAAAAAAACGCAAATGGATATATTATGTGTATATGCTAAAAGATGATTGAATGGATATCAAGAATAAGATGTATGATCAAGGAATCAATTTGTTTCAAGGCGCAAGATTCGCTCTCACTGGCCGTGTCCCTGACTAGCTCTCTCGCGCTTCTCCAGCGCAAGATGGTGCAGGCTATTCATACAATGACATGCCTTGCTAGCTGACTCGCATGTCCCAGCGAGAGTAGATAGCCAACGAATAGCTAGGTCCGACTGGCTAATAATATCATCCATTTCCATCGGTAAATGGGGCTCATCGAACGAAAGTTCCGTTATAAGCACACTACTGGCCTGCACTATGTAATGCAGTATACACCACCAGGGGGTCTTGCCATGTAGTTCGACGATATCGATGTTCAGCGGCAGAAGCTGCAGTATCTGTCGAGCAGCCGATATGCAACGCACAGCTGCATCGGAGTCCATCTGCCTTGACGCCTCAGATTGGTAAGGAATGGTTAGAATTAGTTCGGACGGATCACACAGAACAGGTCTGTTGATCAGTATCCTTGCGCTAAAGTAGCGGAGGTGCAGGTATGTTAGGCTCGTGGAGGGAGGAGCGCAGAGGTCTATGGATTGGACGGTGTATGGGAAGCCAGGGTCAATGCTTGCGTACCATTGGCTTAACTTGTTGTCTAAATCGCTTATCAGGCGCTGCGTATGTGCCCATGTATTATCGAGAGACTTCATGCCGTACAGAGAGGTTATGGCTTCGTTTACAATTTCATCTAGTCGGAGCCCGGTGATGAAATTGCTGGATGGGTATTCCTCGTCAAAGGAGTAGACGGCGGAGAGTTCCAGGTCTAATGTATTACCTAGGATATTGAAGTTGGCCAGAGGAAGAGGACTTCTGATGAAAGGTGGCTCAGTAGTTTGGAACGGCCTAATGTGAATTGGCTGACCTTGAAATTCAGATGGATATCCTGTGAGTATGCAGAGGAACTGCTCTAGAGATCGAAGTGAGTGCCAAACGCGAGCTTCAAGCTGCTTGGATTCTCCGGAGAGTTCAGGGGCAGTGGCTTGTACATTGAGAGATCGATTATACGCAAACTTCAGCGCAGTGGTGACTGATGTCCATGCTCTGGCAACGCCAAATTAGTACTTGAAAGACTGCAAGCAGCCATCACGGGGAAAAATCGGACGTTGAAATAGTTACCCTGTGATTTGATATGTGGAAAGCTGATACACTCCCCTAATTGCGATAAGTTGTATCGGCTCTAACGAGGAATATGTGTCCGGATAGCCGCGGGGGTCGACTATCCCCTGAGCCAAAGCCTGTGATCTGGCACAGTATATGCTATGGTCCTCTACTTCACCTGTCGGTATCTGTGTATAACGAGCCCACAAAGATCCGAGCGCAAGCACCATATTTAAGAGAGCCAGCCAGGGGTAAACGCCAAGCGGGTCGCTCCCGTTGTGGTAGTAGGAATTATATCGAGACAGGAATCTTACCTTTGGAAGAACGGGGAAGAGAGGATGAACGGTGGTGAAGTAGGCATTTACCAGCAGATCAGCAACATCTTTGGGTGGTAAAGAAGTCAGATTATGCATCATGTCAAGCTGGGGGAGTTCAACCTCGCCGGAGAAATAGTTGCATTTTTCATTGACATCGTCTATCTTCGCAGTTGTTTCCAACTTCCAGGACAAATCATATGAAGCCATGGACATAATATTCTCTGGTAACGCGGTGAGATTATTTTTAGCTGATCATAATAATAATAAAAAACTGGTTATTTGAGGAGGATCTCTTACCTTCAGACATAAAATTCGGTAGTTGTAGCTTTACCAGAAGCATGCCCAGCCACCTAATAGTCGAAATTTCGCCTACACATTCCACTGGCTTCCTACGTCCAGAATAAGCCCGTAGGGGAGAGGCGATTCCAAATAGAACGGAATTTTCATCTTCAATAGTGTCTTCGGCTGATGGTGAGTTTTCGTCTGACATTGAGACGTCATCTTCAGCTACCGTAGAATTCTAAAAGAAATTAGATTCAACAATCTGATCATGAAGTAGCCGTTGCTGTACATATATATACCTCGTGCAGTGCGTTTCTAATCGCCTGCTGTACGTCAGGACTTTGGCTAGGTATGAGTTTCGTGAGGAGTTTCTCGTACACGCTTATCTTCATGGACATCGTTTGTACATTTCTAGACCTCTTTTTTTAGAAAGAATATCAAGAATAAACAGTCGTAAGCGCATGGTATGGGGTATAGATGTAGCGAAAGAGTAGTAGCGAAAGTGCATAGGAGAGAGGGAGAAAACGGACCGTTTCAGCCTTTCTCGCTTTCCGTCTGCATATATGCATTCAACGCCCTGGTTCTTGCAACGAGTACAAATCGGATGTACACCATCGCATTTGGATTTGCGTTTTCGGCATGGTTCGCATGCATGGTTCACTCGATTCCGGTCTGGAGCCGGCGACTGCTGTGCCACTCCGTGTAGGCGGGGGATGGCTACTTTGCCCTCAGTGGGGGTTCCTACCGGGTTGCTTGCTAGCCGCGCGGCTGATGGAGAAGCAAAGGAGGAGGATGACGCTGAAGCTGAAGCTGAAGATGAAGCCGTGAAGTTCTCAAGTTGACGTTGATATTGGGTCGAAGCTCTGGCTTGGCGGCGCGGACCGGGTGGTTGGGCCATCGATGGGCCAACTCTGTAGCCAAATTGTTGCCGTCGTGCTCTCTTGCACCCCTTTATCGTTTTTTTATTATCTTTTTATCTCTATCTCCCTGAGCTGCTCACCCTCACGCGATTCAACATCCAGGAATGATGGACCGGGCCAAACAGAGAAACGCACATGGAGACGGACGTGTAGCAGCTATATGTGCAGTAGCAGGAGAATGCCTGCTCCCTGGCCAAAACAAGGCTACATCAGAGCAAAGCAATGCTTAGCCTTGCAGACCGCAAGACTAATGGTATCGATGCCTCACCTGGCTTAGCAGGTCCATGGAACATCCCCGTATTCCTTTGTTTTCCTGCTTCCAACCGATTCAGCCAGCTCCCGTGGGGTCGATTGGGCTCACACGGCTCTCGTTCGTATACGGCCAATGTGATGCGCAAATCCACACTGCATCTATCTCCATGTCGATAGGCCAGGGATCATCGTCTCGAACGAATTGGATTTTCTTCTGCAAGACCAAGGAGCAATATCACCACCATCCTTTGTTTATCGGGCGAATACCCACTACTACACTTCATGGAAGACGTTTCTGAGAGGTAGTGCTGACACGGAGTACGCCTGGGATTGGCGTGTCTCATGGGCCCTTGCTTCCTGCACCCCTGGCAGACTACAACATCGATAAATCTGATGGTTCTTTGCTTGGGTTAAAACGGTCCTGACCCAACGCGGCCTCTTGCGGCCATATCTATCCATTCATCCGACCCCGAATTCCTTTTTCCGGATGGGCTTTCCACGGGATCTCGTGGCCGAAGTCCATCATGGGAGCAGCGAGGATAGACGGTTGACTTGCCCAAAGGATGGTGCACTGACCCCTTGGCTCCGTGTCCTCGCAAGAAGATAGGCAGCACGACCCAGTTCCATTGCACCCCCGCCAGAAGAGAGGTTGTGCCTCCTGCCGATAAGATAAAGGTTCAATATCGTTTCTGTGGCCAGCCTCCATAGATAGCGGCTGCAATTCCGCCATTTAACCTATACCCTCTAGACGCAAAGCTCCAGCCTCAGCTCTCAAAGTCTCGTTTGATATCCCTGTCGATGGGCCCCAATGTCGAAGAAGGTACTCATTGGCTAAAACTGACGTAGTTAAGCTCCTTCGACGTTGAATATCCTTGAAATCCGTGCCATCATGTGAGGGCTTTTAATTTTTCTTTTCCTTTCAAGATGTCTGTTTCAGCTCTGGTCGACACCTCCGATTCTTGGATCCTTCCCACATCTCGGGGTTTGGAACATCTGGTCCCACTAAACGATCGATTTCCAACGTTGCAGCCTTGCATCTGCCCCTCTGGGGTACATATCTTCACAAGGGGGGGAGCAGGAAGAATGAATTCGTGTGATTTGGATTACCTTGAGTAGAGGCCAAGCCCATGCTCACTCTACCACGCCATGGATCTATAGATATCCAACGCCTTTTGCTGCTTTAGATTCGGAGCTTATCGTATTTCATATCCCCCGGACACTACGGAGAACCTTTCTTCGTATCGAGATGTCGTCGGATATCGCCTGGACAGCTTGTTCGGTTTGGTTGGCTCTGGACGCTTGATCCCCCAGCATTGGCAAGAAACCTGCATATGCGACTTGGCTTAAAGGGAAACATGGAAGAGAAGTGCTTAAGGCAGCCTCAAATTCGGATTGACATGATTTCAGGTCACGAGCAGCTGGGTAGTGACTTGGCAATGAAGCTCACACCGCTCTGCTGACACTCGGGGCATTGCTCTCTTCGCATCAAGATAGACAGCATGGTAGCAAAAAAAGGGTTGTTCAATGATCATACCAAGATAAAATACAATATGGATGTGGAGAGGGGTATGTTTGGGTGGTGGGGCACGTAAAAACATAACGGACAGATATGATAAACTGTAGGAGGAATCTACAGTAATTAGAACCTCAGACAAGATTTATCATATGTTGTCAATTGCATCGACCGAGCCGTTCAACCTCGGGAGATCGAAGCTTGAGCTCCCCCACGATCTCTTCCCAAGCTCGTATCTGTAACACTTTCCCCTCGCTTGTTCCAGTAAGAGTAGCCGAGATGCTGTAACGGTTAGTTCCCAAATATAGAACGGAAAGAGGGCTTGATAACTACCCTGCATTGTGGGGGAGGATATATATAACTTGGGTGATCTTACTCTGGATATTGGTCACTTCTCCACCATTTTCCATGGGACTCCTCGCCGAGCATGGTAGCGCTCACAAGGGTCCTGCTACCTTGCTCTGACGTACGGCCAAAGATGAGTTCAAACACAGCAACGAACATCCTCTCGTGCCATGCGTCGTACTCGCGACCTAAGCGGGAACGACAGAACCCCGGACAGGCAGAGTTGACGATGACTCCCAGTGAGCCATCATCGCAGCGGGTTAAAGCAGCAATGCTTTTTGCGGTGTATTCGACAAGGACCTTCGATAATCGGTACTGAGAGTGCGCACGGAAGCTTTCCTCGCTATTCAAGTGTTGAAGGATGCTGTTCACTCCATCAGGCTGTAGCTCCCCTGCCTTTGCATGTCTGTAAGATCCGCTTGACACAAAAGTAAGATGAGCGGGGGCTCCCGTTGCGGTATCACGGCTATCTCTTAGCTTTGGGAGTAACAGTAGCCCCAGCAGTGCGGTTGAAAGTGCGTTGACTTGAAGCGTCTCTTCCCATCCGTCTGGTGTCAGGGTATATTTCCTATGCATGACTCCAGCATTCAACAGTGCTATATCAAGTCGTGGGACTTCATCGTTGATTTTCTGCGCAAAAGATGTCACGCTTTGATAGCTGGCCATGTCCAGGGGCCATATTTGAATGTCAAAACTGGCGGAGCTGCTCGCATGTTTTGCACGTTGTTCAATAACTTTTTTCGCTTCATTGCCCCGTTCAATGCTACGGCAGGCAATTATCAACGAAGAAACTCCCAAATTTATATATTTTATGGCTGCTTCGAGTCCCAGGCCAGATGTACCGCCGGTGAGGAGGACTGTTTTCCCTTCAAGCGAGGCTGTTGGGTTGGCAGGTGGGAACAGTCGGCCTTGTATGAGCCGTCCGAATCCGACGAGTGGCATTGTGCTCTACAACGAACAACACTAGAATATCAGGGAGAAACTGCAGGGCGATGAAGCGGCATTATCAGGATCTTCGCAAATGTTGGGTGTTTTTGACGATGTTGGCACAGAGTGACGTTGAAGCTGATGGGCATCTAAGTTGAGCGGCGCAGTTGACTTTTCCTACTCTGACGCTCTCCTGAAATTTCTTTTTCCGGGGAGCAGAAAGAAGCTTTTGACAAGCCCTGGAGCAATTCTCAGTTATCTTAGCGCAGTAAACTAGATATATTCTTCTTCCAGATCTAGCTCAATTGGGGAATAAGGACATTTAACACACTGCTTCTATGTATATTTCTATGCTAGTTCCTGGTCTCCCCAGAATATCCATCTCAATCTAAGCCTCCAGATCAGTATATGGTCACCATAGCAGATTAGTATCTGTAAGGGGACTTGGTCGTCGTGGTGAGGTCATGATAATATGTGGATAACTTTATAGAGAACAGTTTGTCAGTAACTCCATTCCCCTTTATATATCTATATTTATCCATTTATTTCTGGACTTGTTCCTTTGTAATTGAGCCTCTAACATAAGGTGAAGTATTCTTTCAACTAAGTGGAAGAATAGAAGGTTGCAATAGAGTCCGCGGTCTCCTTTTCCTTAGATGTGCCCCTGGAGGTGATGTTTTTATTTATGGCTGCCAATTCAGGAAGCGCCCTTGTCTGGTGATAGACAGCTCGTTCCGGGCTGCAGGTACCTGAACGCCCCTGGTCGTCTAGTTGGTTTAAGGCGCTCGGCTGTAATTGTTAACTCATGAAACCGAGAAATCGCTGGTTCGACTCCAGCCCAGGGGAGTTTCCTCCTATTTTTGGCCCATTTTTTGTGTTGATATTTTTTTTTTCTCGCTCGCGTTGTGGACATGGATATAAAAGCGCGGCTAGCCGGCGGGTAAATGTTTATTTACCCGATATGCACGTGATTTGCGGCTAATCTGCTTAGTAAGATGGCCAATCCAGCGATCCCCGAGAAGAAAATGGCGAGCGCAGGAAGAACGAGAAGAGGACGCTGGATATGCGAGGAACAAGAGTAGAAAAGAGCATGAAGCCCACCTGGGATACATTATCTACATTTGTGAACGTCGGTTTTCAAGTGTAAGCTACATTGTGCGACGTCGCCGGCGACTGTCGCTGGAGGACTCTTCGGTGTCGGGCGGGAGGAAGGCCGCTCAAAGGGACGCCAAAGAAGGGCCCTTCAACAAAAACATCTCCTGATGGTCTAGTTGGTTTATGACATTCGGCTGTAACTGAAAAATTGTAACCGAAGGGTCCCTAGTTCGATTCTGGGTCAGGAGAGTTTCTTTTTTTGCTTTTTATTTTTTTCACCCCATCAAAATTTCCCTAACAGCATAGAAGCCAATTAGTCGTCCACTTACAGATGAATAATGTCGGAAGTTGGGCATTTATAAACACTTCCTGCGCTCGTGAGGACACATATGAAAGTACCTAGCCTATCGTAAAGTCCCTCCTTTCCCTGGGGCTCCTTGCTTTTGGTGCAGTTCCTTCGCGATATACATAGTGGTTGACCAATACGCACCAAAAACCCCGTGCAAAATCCTACAGTCCCGATAATTAACCTACAGGTAAAGGAAAAAATCAAATAAAATAAAGCTAGACTAAAAAGCAAGGAAATAAAAGGAGTGAAGGATAATAATAACGAAAATCGGACACATCAATAGGCCATGTGGCGAGGAAGTTCCTTGTACCAAAGGTGTGCTGGCTTGTTGATAGAGCCACTGGCTGTAACATGCCTGGTAGGACAATCGTACAATCCGCCTCTCACATAAGTACTTACTCATTATTTTCGAGAGATTAACGAAATCGACGCAATGTATACATCCATAGCAACAAGGAAGTGGTAAAAGTCATAATGAAACAATATTTTATGGGTATCTCATGGCCTCGTGAGAGAAATGATTTATCGAATAGCGCAGGATGGCCCCCGGAATTCGGGCAGTAGCTGATTGACAGAAAGTGATTTCTCCTTGCTGGCGTAGAAATCATGATGGAAACTGGGACGGGTGTATCATAGGCACATATTCTCCTGCGGGGTGTAACCCTTGAGTTCGGACCACTCGAGGGTGTACCGGCCTGGATCTGATACACGTAAACCGTCGGCAACCAGTATCTCCCGTCGTAATGGGTAATCAAATTATGCCGACCATCCCTGCTGTGTGTTCCAGGCAGGTTGTTGCTCTACTTCAGAGTACGGATGGTGATACCCTGGGTACTGGACAGTAGTCGCGGCAGGATAGCCCAACCGGGGATCTGTCTGCGGACAGGTACTAGGCGTCATGGTTGCATTGTTCACCGAAACTGGGGATGGAAGGCTGTTACAAGCTAGGGTACTCGCTTGGTGGCTGGAGTGGGTGGGGGAGTAGTTACCCGACACATTGTTGAAGCTGGTAGAGTCCACTCCAGCCCGGTTATACTCAGGAGCAACATGTGTGAGGGCGACTTCACCGTTCATAGGCCAAAATGCCTCCTCGCGTCCAAATACCCGGAACGCTTCGTGTGCACCGTTGGTAGGCGAAGACTCGCATTTCACCAGGTCAGGCTCGGATGGGGTAGATATCGAGCACGAATCGCTGGACCGGGACCGGTCAAGCGCACAGCATGGCCTGATGGGGGAATTGTCGTGTTCTGGTGTATTCGGTCCCGACGATTCGTTTTTCCAGTACTTCGAAGCTGCCATCAGCTCGGCTTCTACGTTATGCGTAATATTCTGCTCCTCGGCTTGTTTGATAAGGCCGAGTCGGTCCAAGATCGCGTGGGTTAAAGGGTACCCATCCACGAGCTCGATGGGTTCGCCCGGAAAACACTTGTTGTTGATGCAATGTGTATATAACTGCTGAAGTGCCTTGACAACTAGAGCGTGATGGGACTCCAGCATCTCAACGAAGCTATACAATGCCACAGAGTAAGTTATTTGCAATGACGGCCGGTTGTTTCCTCCCAAGATGATTCCCCTAAAAATGGAAGTATATGAGACACCGTTCTCCTCACCCTCTGGAATATGCCTTGGTCTGTGTTGCCTTCCTCTCCCGGAACAGGCACGGATGGTTATACACAGCACATCGATAACATGGTTGGTTTCCGTCACACTGTAAACACGTTTTATATATCAGCGTCAATTAAGTATTCACAAAATAGTTGAACTTGGACACAAAAGCACAAAAACAAAGCCACAGCAGCCAGAAGACATTGCTGGGTGGATATATATACCTTTGTCTTCTTCACCCTACATCGATCACAGGCTTTTAGAACGTGCTTCCGCTTCGTTCGTAAGATCTGATGGCGTTGATTCATGTCCAGGGGACGAGGGACATGTCCATAGTTGGGGATGGCTACCATGGCCCCGGGTATGGGCAACGACTCCGAGAGTCTGGATGAGACATGGAGTTTCGGATAGATTGGGTGTGGTTGCGGCATTGAGACGTAATCTAATCAACCAGACGGGGGAGGAGGAATGTTTTACACGCCAGGAAATTGGGGTTGGAAGAGGTCAATTCCAAACAGTCAATAGGTGTTATCAGGCGGAGAGTAACCAAAAATGAGAGCAAATAAATTTGTCCCCTATTTGAACATGAGAAGGGGCTCGTGTGAGGTGAGTACGGAAATGGCTTGGTTGGAAATATGAAAGGGGAAGAGTGTCCTGTGATATAGTGAGGTTGATTTATGTTGTAGATGACAACCGATGTAGGAGGTAGATGCACTGCAAGTTTTTAAACATGCCTACCTATGGCTGTTTTCTGGAAAAGATCGCCTCAAAAAGCCCCAAATAGTGGGGATGACGTGGAGAAACCCGTTCTCGTCACTCTTATGTACCGGAATGTTTTGTTTCCTCAATTTAAAGAAGCTCGACACCTCACACGGAAATAAAAAAGAAGTACCTTTGTAGCGGCTCGGAAATAGATAAAACGGGGAGGGGGGGAGGAGGCAAGGATACCCACTTAAGCTAGCTAACTAGCGGTCGTCCTTGTATGCATGGGGATGGTCTCCCATAAATGACATCCTTTTCCACAGGTCATTCCCGATCTCCACCGCAGCAGCTCTGATGGAAGGGTGACTTGGCTTGTACTAATTAGTGGAGAATTCCAGTACCGCAGCCACTTATAACGGGCCGACCCGGTTTCCACAATGGGAAGGGGGGGTAATGTATGCATGGGAATGAAGCGAGGCGGGCGTGTAGCATAGAAAAGGTTGCCTAGGACTTTTGCTGACAAGGAAGTCTTGGGCAGCAACTTGGACAGCCGAGAGGATTTCAAAAGCTGCATCCTAAGGGCAATGGGAATAGCCGACGGATCAAAAAAGCAAACAATGGCTTAAAAAAGACGGCTCTATTTTCAACCGCAGTCGCTTTTTTTTGCGTTTTTATTTTTTATTTTTTAATGTTGAGCCAGGGGGGTATTTAGCTCGCAATTTCAGCTTGTATGGAAACCGAGGCTTACTAGCGACCTAATGGTTGGCAGGTCCCGTCCGTTCTGTCCCTCTGACTAGGGCCAGTCACACGACGACGGAAGAAAATTATGAGATTATCAGATCTGGTGCTCCGAAGTTGACTTTCAAGATAAACGCGATGTGAATGTTTCATCTGCATGAAGTAGTTGATAATTCCCAGTTGGATTGGGAATGGGCGTTCCAATTTGAGTCGTGGCAGCAAGAAACGGCAGAGCGAGCAAGATCTGCCATTTTGCTTAGAAAAGAAAAGAAAGGAGGGAAGAAAAACAATCCTAGCATTTTTACATACGCAAACCGCGCCTGTAAGGTAAATAAATCGGTCATGGACTCCTGATAGCAGCTTTGACAGAGAGCGCAAAAGTCCAAGTTAAAATGATCCGTCTCTTCACGTGCGCCCATAAAATGGCAGAAATCGTACCACCGTAACCTGTAACATGATAGCTGGATTGACATAACCTCCTTTCTCGTATGGCCAATAAACGGAATAGGCCAGGGGTTGAGCGCAG